TCTGCCAATTTGACCTTTCTCTCTCTCGGGGTTCTCTCTTTCTCTATCCTAATCGAAAACAAAAGATCAAACCAAAACCAAAGAGAGAAGAGAAGTTGCAGACGCAATTATAATAGAAAAACACTTTCCCGGGAAAATTCCAGAAGCTGCTTTGGCCAAAAATGTGCGAGCCCGATGATAATTCCGCTAGAAACGGCGTTGCTCCTCCTCCTTCGAGGTCAAGGGAGCTTCTCATGGATGTCGACGACTTAGATCTTGACGGTTCCTGGCCTTTAGATCAAATCCCTTACTTATCCTCATCTAATCGCATGATTTCTCCTATTTTTGTCTCTTCTTCATCCGAGCAGCCTTGCTCCCCTCTTTGGGCTTTCTCCGACGGTGGTGGTAACGGTAATCACCACCACGCCAACGCCGGCGCTGACGATGATAAGATCAGCTCCGCCTCCGTTGTTCCTTCTTTCCGCCTCGCCGACTATCCTCTCTTTCTACCTTGTTAGTCTCCCCCAACTTTTAGCTTCTTCTTTTGTTCCGATGTCTTCATTTCCTTTATTTTCTCGATACATGTTGATCGGTGACTTGATTTTTGAATTGTGTTATGCTGGTAGAACGGTTTTAGCTTGAATTTAAGCTTTGCTGCTTACGGATTGAACAGAGGTTTTTGGTTGATTGGATTGATTTTGACTTTGTTTGTCCCCTTTTCAGGTGCTTATGTCAATACGTAATTTATTTTTATTTTTTTCCTTTCAATTCTGCAAATTCTGACTCTGAGTGTTTGAAAATTTTTGTGTTCGTTTATGGTATGGTGATTGAGACTTCATTGTTAGTTCACATCGATATTGCAAGTTCTTTTTCTGGTAAAATGATAAAACTTGCCAAAAATAGCTGATTTCTATAAACGTAGTGGGTAACAACAAGTCAAGCTTTCCCTGCTAAATGTTTTGTACCATAGTATCTGAAGGTGTAAATTTTTTGGTAATTGCAGACTCTTCTCCATCAGCAGCTGAGAACACAACAGAGAAACATAACAATTTTCAATTTCCTTCTCCATTGATGAGCCTAGTCCCGCCAGAGAACACAGACAACTACTGTGTGATCAAAGAGAGGATGACTCAGGCGCTTCGATACTTCAAAGACTCAACCGAACAACACGTTTTGGCTCAGGTCTGGGCTCCTGTGAGAAAGAATGGTCGTGATTTGCTGACGACTTTGGGTCAACCTTTTGTTCTTAATCCTAACGGTAATGGGCTTAATCAATACAGGATGATCTCTCTCACATATATGTTTTCTGTGGATAGTGAAAGTGACATAGAGCTCGGACTCCCGGGTCGAGTTTTCCGTCAGAAATTGCCTGAATGGACTCCGAATGTTCAGTACTATTCCAGCAAAGAATTCTCGCGGCTTGACCATGCCTTGCACTACAACGTGCGTGGTACACTGGCCTTGCCTGTCTTTAATCCTTCCGGTCAATCCTGCATAGGTGTTGTGGAACTTATAATGACCTCTGAGAAGATTCACTATGCACCCGAAGTGGACAAAGTTTGCAAAGCCCTTGAGGTTTGGCTTTCTTTCCTCTTTACTACACATACTCATCCCTTGCTATCTTTGTCCTTTATCTGAATTGATTCCAAGAACTTGGTGTGAATGGTTTAGAGTATTGAGCTGAAAAGTCTTGCCTTGCTAGTTATATTGATGAATATCCGTTGATAAAAAGTTTCTGCACATCATTTGGCCTGCCATTTTGAATCTCTGTCTCTCCAGAGCATGGTCTATTCTTTGATAATAACAACAAATTCATCTCAGTATCTTGCTAGCTTCTTTAATATTTGTCATTACGTTGTATCCAAATAGTTCTTTGTCTTTGGGATTTGCTGCAGCTTTGAAGTATTTTTTTTATTCCGGAGCGCTATATTTATAATTCCTTATTAATGTTAACAAGATTTGGTAAATTTTGTCAGGCTGTAAATCTGAAAAGCTCAGAAATACTTGATCACCAAACCACTCAGGTTAGCAATAGTATCATTTTGTGGATTTCCAATTACCATTTAAGCACTGGTTCTCACTGTTTTCAGTGAACTTGGTATTCACAGATATGTAATGAGAGTCGCCAAAACGCGCTTGCTGAGATTCTGGAAGTGCTGACAGTTGTCTGCGAGACCCATAACTTGCCTCTGGCTCAGACTTGGGTTCCATGCCAGCACGGAAGTGTTCTTGCCAATGGTGGCGGTCTAAAGAAAAACTGCACCAGTTTTGACGGTAGCTGCATGGGTCAAATCTGCATGTCTACAACCGACATGGCCTGCTATGTAGTGGATGCTCATGTCTGGGGTTTTAGAGATGCCTGCCTTGAACATCATCTTCAGAAAGGACAGGGAGTCGCTGGACGAGCTTTTCTCAATGGTGGCTCGTGTTTCTGCAGAGACATCACAAAGTTCTGCAAAACGCAGTACCCACTGGTCCATTATGCACTCATGTTCAAGTTAACCACTTGTTTTGCAATCTCTCTCCAGAGCTCTTATACGGGCGATGACAGTTACATTCTTGAATTCTTTCTTCCTTCAAGTATAACAGACGACCAAGAGCAAGATTCGCTGTTGGGTTCTATTTTGGTGACAATGAAAGAACATTTTCAGAGTCTTAGGGTTGCATCTGGGGTTGACTTTGGTGAAGATGATGACAAATTGTCTTTTGAGATCATCCAAGCATTACCGGACACGAAGATTCATTCAAAAATAGAATCCATTAGAGTTCCCTTTTCTGGTTTTAAGTCAAACGCGACAGAGACGCGGGTGATTCCTCAGCCTGTGGTTCAGTCTTCTGACCCAGTAAACGAGAATGGGAACGTGGCCACTGTTAATGGTGTGGTTAAGGAGAAGAAGAAAACAGAGAAAAAACGTGGAAAGACTGAGAAAACGATCAGTCTGGATGTACTTCAGCAGTATTTCACTGGAAGTCTCAAAGACGCTGCAAAGAGTCTTGGAGGTAATATATATATATATGAACTGTTTTCATGTTTTTGTTATAGTTTACTGGCTAGATATATATCAACTGAACTCTATATTGTTCTAATGTTCTTTTCTCAGTTTGCCCGACGACAATGAAGCGAATCTGCAGACAACACGGAATCTCGCGGTGGCCATCAAGGAAGATCAAGAAAGTGAATCGTTCGATCACAAAATTGAAACGAGTCATTGAATCTGTTCAAGGCACTGATGGAGGCCTCGACCTGACTTCCATGGCCGTTAGTTCCATCCCTTGGACACATGGTCAACCATCAGCACAGCCACTAAATTCACCTAGTGGTTCCAAACCTCCTGAGCTACCAAACGCAAACAATTCACCTAACCACTGGTCAAGTGATCACAGTCCTCACGAGCCAAATTGTTCGCCCGAGTTACCAAGCAATGGTCACAAGCGGTCACGAACGGTGGATGAAAGCGCAGGGACCCCGACCTCTCACGGCTCATGTGACGGTAACCAATTAGATGAAACTAAAGTCCCGAACCAAGATCCGCTATTCACGGTTGGTGAATCACCTGGGCTCCTTTTCCCACCCTATGCTAGAGATCATGATGTATCCGCAGCATCATTTTCAATGCCGAACAGGCTTCTTGGTTCTATAGACCATTTCCGAGGAATGCTCATCGAAGACGCTGGAAGTTCTAAAGATCTGAGAAATCTCTGCTCCACTGCAGCATTCGACGATAAGTTTCCAGACTCAAACTGGATGAACAATGATAACAACAGCAATAATAATATATATGCTCCCCCAAAGGAAGAGGCCATTGCAAATGTTACACGCGGAGCATCAGGCTCGGAAACGAGAACAATAACAATCAAAGCAAGCTACAAAGAAGACATTATACGGTTCAGGATATCCTCGGGTTCTGGTATAATGGAATTGAAGGATGAAGTGGCAAAGAGGCTGAAACTTGATGCAGGTACATTCGATATCAAGTATCTTGATGATGATAACGAATGGGTTTTGATTGCTTGTGATGCTGATCTTCAAGAATGTCTCGAGATCCCTAGATCCTCCCGCACTAATATCGTAAGGCTTTTAGTTCATGATGTAACGACAAATCTCGGGAGCTCCTGCGAGAGCACCGGAGAATTGTGACCCGAGGTAATTCATTCCAACGCTTTTGTAAATAATTTTTTGAAATATTTTACTGTTTAGGCTTTGTTTTTATTGTTCTTGGGTTTCGGTTGAGACAGAAGCAAGAATGTGTTTGGGGGACAAAGGTGTAAAGAAAAGACATTTGTTTGTAACTTGTAATTGTAAGAGGGAGAGTGAGGTTAGAAGTAAATTTTAGTTGTAAACTAACTCCATAATGGCTTGGTTGCTTCTTCAAAATGAAAAACAAGAATCAAAGAAAAGGCTTGTTAACAAAAAGCCGAAAATTTTGCATGTGTTGAAATGAAAGTTTTCCAAGATACAAATAATTCGAGTCAATCTATTACTAGTTCGAAACCCTCTTTTTATAAATGCACTAACTTTCTAACTTATGTGATGTACTGTTGACAATAGTTTAAATGAACTCAAAGAATTTCACTTTGAAACCACAAATTGGTAAATTATTATATGAGTACTCCCATATTTTGATTTTAGAAGCTATTTGAAGGAGTATACAACTAAATATTAAATACTAGTAGCTGATGATTTGATATGATGTATTTTTAGCTAAAAAATCTCTACCATCCTTAAATTTAGAAGAAAAAAAAATAGATTATTTTCAATAACACCGGATTTTAAAGTATATTTTTAAATCACCAAATTTAATAATATTAAATTTCATTATTATTTTAAAAATCTATGATTGAATAAGATAGGATTTGTTACTTTTTTACACAAATAAGTATAAATCTCATGGTTTTAAATAAAATTTTAGGAATATAATAGATTGAAACAACTCCCTAAATTCATCTAAATTTCTCAAAATCCTTAATTTAAAAATCAAATCATTTAAAATATTCGTTGAATACCCTCCCTTTTTTGACATGATTGAATACATCCCTTGACTATACATTATAATATCCGCTACATGATACATCTTTTTGTCAAAATGGAAAAATTAACAGAGTTATCTATTGCGCATCCAGGGAATCGAACCCTGGTCAGTACCGTGGGAGGGTACTATGATACCACTACACCAGATGCGCTGTCTTGTCTCCTAATTTTCTTTATATAAATTTATAACTATTTCTATTTTCCACCTCATCAAATTCACCTTCATTTTCAAAACATCGTGCAAAAGTTTGTAATCTCCTCTCTAATCGAATTGACCCATCCATCCCCACGATCTTGGTCATCTTCTGAACCCCTAATCGGATCGGTAAAAGCCATGGACAAGAGCATCAGCATCACCTCCTCCAACGTTACCACCACGACGACTTCAATGGAGAAGATCGATCACGCGGCTAGCTGGATCAGCGCCACCGTCATCTCCGCTTTTTTCACCTCTCTCGAACGTTGCGCATGCGTCAATCTCTCCACCTCTCATGATGATGAAGACGACGACGACGACGAGGAGGCTCACCACCGTCCCCTCGCCCTCTCCGCCGCTCCTTACCAAAACGATATCGTTTAGCTCTGTTTTTTATTTTAACCGCTGGTAAATTTTACCTCCTCTCGTGTTTCTTTTGCTAAATTCAATTTGGTGTGGATTTTGTAATTTTCTTGATTTTTAATTCATACGTTAAAGTGTGTAATCCTATTGAATTTTTCAGACATTTTGTTCTGTAAAATGCTTGAATGAGAATTTGATCAATTCACGTGTTAATTATCTGACTTTACTTTGTGTTTGAATCGATACATATGTTTTGATCATTTTGTATTGATAAACGTATCATTTGCTTAAAGTGTTTTTGGTGATTAATTTCTTGTTTTACATTTCATTTCTGATATTTTTCTCTGTAACAGCTAGCTAATAACAGCCTAACAAGTGTTGAAAGATTCACGTATCATTGTTTCAATGCAACCATAATTATAGATCATGTACTTTATCATAGTATCAAATCCGACAAAATGTGATTATTGGTGATGTTGGCCCTTTTTGGTTGGTAAAGAAGATTTAACAAACGTCGTGTTTGATTGAAACTGCCCCATTTGTTTCCTTAGCTTAAATCCGATGTTTCTTCCCATACAGAGAATATATTGTTTAAACGTCTTTGTCATTTAAACGTAAGTAATAGGACCATATGAGAGATCAAATCAAAAGTGGTTCTTGAGAGGATCTCATTATTTATCTCTTTCTCTATAATCACTTCTTTGGATTTATGCTTTGGGTGCGTTATCATTTTCATTTTAGTGTTTAAAAACTCATTTGTTTTTATATTAACAAGAATGCCAATGGGTTCGTTACAAAACAAAAGTAGCACGCATTCACATTCTTCAAGTTTCATCATCATTTGCTTTATTATTTATCAAGAAAAAGGTTACTAGTATTTGTGTACGGGTTTAGGCATGTTTCCTCTCATTAAGCTCTCTTTTTTCCAATAATTAAACCCACTCACTCACTAACAACTTTGTGAAAGAGATTTTAGTATACTCTGACGCGTAAGCGTGTCACTTTATCCCCGTGATTACTTCTTAAGACATCGAGTTTTGGTTTTTGCTACTTTATTAAAGTTTGTGTTCTATTTTGAGAAGATGATCTTGTCTTTTCTGAGATAGGTTCGTCTTGAAGTCGACCTCTTTGGCGACTAAATCTTTTAGAAGAAAGAAAGAAAGTAAGAAAGGTCCACAATTCCCAAGCTTATCAGAAAACCAAATCTAAATCGTTCTCATCTTGAGACAACCAATCAAAAATGATCCATCTGACTCAGCCAGAGGGTTTAATAGTAGTCTTCATTCCCCAATTATATTCATACTCTTTCCTTTTTGGTATGCGTTTTCCTAAGAACCCTAGTCAAACTCATACATTTGGCAATGAATTCACTTAAACGTCGTAACGCTGATCCAATAACATTTAAACCCTTCTTATCATCTCCTCCTTGCAATTTCTCATTCTCTTTTTCTTCCCTCATAGATCTTAAACGACAAGGTTTCACTCTGTTCCTCCTCTGTTTCTCTTTGACTGCTCTCATGGTGGACTCAGACACAGACTCGGACTCAGGTCCTGTAATCCTCGCAAGCCCACTCGTCAGTTTCCTCCAGCACGTGCAACTCACGGCACTTCGGTCCTACCCTAAAAAACAAACCCCTGATCCCAAATACTACATGGATCTATCTCTCAAACGTCCCTACAATCTCTCTACCGCCGAATCAGCCTTCAAAGACCTCACAAGCGAGTCACGTGACCTGTCAGTACCAGTGGAGAAGCTCGAAAGTTTTCTTAAAGAATACTTTGACGGCGCAGGGGAGGATCTGTTGCACCACGAACCTGTGGATTTCGTCTCAGATCCCTCGGGATTCCTCTCCAACGTGGAGAACCAAAAAGTCAGAGACTGGGCGCGTGAGGTACACGTTCTTTGGAGAAACCTGAGCTGCAGAGTCGCTGACTCGGTTAGAGAGTCTCCTGGCCGGCACACGCTGCTACCGTTGCCGGAACCGGTTATCATTCCCGGTTCGAGATTCAGAGAAGTCTATTACTGGGATTCTTATTGGGTCATCAAGTCAGTGTTTCTAGCTTTCAAATCACAATCTAATGTGTTTTTTTTTGTTTTTTGTTTTTTATACAATTGATTCCTCTCCTTTTGACATTACGTGCTGACTACGAAACAAGAGCTCACGTGTCACCGTCTTGTAACATGTGCTTTTTGCATGTGCAGAGGACTTATGACTAGTAAAATGTTCACTACCGCCAAAGGATTAGTCAAGAATCTCATGTCACTTGTGGAGACCTATGGTTTCGCTTTGAACGGCGCTAGAGCTTATTACACTAACAGAAGGTAACAAACTATTTTGTCTTTTCTTTCAATGGAATTTGTCTTTATATGCCTATAACGGATAAAACTAAATAGTTATGTTTATATGTTTTTGATTGTTACAAGCCAACCACCTCTATTGAGCTCAATGGTCTATGAGATATATAATGTAACCAAAGATGATGAACTTGTGAGGGAAGCTATCCCTGTGCTTGTCAAAGAGTACGAGTTTTGGAACTCAGGTTAGTTAAGTAGTTATATAGTTAGATGATCAATATATTAATTACTTCTTAGACTTAATTTTTGGTTATGTTATCTTCTTTGTAGGAAAACATAAAGTGGTTATTCGAGACGCCAGTGGTTATGATCACGTTTTAAGCCGTTATTATGCTTTGTGGAACATGCCACGGCCTGAATCCTCTGTTTTTGTATGTTTCTTTGTCTATTTGCAAACAGTATTTTCTAATGTTTATTGTGAGACAAAACTGTTGACTCTTTCTCTCTATGTAATCAACCACAGGATGAAGAATCCGCTTCAGGGTTCTCGACTATGTCAGAGAAACAACGGTTCCATCGAGATATAGCCTCGGCTGCTGAATCAGGATGTGATTTCAGCACGCGATGGATGAGGTTCAATTAGTTTAACATACTAATTAAGATTCGTTGATGTTACTAGCTACTGTCACTTATAGTTATGCTCAAAATAATATTTTGCATGCAGGGATCCTCCTAATTTCACAACTATGGCTACAACATCAGTTGTACCTGTTGATCTAAACGTGTTTCTTCTCAAGGTTTGCACTTTTCTTGAACCTAAATCTCTTCGATTAAGGTACGTGTAGGTATGTTTTGCGGATATGCTCTAGTAAGCATTTTATATGATCTTTTGACTGTAGATGGAACTCGATATAGCATTCTTGATGGAGATTTCCGGGGATAAAAATGGTTCAGACCATTTTGTGAAAGCATCGAAAGCTAGAGAGAAAGCATTTGAAACCGTGTTTTGGAATGAGGAAGCAGGACAGTGGCTAGATTACTGGCTTTCCTCCAATGGTGATGTAAGTTACATATAATCTTTAATTACAATTTCAGATTTCTAATAGTATACTGTTGATGAGAAAGCATTTGAGAGCGTGTTTGTGTCTTCAGGAGCCTGAGGCATGGAAAGCTGAGAACCAGAACACCAATGTTTTTGCATCTAACTTTGCTCCAATATGGATTAATACCATCAGTTCAGGTTAACTATCTATATATGTGTATAGATGTTACACATCTATGTTTTGTATATGAACCTTTTTGAAATTTGTAACATGCATGTAGATGAAACTCTGGTCAAGAAAGTTGTGAAAGCTCTCAAAAACTCAGGACTCATAGCTCCCGCTGGAATCCTCACATCTTTGACAGATTCTGGACAACAATGGTAAATGAACCATGTTGTTTGAAGTTCCACTTGAATCTTTATATTTACTTGATAAAGCATCTTGTTTATTAAAGATTTGGTTTCATTGGAACAGGGACTTTCCAAATGGGTGGGCACCGCAACAAGAAATGATCGTTACAGGGCTCGCGAGCTCGAGCTCAAAGGAAGCAAAAGAGATGGCAGAGGATATTGCAAGGAGATGGATAAGAAGCAACTATCTTGTATACAAGAAAGGTGGGACTATGCATGAGAAGCTTAAGGTTACAGAGCTTGGTGAATATGGTGGTGGAGGAGAATATATTCCGCAGGTAAATACATTGCTATTCAATTTTCATATCAACGTACGAGGGAAGAGTTTACAATAAAGTTTTGACTTTATTTTATGTACCAAAAAAATTGCAGACGGGATTTGGATGGTCGAACGGGGTTATATTAGCATTCCTGGAGGAGTTTGGATGGCCTTCCAACCTCAGCATTGAACCCTAGATTTACTACTTTTTATTTAACTTACCATTTTATATAAATAAAAACATTATGATATACTGGTGAACGTAGTTTCTTACTTTGTTGTGGTGGATCTCTTGGGGGTTTGTTTCTATCAGAATGTTATAGAGTTCCAACTTACAAGTGTTATATATATATATATATATGATCAATAAGGACATGCAAAATATATATATGAACCAATGTAGAGATCAATACTTAAACATCTAATGGTACATGGGAAAATTGGTGGATTCAGTTGGTTAACAAGTTTTAATAAGATGACAAAAAGCTTAATTCTAATTAATCTGTATTTAATAAAATTAGTACGTTCATTATCTCTTTTATCTGCCTAAACCATTTGATAGATTCTTTGAATGGTGGAAAAACTAACTTCACTTTCCGTGTCCTCCTTGAAAAGTAAATTCATTAGTATATCAAGTTTCTTTTCTCCAATAACGTAATTTATTATTCAAAACAAAACCCATTAGCAAATCAACTAGTATTATGTAGTATAATAATTGTTAGAGTCTTAGAGATGTGCAACCATACAAGTGAATACGAATATACACGATCGGAAGATAAAATCTTGTTTGTCAAATTTATTACTCAGAAGATCAAAATCAAATGGCTTTTCTACCCAAAAAAAAAAAGATTGTAATTATATTTTAAGGAACATAAAAAAAGTAAGCGTAAAAGGGGAATATAAGCCAATAGATCTAAGAGAGATTATAAAGGCAATAACGAAAAAATATAATGAAAATTATTGGTTTGTTTTTTTTAGATTACACATAAATATATGTATAAAAGGATAAAAGGGGCAAAAACCAAAAAAATGTGTAGGGTTTTAAATTTGCAAAACTCATTATTTGGTGTAAGGGAGGGCCGATCAAAAGAGTGGCAATCATTGAAGAAGTTGTCCTCTTCTTTTTATTTTAAAATATTTTTAAAAATAATCATCCCAATTTGATCCCATCTAAGCATTTGCATTGTATAATTCCACAATTTGATCCATACTAAACAAAAGTATTGAATTTTATAATGTTCGGTCTTGATGTCACACTGTAGTTCTTTAAAAACCAAACTAATTTTTTACTTCATGAAAAAAATTACAATAATATTATAGATCACTGAAAGTAATCTGATTCAAAATCTCCAACATAACATTTCCATGCTAAGTTTCAGTTAGGACCAAGACAAATTAAGCTTGCCCACCGAATAATAAACTAAAGCAATTCACATTCAATTATGACTATAAAACTATGGAAACTAACACTTGGTGTGTGTTATTTGAGTTGTTGGCTTGAAATGGGTGAGTGGGGGGAGCTGAATTATTATTATTATTCATAGAAGCTACTTAAAAAATAAGTGATTAATGACTAATGAGTGATCAAAAGTGGCTTATGAGTCAAATATAGTTGGCAAACAAAATATTTATACATCTATGATTTTTATGTAATCAGTACTCTACTAGTTTATATTTCTTTTTTTTTTCTTTTTTTTACTAGTTTATATTTCAATTAAGTTGCAAAAGGTTTTTTATAAGTTGGAAAAAGGTAATCATAAACAGAATCTCCGTTTGGATGAATCAGATTGTACCAAACGAATCCTAATAGAAATATTGCAGTTTGTTTAAATTATAAACCAACACCCCTTTTTATTATAAAAACAACCCTTTTGTTATCAGCAATTATCTAGGATATATAGTAGCAGTAGTACGTTCAGATTTGTGTTGGCATTACTTGTTACTAATTTTTATAACTAGTGAAGAAAGTTAGTAGCCCCCATTCCAAAAACCAACTAATTTAAATGCCTTGGAGAAAATTTTGAAGCTAATTCTCGCTTATTTATTGTTTTCGTGATACTAGGTCGAAGGTTAGCTTTTTCTTTATATTTTGAAGGTGCTAATTCTGACTAACAAAGAAAATACGTGTATTTTTTTAGTTTGTAAAGTAATAGTATAATTGTTTTGAAAACGTGATTTGAGTTCTTTTTGAAAATAGTCGGTTGTTCTATAAAGAAGATAATTTAGAATTTTAGATGGCCGTAAACTTTTTTTTTTGGAACCGGCAACACAAGTTGCAATTAGATTGAAAACTTTAGTTAATGATATTAAAAAAATACAAATAGGGTTGGAAAATAGTGGTTAATAGTTTTATAAAAATTATGCCAACGGATGATGCATAGAGAATCTTCCGTCCAAGTAGGGATTGGTTTGCTGCTGGTCAAAACTATTCATTTTGGGTTCCCAAAACCCCATGTGCACTTTCTCATTTGTCAAACTTTCAAATGTTTATAAACTAAACTAAAAACCATTTAACTTCCTTTTATAACCGTTTGTAATAAAAATATTGACTGATTCGATCACAAATTTTATATGATCTACTATGAACCTAGGTAGGAGCTGGACCATGAGTTACCATTAGGTGTTGAACATTTGCATTTTAGCTGTTCCCTTTTCTCCCCCGTGTAGACATGAGTCTTGTAATGTACGATATCATGATTAACTAATCATGTCTAATCTTATCTAATTAATTTTTAGTATTAAAGCTCAAATAATTACATAATAACACATGTATGTGTGAAGAATGGTACGTAACATCTCACATCTGATCGATGTCCTTTATATTTGAAAGTAGATTTTGCAAATGACTTTATTAATTTTCTACTATTACCAACTAATAATAATGAATCTATCTTTGTGTTACATGATGGATATATGTAAGCCACAAATATTTTTCCCATGACACCTTTTCGCTTGATAAGGAAGACGCCATTCCATTGGCTATGATGAGGAACTTTACCTTTTCTTTTTCATAATTATAGCGAAAGAGAAACGCATAATAAGCCAGAAAAGAATATTCATAACATAAAAAAGAGATATGGTATATACAATGTACTTTCAAATACGCTTAGACTATTTATCGTCACATTGATAACTATCTCTATAAACTAGGCATTTTAAAAGTATATATATATATATATATATATATATATCAACATCATCATGATTCTAAAGAGGTACTTTGGGTTGAAAAACTAAACAAGGCAGAGATGATTTTCATATGTGATAGATGTTTTGGTTACGTAATATAAGAAAAGTTATGTGAAAAATGAAATTTGGTCCCCAGTTTCGTTGGCGCTAGCCAATACAAGTGCCCCAAAAAGCTGATTCTCCATTATCTCCATATTTTCCAAATTTTTTCTTTTGTTTTAAACCGAAAGTGTAATTTAGTTTAAGTGGCTACGAAAGTAACGTTTTCAATTTTTTGGTTGGGCAGATCTGCCTTTTTGCCATTAGTTGATATACTGTTTGACATTACCATGTTGATGAAGGTGCACAATGTCTTTTGTTTTAGTACAAGTGTGATTGGTTATTTTATGAGTACTCATATAACTTTTGTCATTTACAGTAAAGTTGGCATATTCATAGTTTGATTCATAATTAGGTCGTTGGACTGGAGCAAGTTTCTTACATCCCAAAAAAAAAAAAAAATAGTCTGACAAAAACAAGAGTACGTACTCGAAGACACTAGATCAAAAAGAGTACTTTAAAGCTTCAACACATTGGTACCCAAAAAAACAAAAGTGGGTAGAAGACACTGATTGAGAGTAGAAGTTCAAGATTCACTCAAACTCACTTTCGGATAAGCGCATGCAATAGTAATCGAGCTACCAACGTGACAATGAGCTGGAATCAGCTTGTACTCAAGACACAACAAGGACAATACGAAAAATGTAAGGAGGGAGAAGCTTTGCATCTTCTATCATCTATTGTCGTTTGTTGCTATGTTTTGTATGAAAGGGAGCACACATGAAACTTTAGGATGTGCCAAACAAGAGAGATAGAGAAAGGTTTACATAAGCTCCAAGGTCTTTGAAATCATTGAATGTGTTCATGAATTGTAAGGAATTAAGGTTTTTTTATTTGGTATTGGGGGATGAACGTAATTAAGTTCTTAATGTTAAAACACTAAAAAAATAAACATGTAATACTACAACTATGTGATAAGGTTATATAAACTCCGTCTTATTTATATATTTGACTCTAGTAAACTAGTAAGAAGTACGTTCATTCGTGAGAGGTGCATGTGAGCTTTAAAGTATTCAACACAAATTTATTAAGCATATAGAATCATTGGCTGAATCCTTGCAAGAAAACTTGTAACGAGATGACTTTAAAAAAACGGTATTGGATGTTACGGAGACATTGACATTGAATTATTGAAAAATCATTGATCATTGATCATGAACAATTAACAATCAAACCAATTAGTAATCAAATTAGTATTTTTTTAATGATGGGTGACCGTGTTCCAAGGGAGACGAGAAGCGATCCAGTACGCAGTTTGTATAAACCTCACGTGCGTTAACCTTCTCATAAGGACAGATGCATCGGCGTATGCAGCCATCGTCCCTCCACTTATTTTTATTAAAAAAAGAAAAAAAAAAACAAGAAGGACGTCGATAAAAACGGGACGGTCCTATCTCTTCTTTCTTTACAATTTGCGGGCCCCACTGACACGTAGCGGCCCGCGATTGGTTTTGTTTTGTTTTTTTCTTTTTTTAAAAAAAAAAATCTAAAAATTTAAAAAAAAAATATATATATATATATATATGTTGAGAGACGATTATACCGATGTGCATGGTCTAAGATTCTTCTTTTTTATGTTTCTACAATACTAATTACTTCCTTTTAATTCATCCACATTGTATTCTCTTTAGACCAATAGACCAAAACGTATTTTTAAAAGTTTAGACTAAGTATATAATTATTTCTCAAACATCAATGCCATATGAATGGACTAGTGCTAATTTTACATTATTCCATTATAAGTTGTTGATGATAAATAAATAAAAAAGAAGACTGTATGTATATAGTTACCGGTAGTCCCAAGACCGGCGTTTATTCCGAGATTGATATAGGAAATATAAGTATTTTGTTTTAATTAGAGGATTAGTAAAGCAATAAAATGAGGATAGAATAATTAGTTAATGAGTGACACCAAGTATACAACTAATACGTCACGACTGTATAATTGTCCCCTAGAAGTAGTCAAACCTTAGCCCTTTTGACCGTTTATATATTTGTGCCTTCGACCACAATCTTTTCCATTTTTGATCTTGCTGAGTTGATTCCACCACTCAAGCGATAGTTCAAATTTCGATTAACAAAATAAGGAACAAATTAACAAAATTTCGAATCAGAGACTGACAGCTGTTAATTAGATTGAATACTAAATAGTAAATTAATTAGGTTTGACCAAAATGATTTCATAAATTAATCATCAATCCAAGAATAATATAAGTCACATAATTTGATTATTTACTAAAAGCCACATGATAGCTCTCTAAAAAAAGATATAACAAATCAACCCATACCAAAAGTTGATGATTTGTTTCCCATTACACCACTGATATGTATGTTTCAAATTTTCTGTTGAATACTATTTTAAAAGATTTGTTTCCAATTTTAGTTGATATTTTGTTATAATTGTTACCATTATATAATTAAAACAAAATCTTAAAGGATAATTCGTGTTGCTTAGAAAGAGCTTGAAAAAATGGATACGTATCAAATTAATTTTTGAAAACTTTGTTTCAGTTTCAAAACTTAAAAACTCAGTCAGCCATTTCTTAAATCGGTTTTAATATGTCTAATATTTGACAAAATGTATCCATGTAAGAGATAATATCCTTGTGGTTTTTGTTATCCCCATTGCTTTCGCAGTATTTTCTGCTTCCAAACCTAATGTATAGCCATATTTTGATAAACCTTATTACTGGTTTTAAACAAGAACTAATAATATTATCATAATCTAAATACAAAGAGTAGAGACCTACCACTACGAAATGATTTTAAACAAGAACAAAGTACAAGAATGAAAATTTAATACTCTATATCTTTTCACCGATCTTTTTATCAAAACGTTGTAGTATCTACTACTACTAGTAGTGTTATCTTTTTCTTTAATCATCATCATCATCATCATCATCATCATCATCATCATCATCATCATCATCATCATCATCACCATCATCATCAATTCGAAGTTGACTATAAATAAACACATAACTATTTCTTCCATCTTTGCCAGGCGGCGTTGCCTTAAAAAAAAAACCTGACAAGAGCATACCACACCACTCTTCTCTCTCTCTTTTATTTTTTTTTGTTCGTAATATGAAAGTTACAATTATATCCTCCTAACTGAAAACGGCAAATTACGTTCTTCTTATTTGTTTGCTTCCTTCTCTTCTGTTTTTCTTTTTCTGTGGCTTTAAATTCTTCTTTCATATTAATTCCGAAAGAGAAGAGAAGAGAAATAAAAAAAAGACTCTTCAGTCGCACATAGCCAGCCGCCGTTAACAGAATAATAAAACTCCGATGATCGAGACAGGAAGATACCTTCTCGGCGCCGCCGGTGCTAGCGGTTTCGGTTCCAAATCCACCGCCGAAGAGGTTACCGAGAACTGCGACCTTCGTTCCATCACAGCCATCATCACCGGTTAGTGTTTTTAATTTTTTCTCCTCTTTCTTGTTTACGAATCGTCTTCTTGATTCTTATATATATGGTCCTTCGAATAGGTGCGACGTCGGGGATCGGAGCGGAGACGGCGAGAGTGTTGGCGAAACGAGGAGCGAGGTTGGTATTCCCGGCGAGGAACGTCAAAGCGGCGGAAGAAGCTAAAGAAAAGATCGTCTCTGAGTTCCCGGAGACGGAGATCGTCGTTATGAAGCTTGATCTCAGTTCTATCGCCTCCGTACGAAGCTTCGTCGCCGGTTTCGAGAATCTTGATCTACCTCTTAATCTTCTCATGTAAGTCTCACAATCCCTTATTAATCGATATGCATGTTTTTACACATGTACGTACGTGTGTCTGGTTCTGGGGATTTTATTATGTGAACAGAACATAATCTCAGTTCCTTCTTAAGTTTCTGTTGATTTGGATTTGTTTTTAATTATTAGTATTATTATGTTATGTGTGATTTTTAATTATTTAATATACAATTGTCGAATCAGAAACAACGCAGGCAAGTTAGCACATGAACATGCAATATCCGAAGACGGGATCGAGATGACATTTGCCACTAATTATCTAGGTATTTATTACTATTTTCTTAATTATTTATACGATTCCCTTACTCTATGTGACAGATCCTAATTAATTACCCACATTATACTAATAAATTTGTCATATCTTTTTTGTTAATGGCCTTCTTAATTATTATCATTGATCAGGTCACTATCTCTTGACCAATTTGTTGCTGAAGAAGATGATTCAAACGGCAGAGGAAACAGGAGTTCAAGGACGTATCGTTAACGTTACTTCGGGTATCCACGGCTGGTTTACCGGCGACTTGATCGACTACCTCCGGCTGATTTCACAACCCAAGTGGTAAGAATAATCTCTTTAATTTATCTTCTGGTTGAGTCAGGAGTAGGTTGTAAATGTTCCATTCTATACTTAAATTCTCCAAATCAGAAAAAGCTGAATTATTACTGTAACATCTACAAGCTAGTACAATTTCATATAAGAGCCTGATAGCTAGAACTATAAATGAGAGACTAGGATTGGTGTTCTTGAGATGTGAATAAAAAAGCTTGTCGAGGAATTTACTTTTTACCCTACTATAAAGCTAAAAAAAGCTGCGTAGTTGTTAATGTTTCGACTGATGAGTGACAGTAACTCGACAGAGGGTAAATAAATGTGAAAAGGGAGTAAAAGGGTTTTGACCTTTTGGTAATGTAACATTTTTTTTTTCTTTTCTTTTGGTTTATGATCGATTAGTCAATTCGATGCGACACGTGCGTATGCTCTCTCGAAGCTTGCCAACGTTTTGCATACCAAGGAGCTCTCTTCTCGACTCCAGGTCTCTTTCTCTCCCCCACACTCTCTTTTTTACTTGCATCCATTTAATAAATTACTCATAACACAATAAATAATTACCCCAATTAAAAAAAAAACTCAGAAGCATAATGGTAGAAGTTAATGTGTGTCATAATTGTCAAATTTATTGATTTTCTTTTGTCAAAGTATAAATGAAAGGGTGAAAGTGTATGGGAAGGAGACAACAAGAAACCTAGATAACTAGGATTTGTATTATAACCAAAAACATGAAAGAGTTAGTTAAGTCACACACTAGAAAGTTTTATTTGACTATTGAGCATAGTTAGGATTTAGGACAATCATGTGGGTCATTAAACTAAAGTGATTAAAAGTTTTGTTTATAAAAATAGTATTTAATGGTTAAAGAAAACAAAAAAAAATTGCAGAAAATTGGAGCGAACGTGATAGTAAACTGCGTACACCCAGGAGTTGTTAAAACCCGGTTAACAAGAGACCGAGAAGGCTTATTAACAGGTTGGTTTATTTTTAATTTTCCTCACTAACATACATAAGCATATTGTAGTTTATTCTTGAATGATTATAATGATGATCAAGATTCTTAATTATATATCTACATATGGCTTCCCTTTTGTCTTTTACCTACTCAGATCTCGTCTTCTTCCTGGCTTCCAAGCTCGTTAAGACCGTCCCTCAAGTAATATATTGTTATCTGTTTTTATTTAATTATAAAGTTTGTAACATCTTAATCAGTGTTGGATAAGTCATACTTTTTTGTTGTTAATCCTGTTTAAGATTATTGGACTTATGTGCTACTTTGTTTGATTTTGGTATGTGCTATTAGGCAGCAGCAACGACTTGTTACGTGGCAACAAATCCAAGACTGGTGAACGTATCGGGAAAGTACTTTACGGACTGTAATGAAACGATGCCGTCAGGACTTGGATCAAACTCCTCTGAAGCTACCAAATTATGGGCTGCTTCTGAGATTCTCGTAACTCAACCTTCCAAGGCCGGCTTCGACCCATGCAGCTAAAGGGGGAAGAAAAAGTAGAAGTAATTATCTTATCATATACCACCATTAGGAAAACATATTATACTAAAATCTTATTAGATGTGAAAAAAATATTATAAAGCTTAGTTGATATATATACAATTAGTATTCTATTTCTATAGTGCGAATGCGAAGCTAAATGTACGTATACGTTGTAGTCTTTGTTTATACTTAAGTTATACTACATGGGAGAACACTTAATTAAATCTAATGTTTTGTCATGGGTTTATTTAAAGTGTATATATGTTCAGAAGAAGAGTGCAACTTGAACTAGAATACTAAACTTAGAATAATAGAAGTTTTAAGTGGGGAATCATAATGTCAATCATTAGTTTCGAAAGTGCTCGGAAGCTCTTTTAATCTTTTGATAATCTTGTGATTAACTCATTTGGACGGATGTGTAAGAGATCTCTCTTTCTTATCGTTTTTCCTTCTTTAAAGAACTTTTCTAAAAATAATTTCGTATTGACATTGACTATTCATGTCCATGTGAAATAGTATACGAAGTTTTGGCTTTCCATCACTGTTTTTATTATTATTGTTACGTGTGAGGCTAATTTGGATGTTGATTTTTTTTTTCTTTAATAATGAGTTTTGCACTTTGCATTGATTAGTTTACCTTTTGCTTTAATAGTTATACGTATACCCGTGAGTTTATGCAAAAAATAAACTAACACGAACTAATATTCTGACTTTATAAACGTTAATTTGTTTATCTCGTTCTCGTATATATTAATAAGAGGAATGATATAGCAAAAATAATCGAAAAAAGGATAAGAAATAAACCCATAAGAAATCAACAAAGAACATGAAAAGAAATCATATAATATGAAAAAGTGTGAGAAAAAAAAAAGTTAGATAGATGAGAGAATCGGTTAGAGATGGGTTCTTTAAGATAATAAGATAGGAAGAGGAGAGGACCGCAGATAAAAAATGGCGCATGATAATACTTTTGAGCGTGGGTCTCTTCTCTTCTCTTCTCTCTATCTCTTCTTTTTCTTTTTCTTTTCTTATCGTAGAGAGTAGAGACCCTACTAACATGCGCCAGGGGTTTTCACTTTTTTCACTTGTGGAAAAAGAACTCTCGTGCGCCATCAAACTTGCTCCGTCCTTACGGAGAATTCTAATCATTGCATAAGAGAAGCAAAAAGAGAAAGGTTGGCGTAAAGAAGAATGGTTAAAACTTATAAGTATAGTTTAAACAAGAAACAATGCACATGTCTTCTCAGTTTCAACAACACTTTAGTTTGGCGTGGAAATCTCTAGCATGTAAAACAAAACAGCTCACACATGGGCCGTGGCGATACATTTGATAAATTCGTAGTGGCTCGGTGATATAATTAGCAATTTGTTTTAGTGTTACGGGCTGACTCTTAATGGACCTACATCTTATTTGATGAAGGTCATTAATTGTGTAAATAAAAGCCCAAACCTGTTGAGGTTGAATGCGAGCTCCTTCTTTATAACCTGCAAAATATATACTATAGAAATTGAGTCTTGGCTATCAATATTTCTTTTCAAACAGTGATGTTTAATAGCAACCTCTAGAAAGGATGGTGCAATCTAATATTATAAATTTATCCGAGAAACAACATGTTATCTCTTTTCTTACCAATTGCATCTATTACACGTCTTCTTTTTTTGTGTTCTCTTTCAGATAGTACTCCTTTGATCTTATGTTCATGAAAGAAGATTAGATGTGTTGTCATATCGCGCTACATTTGATCTTGTGTGTTGGCTAATGGCTACTCCTTTTTCAGTTTTTGTTTACTTCCCTTCATATAGTACTCCCTAGTCCCTAAAGACGTTGCTGATTCATTTAAAACTGGACAAAGAAGGAAGCCCAATAATTTCATTAGTTTTAATAGCCCATAGTACAACTGAAAACTAAATTGAACAAATCAATTCATCCAAAACATTCAACCTACTTACATAGTGAACCAGAGCAATGGATATAAACCTCTCGATTAAGAGATGAAAGGTTACGTCCGTACGGGTGTCTCCATCTCCAAGGAGTCAAACTCGTAACCCTTCTTTTCCTCTTTCTATGAATATGTTAAAAGCTAAAGACTTCAGTTGAAAAAAAAGAGTCTATATATGAGTCATTCATCCTAATATTTTACTCGAAACAAACGCTTGCATCAGATTATTTATCTCCTCTCCAGAAGTGTATTCAAGAAAGCAGAAAAAAGAAAAATACAACTATTGGTAAAGTGGCTAATGGTGCAGAGAATGGCACAAGTTGGGGTTAAGGTGGTGCGGGGTTTGTTTTGTCCAAACACACGCTGACATGGACCGCAACTTCTAAAAGATGCTATCCACGCACTACGTAGGACCCTTAACAAAATCCAACGGCTCAGATTCGGTGGACCTTTTCTTCGTCGAGAGAATTATCAGACAAGGCACGCGCATGGGGTCATGTAGGACCCTAACCTTCACCGGCCACACCAAGCCGGTAATGACCGTTCATTATTCGACTCGGTCAACTCTTTTCACGACACTTGTCCACATCTTTCACACACACTCTCTCTGTTATATCTGTCACTTTTATGATTACTACTTTAAGAAACGAAGATTAAATCAAGTTTACCAAAGAGACTAATCTTTATTTGCATATGAATCGAATGCAATTAGTATATATATTACTTTCGTTTTTCTCTTCTTTCCTTACCTAAAAATGTTATTATATTTGTTTGGTAACTTCTTCATTGGTGGTGATAAGAAGAAGATGACTAAACAAGGGGAGGAGCGTGGCATGTGGAGTGAAAGAAATTAGGTGTTCATGAGCTGTTTTGTACACTAAGATAGCTCACGTGGCGATGACACATAGGTCATGTTGGATCTGAGGGCCACACTAATCAACCACACCACAACGTTCTATGATGGAAGTAGAGATCATGACCGTCTAATATGAAATCTCAAAAGCATATATTCGTGCGATACAGGTAATCATAGCCTAATTGGAATCTTAAGTCACACGTGAAATACGGATAAGTTGTATAGTATGAGATAATAATAACAGATCATGAGCATTTTTTTTTTTTAAATAATCCGGTTGCTTTGCATGTGGACCTTTTACTTAAGGGCGTCTTTGGCTTCTCTCTTCTTAACATTTTCACATAATGTTTTTGTTTCTATATAGCTGACTTGTTACGTGTAAATGATAAGTGATCCCAAGCATATACATGTCAAAAACATATGAAATGTGTTTTGTTTTGTTGTTCTTTAATTTAAGAATATACATACAATAGCACGATCAAAATAAGCTTTAAGAGGTCAACTCGATTGTCAATGGATGGTCAACTTATTAGGTCCTTGAATTTTAATTCCTCCGTACTAATATGATACTGATAATAATGTATACTTTATATCGTGAAAAAGTGTTATACTTTTTATATATAGCTTTTCGACCACTGATCTTTTTTCTTTTGTTCGATAATTATTTCTAAAGATAATAATCTTCTAACAAGATAGTTTAAAAAGGACACAACTATCACACTATGCTAAACGATTTTTTTTTTTTAAGTGTATTTATTTTCATTCAAATGTGATGATGTATTTGTAGCAGAAGTTGTGTTTGATGCTTTTTATACTTGTAAAGTAGTATGTATCGATTCCACCAAAAAGAAAAGTAGTATGTATATATCGATATAATTGATCAACTAAATGTATCAATATATATAAATTATATAATCAAGTACTGGTTAACTAAATGTGTAACATGATACATGTATAATGTTAAATAATGAATTATGTATCATATCAATATAATCAATTTGTTTGCCCGATAACTTTCTAGAAACAATAATTAAGAAATATTTGGGCAAAAGAAACCCACTAGCTTTCCATGAATTTACTATATATGAAAAGAGCAGTCGACTTTTGAAACAGAAGAAGAGACCAATCTACTTTAAAGTTCAGGCATTCAAATCAAATTAGGAAAAAATTTCATGTACTATATACAATATTTAAAATTTTAGAACACAATTGAAAACCGTCGTGGACGTTAAGACTTAAATATCCAATACCTAACTAATGACCAAATTTTCAATCGGACTCGGATTTTCAAAGTTGAAATTTTCCTTGAACTGAATAACAACAAGTAAATTAATAAATTAAACCAATTAAGAAATTGATAGATGATGTGGTATCAGATAAACACACATTTAGTCAATATATTTCCAAAAGCATAACCATAATTTGCTTGTCGATTAGGATTTACGAATATGTAACTTCTTTTAGGTGTTTACGCGTTGATACTCTTTAATATATATGTTTTTCTCCAATATATATATCCCTAATTGAGAGAATCTGATTATGTTATGCTAGAACTAATTTTTTTTCTTTATTATGCGCCAGAAATAATAATTTAGAGATTGAAAAGACAAAATGAATTTAGTTCTGATTACCACACACTTAGTATAAGATAGTATGTTTTTTTCTCTCTAGAATCATGTTTTCTTACAAGTTCAACGACATAATTGTGACGATTTTGCAAAGAAAAATGTTTACAGTTTTTCATCACAATCGCATAAATGTTGAAAAATATTGATAATTAGTCATTTTAAACAATTAAGAACTTAAGTTTTGGTAATGCATTGGTTTTTGAATGCAGCATCATCGCTATTTGTTTTATTGAAATTGGCTACATGTAAAATTGTATGAACTTCCACCTAATTAATCCATGTTATATGATGTGTGATGTGTATATATGTGTGATGTGTATATAAAATATAAGCCCATACGTACATGCTTATAATATATATGGACGCGTATTAAAGTAGTATTTCTCAGTACGACAAAGATTCCCACTCGGAATGTTTTATTAATCTTATATTATACAATTTGTTCTCTCTCTCTCTCTCTTTCTCTAGTCTCTCTACCATAAAGCAAATGTGATCAGAGACAAAGCATACAACAAAGAAGTTCCTCATTCAAAAAAGATTTCTCAGCCATCATCATTTTTCCATTCTCTTCATCTTACCCCAAAAAAATAAAATAAAAAAGAAACGAAATACATAGCTTTACTTCTTCCAAATACAGAAGTCAATTAACAAAAAAGAATTATCAGGTTTTGTTTCCGCTGATCTGAGGAAGTGCATCATCTATGGATACGGCTCAATGGCCACAGGTATGTTTTTTACATATCGTCTTCTTACAACTCAACATGTATGTGTTGATGTAGGTTAGATTGTTTGATTCATCTTGGCTTTGATCAGTACACGATCTTAACTTAGAATCCCCTTTTATGTTTTGGATCTTCTTCTTTTTGATGTTACTCTTCTTTTCAACAGTTTTTTTTTGGACCTTCTCCTTTAATTAAATATATGGTTTTTTCACTTTAGACTTTTTTAATTTTGCTTTTTTCTTTTATGTTTCTTAGTTAAAGCCTTTCTCAAATATATCCCAATCATTTTGTTTTGATGAAAACTCATTAATTTGTTGATAGACAGTACATGTACATGTTAATCTTGTATATATTGGCAAAGGTTTTCATTTTGTGCTAATGGTTGAAAGAGATGTTTCTGTGATTTTGATGATCAGGAGATTGTAGTGAAGCCCTTGGAAGAAATAGTAACAAACACATGCCAGAAGCCGCAACAGCAACAGCTTCAGCAACCACCAACGGCTGGGGCTGCGGGGGGAGAGAGGAAGGCAAGGCCAGAAAAGGACCAAGCTGTGAACTGTCCGAGATGTAACTCAACCAACACAAAGTTTTGTTACTACAACAATTATAGTTTGACGCAGCCAAGATACTTCTGCAAAGGTTGTAGAAGGTATTGGACCGAGGGTGGTTCCCTTAGGAACATTCCTGTTGGCGGTGGCTCAAGAAAGAACAAGAGATCTCACTCATCTTCAATTTCTTCTTCTTCTGATCTTGGCAACAATCACTCAGTTTCTACACAACCAGCTACAAAGAAGCATCTCTCTGACCATCACCACCACCTCATGAGCATGTCTCAGCAACAAGGTTTGACCGGTCAAAACCCTAAATTCCTTGAGGCGACCCAACAAGATCTCAATTTAGGTTTTCCACCACATGGGATGATCAGAACCAACTTCACTGACCTCATTCACAACATTGGCAACAGTAGCAGCAACAACAAGAGCAGCAACAATAACAATCCATTGCTTGTGTCTTCATGTTCTGCCATGTCAACTTCTTCTTTGGATCTCATAAGAAACAGTAGTAATAATGGGAACTCTTCAAATTCTTCGTTTATGGGCTTCCCAGTTCATAATCAAGATCCAACATCAGGAGGGTTTTCAATGCAAGATCATTACAAGCCTTGCAACACAAACACAACACTGCTAGGGTTTTCATTAGATCATCATCATAATAATGGATTCCATGGAGGGTTTCAAGGAGGAGAAACAGGAGGAGAAGGTGGCGATGATGTGAATGGAAGGCACTTGTTTCCTTTTGAGGATTTGAAGTTGCCAGTTTCTTCTTCATCAGCATCAGTCAGTGTCGACGTTAATGAGCAACAGAAGCGAGAAAGTGGTGGTGATGCAGCCGCCACATCTGGTGGCTATTGGACTGGGATGTTGAGTGGAGGATCATGGTGCTAATTAATTTCTCGCCTTCCATTGATTGATGAAGTTAGTACTACTATTACTGGTTAATTATTGCTATTTATTTAATTAATCAATATGTTCTTCACTTTGAATTTTATTATTGGTGGGTTTTTTAATTTTTTTTTTTTTAGTTTTTCTTAACTTGGATTTAAGGATATTATTATTGGGGGTGCATGCATATTGAATGACTTTAATTTGTTTTGAATTTTGTTATTGCTAACACAGATTATAAATGATACATTTGGTTGGTCTTTTGATGTTCCTTCTCTTGTTATTATTATTATTTTTAAAATTTTACATTCAGAAAAATTTAATGTGTTTTTTTTTCAAGTTCTATATTTAGTGTGCGATTAATTGTATGAAACAGCGAAGTATGTTTTTTTCTCTTTTGGTCACGCAACACATGGATGTCAATTTTGTTAAAGAACATGTACATATTTTTTTAAAAAATTAATTAAGAGAGAAATTAAAAACATAAAGGAGAGAGACAGGTAAGCTCTGATGACTTTCACATGATCCTCACTAAATACACTTAGCTAATATTATTTATTGCTAAAGATAGTTTAGCCCTACCATCGCAATTAACTAATAAAAACCATTATTCCAATTAAAATTCTTTCTAAATAGAATAAATTATTGGATTCGTTCTTGACCAAAGAAAATTGAATGGGTTCGTTTACAAAAAACAAGGAAATGTACCAAATTAAGTTTTATGCATTTTGGTTACATATTATGGATATGGGCAGGGGTGAGTGAGTTTGGAAAATGTTGATTTCATGGATGGTTTAGTTTGTGGTTAGCACTTAGCAATTTCGAAACGATAACAATAACAAAATGTACATGTTTTTGGTTTTTTCGATGTGTAGACTGAAGAGGCAAAGATTGATTATTCAAAATTGAAAACAAAGAGAGGGAAAGAAGAAAGAATATAATTGTTGAGAGACTTGAGAGAGAGAGACAGAGACAGACAAAGTCACAAGTCTAAAAAGGACTTTGAGAAGGTGTGGGCCTCACAGAAACATTCTCCTTGAAATCTGTGTGTATGAAATCATACATCCCACTACTAAAATATATTGTTTCATCAATCTAGATCTTGACCCCTTGCTCTCTAGCTCCTTGCACTTGCAGTAGTATTACTAGTATTTTATCTAACATTTCTCTTCATATCTACTTACACTTACTGAATATAAATCTCAGCTATATATGTTTCATAGTCTCACTATAAGTTCGGGTAGAAACACCCCATAGCTTTGGAATTTATACATTGCAAAGGAAAAAAAATATAGACAAGGGTCGAACTTTTGTGTTTACAAAAACCACACCGGTCAAAATGGCAGTTGAGAATATTACGACTATCAAAACAGGATATATATATTTAGCTGCATATGTACATAAGTGCTGTGTTGTAAACAGTTAGTTCTAAGTTTATTTTCGACCAATGAATGATAACCACAAGATCATTACGCATTATTATAATATTTGATCAAAGGCGCAATTATACAACTACTATTTGGATGATCTCAAAAAACTCTAGTTAACGAGGTTTCTAGCCGTATATTTTTACAAATTTTACACCGAGATAAAATTATCAATCGTAATCAGTTTTCTCTCTTTGGTTATAAATATTTGTTCATTCGTGAGTTTGTAAAAAAAAAAAAAGGTAAATTTCTGATCATGTTTAAAAATGATTAGAAATAGGACATGTCGTGTTTCTGATCAGATGGGTTTATTTTAAATGCTGAGCCAACCGTTCTATCTATACTGTAGAATAAACACTTTTAAGTTAACAAGAAAATGGTAATGAGTTTATTATGGCGTAAGAAAAAACATAGAAACATCGAGGTCAATGGATTTTAGGTGATGTGTTATGGTGGCCACTATAAAAAGAATGAGAAAAAGAATCCGACCAACGTTAAATAATTTTGTCTGAAAGTGACAATGACTCGACCTTAAGAACATACTTCTACACTAAGTTTTAAATTCGGTGTGCTTGTGTTGAAGTATTCAAGTATGGATGTGATCTTATTCTTAGGGATAAGTTCTAGTGGAGAATGGAACAATTAATAAATAAAATCATATAGATGTCAATTTAAGTTTTCTTCTCAGATTTGTAGCTCAACAACTTCGAATATTAAATCAATCCACGTTCACAAAATTAGTTGAATCTTTTTTTCTCATCAAAATCTTTCTCCAACACTTTTAGTTTTTTTTTTTTCTTAAATTGCTTCTTTGTTTCTTTCTAGTAATCGTATTGATTTTGAAAATTCAATAATTCAAGTTCAATTTTTGAATGTCTTTGAGGATATCCCCACTTGATAATCTACTGAGATTGGTTCTAAGTTCTAACTACGACTATTGCAATCTATATGCACAGTCTTTTGCTTTGTGAGAATTGCATTTATGTTTGTAACCAAAACAAAAAAAAAAAGTATTTATATGTCAGATAATTATATTTTAACAATTGTAGGTCTAGATAGATTTCGAAAGTAGATTTCAAGTTGTTCGGCAAGTGGAGCATTATAATTTATAAGATGATAGGATGGACCATGACATGTAATTGTTACATACTACATAAGGCAAAAGAATATATGTTAAGATCATAGATTCTTTTCAAAAAGAATAATAGATCTCGACATCATGAAATAATAATATCTAAGCTAAGGGAAACTATTTGGTAACTAGAAGAATTGATATGATGGAAATATATTTTGAATTTCTAAGCGAAGACCTACCAAATTTTTTTCAACTTTTCATTTTAGTATATATATAGTTTGGTGCGAAATAAAGGGTTAGATATTGCCATGCAGATCAAGTATCGTAAGATATCAAAACACGAATATGAAATGAAACCATAAGACTTTTAAGATGTTTTATTGTAGACATATGTTTATGAAATAATATACGTTATTATCTTATACAAACATATGTCTCTATTAGTCTATTACTATTATGGTTTGATTTCATTTTCATTACCAAATTTATAGTAAGTGGGTATTGATTAGTAGGTTTAGCTTAATACTATAAATTTTAAATTACGAAAATGATATATTCGATAAGATTAGTCAAGTGCACAATGAATTCGATAAAATATGGATGCTACCGTTGACATGAAGAGAAGAAGATTCGATGCTACCTACGCATAGGTTTTGAAAGACGTTGGGAAAGGTATGACCCTTGAACATGTATATCTTTTTAACGTGAGTGATATATATATACGGTTGCGGTATGCATCATCGTTGTAAACGCACCAAACATTCAAATCTTGCTCACAGAATTAATTTGACTCATAAATAAGTTTCTAAGGATAGTCACGATGTCAAACAAGAAAAAAAAAAAATCAATAGAAACAGAATTTTGAGAACACACGATTAATTAAAGGTGGTCAAATCAAGCTGAACCGATCATTCGTAGTTCTTTTCTGTGTCCGTCAATTTTGATCCTGAAAACAGACAGACAGTCAAGTTCTGTCCTTGGCTTCATACAACCCTAGTTTAAACTTTGGACATATGTCTGAATTATCTGTGTCATCTTCTCTTCGAGAAAGCCCAAGTCCATCAGTACTTAGGGTAGTTGTATATATTTGCTTAAATACTTTTCTATTTAAAGTTTGATATGTAACTTTGAAAATCATTAAAGAATAATGTAAATAAAGAGTTACAATATGATTAGACAAAAATAACCACATGATATAACTTTCATAACCAAAAAAATAAAATAATAATTATTGAAAATAGAAAGAAAAAAAGTTAAGAAGAAGAATCATTAGGCTTGGGCGAAACCGGAGAATGATGACCAAAACAACACCATAGACCAAACCCGGTTACACAGGCAAATGCAATGACGACTGCTGCAACTATTACAATGAAAGCTGCCTCCATTTTGTTTTTTCCACGGCACCAAACTATTATTTATGTATTCTTTCTAACTTTTTTTTTTATGCTCGTGTATATTCATTTTTGTGTATAAGTTATTCGGAAAAAATGGAAGTTTAATATTTTGTCATTAAGGACCATTACCTAGGAAAATTTGGGAAATTTACATTTTATGATTAAGGAACGTTAGTACATTTACTCAATTAAAAATTATTGACCAGGAAAAACTGGAAAGTTTACATTTTATTATTGTACGTTTGATTGCCACAACTACTGTAGTTTCAAATTTTTATCATCAAATACTCGGATTTTTTTTTTGATATTTAGGTAATCTTACTTATAACACATGCCCCTTTTACAAATTTTTGTGTGTCTTGTCATAATTACTGTTTTTGTTTAGTTAGATTTAATAAATGATTCCTCTTATATACATTACAAAGTACACAATGCTAGTGTAGTTGGATAGTGTCAACTCAAGTGCTCATGTAATATGAAGAAGCTTACATTTGCTATAATATTTGTTTGGTGGCCATGCAGTAGTAGGCTTATAGATGGGCCGACCATATTAATTCGGTGTAGGAAAACTCAGACCAATGTTGATACTTTACTTCATCGTCTCTTACTGTTTCCTTTTATGACCCAGCAGCTTTGCAGACTTGCCAATTTTCTTACCGATGATTAATGAGTTGACAATTTAATATTGGTCCAGTTGCAGAAAAAAAAAAGACATTGAGTACCGATGGGCCTGGGAATAGAAGATGACTGAAGCCCATCTCTTAACAGCAACCCTAATTGCCCGCTAGCCCACTACTATATATTCTCTCACCTACAGCCTTTGACTTTGACCAACAGAATTAAGGTTGTTTTTTTTGAAATTATATTAAAAAAAACATTTGTACGTACAATTAATCTTCTACTTCTTCGTTTTCTTCGTCTCACTCCTCTCTCTCCTCCACTTCTCTCTGTAGTAATGGAATCCAGAAAACCTCTGAAATCACGTCTCCAAGAAGGTGAAAAGCTTCTCGGCCATTTTCTCCTCTCATTCTCACCGGAGCTAGCTGAGATCGCTGCACGTGCTGGCTACGACTTCATCATCGTTGATCTGGAGCACGGCGCGGGCGGGATTCGTGAAGCGCTTCACTGCATGCGAGCGATCGAGGCCGCCGGTTGCTCCACCGTCCTACGGATACCTGACATAAGCCAGGCTTGGGCGAAGAAAGCGTTGGATCTCGGACCCGACGGCATTATGTTTCCGATGGTCGAAACAGGGAAATCTGCGGCCGAGGCGGTTTCGTTCTGCCGGTATCGTCCTGAAGGTGTTCGCGGCTGTGCAGACTCTGTTGTGAGAGACTCCAGCTTCGGTTTTGACGAAAAGTACTTAGCTAATTACGCTGATAAGCTCTTCATCATGTGCCAGGTATAGTATGTCATTTGCATTTTTATCGGGAGAAGTTGTTAAATTGTTAAAAAAAATTGTTAAAATGAAAATTTGTTGTTGGTTGAGGTTGTAGATAGAATCAGAGGAAGGTGTGAAGAATGTGAATGAGATTGTCGCCGTTGATGGGATGGATTGTGTGATGATGGGGCCGAGGGATCTGAGTGCGAGTTTGGGGTTACTTAACGATCCAGGTAACCCGAAGTTGATGTCAGTCATGAAGGTGGCTGAGACGGCGGTTTTGGCCTCTGATCCGGCGAGTGGAGGAGCTTACTTGGCTGGGATGGCCACGGCTCTGGACAAATCTGTTGATCTCAAGGCACGCGGGTATCACGTTGTGCTCGGGTCAACCGATGTGTCGTTGTACAAGAAGGCCGTGGTTGATGAGGTTCACGCCTTTAATGCTTCTTTAGACCATTCACAATGGGAAAACTCCATTGGAGGCTTTTCTAAATATTTTTAGTATAAATTTTGAAATGCAGAAGTTAAAGAGACGGTGTTGGGGTTTTTAAAAAGAGTCATGAAGTTTTTTTCTAAAAATTTTTTATAAAACACAAAATTTTAAATCATTTGCATATCATAAAGTTTTAAACAAATATGACATAAAAACAAATACAAATATGAAAATCATAAAATAAAAAAAAAAAAATAATTAATTATCGATACTAAACCTAATCGTAATATTTTGAAGCCACAAACCTGAAGACTGTATGAAATTATTGCATTCAAACAAAACGAAACCTAAATAAACAAGGAGAAGAGAGGAAAAACACGGGAAGAGAGAAGATAAATCGGAGCCATCTCTGCAACGATTGTCGGATTTGGGTTGAAAAAGATGCTTAATTGCCTACTTTTTTCCTTTAAATATTTTACACAAATATTTTTGTCAAAAGAAAAAGAAATTTTTTTTACACAATGTCCACTAATAAACCGTCACTTCTCTTAAGTCAACCAAAATCTCATATATAAAAAGTGGTTTTTCATAATTAAATCAATTAATCATTTTTTTATAACTTAGGAGTGATCCCAAAAGATTTCTAGGCTCAAAGACTAATCTCCCGGATCCGGGAGAAACCATGTTAAATCTCGAACCCCCAATGCTACTCGAACTCAGGTGGCGGGACTTACCTCTCTTTACCATTGGACCATGGCGACTTGGTTTTTAACTAATCATTTAATTTTAATTCTTTTTACCTTAAGAGCTTTTGTTAAAAGTTAAAACTGGTTGCTCTTTAAGTGTCGTAGTATTAGACATTTTTAGACTCATGGGATTAGTAGACTTCAAAATAAATGGGCATTGTTGGTGATTAATGTATGAACCCAAAGATTAACCTCAAAAGTTATGTCCCTTCTCTTAATTATATGTTTTTATGATTCATGTCATGTCTTGCTGAGATTCACATTATCTCAAGAAAATCAGAACAACAACACTATCGGAAAACACATCGAATGTACTCGGAAAATTCAAAATCACGAAGTTGTAGTTTCGAATATTAGAATGCATGTCGTTTGTGGAAAAGTATGGGCGTTTGCCTTCACAAAGCTTGCCGTTTTTTTATCATATCGTTTTAGTGGCCATTCTTCGCAACGGATCAACCAGAGATAGAGAACTCTGAAGTGTTTTTTTCGTTTATTCATCAAAATGCAATATTTATCTCTTCAATCGCTTCCATGGAAACCAAATCCAGTGGTTTCATCAGAAATTCATACTCTGAATCCCAAACTTCCGAATGGGTTCAGTTCTCCTCATTGCAGATCCCGAAACTGGAGAATTAGAAGTTCATCGGAAGAGAATGTAGCAAACTCAAGTGACGGCGGAAATTTGAAGAAATCGCTATCTGGTATTGCGAGAAATCAAGTGGAGGAGCTACTGAGCAGAGAAGAGAACAAGGGTTTGCTTGATGGTCTGGAAAAAGCTTCCTTGAGAGTGGAGATTGCGAAGCGAGAGCTCGAAGATATAGAGAGGCAAGAAATTGAGGCGAAATTGCTACAGGATTATGTTAATCAGCTTGAATCAAGAGCCTCAGAGGTGAGAGCTTTTTTCGTGTAGATATAAGGATGATGGAACTTTAAACATTTGGTTATATTGCGCTTGGAATTTGAGATTTTGGGAGGTTCTGTAGAGTATGATGGATTTAGGGTTACTTTCAGAGAAGACTGGTTAATCTTTATTCAATTTCAGTGGAATAGTAAACTTGTTCATTGTATGCTAAGGATAGATTCACGTATTGATTAGTTTCTGAGTTTCATTCACTATCAATGTTGTAGCTTTTGTGATTGAAACCTGGGAGAGGGGTTTCTCTTTAGTTTGTGTGAAAATGAAGATAATCACATTAGATAAGGTTACTAAAAATCATGACTTTGGTAGCATTTTTTATTAGGTTCAAGTTATTGATTAGTTTCAGAGTTTCAATCACTATCAATGGTGTAGGCGTGTAGCTTTTGTGATTGAAACCTGGAAATGGGTTTTCTCTTTGTTTCTGTGAAGATAATCCATCAGATAAGGTTACTAAAAATCATGACTTTGGTAGCAATATGAGATTTCGTTTTTGGTTTTCTATTGTTTCCGAACAAAGTCTTTAGTTTGTTATCATAGACAGTGAAAGCTCATGTTTTTCTTCCACGAAATTCCTAAAGGAGACAGAACATGTTTCATCTTACTCAATTATCTGATTCAAGATCGCAGAATGCCAGCAGGAGATCATCGCAGCAAGATCAATGGTTGAGGAAGCAGAACGTTCCTTGTCCTTAGCAGATACCGCGGCAATTGGAAGTTCAGAAAAAGGTTATTCGATTGATAAAGACAAGGAGAGAATAGAATCAGCAAAGGCAGCAGTGATCGCAGCTGCGGTTGGGACCATGACAGAAATCCCATTCGCTCTATCTCAGGTCTCGAGCATCGAGCAGCTTGTTCTACCCCTGGGAGTAGCGTTTGCGAGCTGTGCATTGTTTGGAGTCACATTCAGGTATGCAGTCAGAAGAGACTTGGATGATAGTCATCTCAAATCTGGAGCCGTTGCCGCCTTTGGGTTTGTAAAAGGTAACAAAACACCTTTGGTTACTGTTTCAGATCTCAACTTCTACGAATGGGTCAAAGCGTATACGTTTGTGATTGAAATTGTGTGTTTTCACAAGCAATGGATTAGGGAAAGAAATGGTAAAAGAAAAAGACTTTCTTTGTCTTGTTATGTATTGTGTGGAAGTATGAGCTGGAAAAATCCCATCGTTGTCTTGTCCCCGCCCTTTGGTTGTTTTGAAATTTATATATAATTTGACAGTAATAGATCACTAATCAAGTATTTGATATATTCTAAAATAATTGCTGAGTTGATTATTAATCTCTGACCTGTACTATTTTGGATCTGTCTTTTTTCAACAAAAGAAGATTTTTTCTTCTTTTTTTTGGACAAAGAGAAGATTTATTCTAAATCTGATTTTTTAATGTTGTTGTTGTGTTAAATATAGGACTTGGTATGTTGAGCAGAGGACCGCCATTAGAGCTGAGCTGGGAAAGCTTGCTATCACATGGCATAGACGGCGCCGTTCTGGTGTCCCAAAGTGTTTTGATATTTGCGTTTGCGTCTATAGCTTTGGACTTCTGTTTCAAAATGAAGATCTTAAGGCCATTTCCTAGCTCTGACTAATGTAAGAATTAACAAATTAAATATTCTCTGAAGACTTTTATTGTATATTTTGGTTGAAAAATGTAAATCTTTCTATATTTAATCATCCAGTAAAAAAGAATTAGATTTTTTCTTTCTTCTGCTTCCATTTTTGGATAATTTTCAGTTTTTTTTTAATCTTTGTCCTAAAAAGTTATTAAGGAATATTAATCATTGTCAAGTCATTAGTCACTCGTGAATAACCCAAAGGAAGGTAGATGGGTCAAGGCAATTCCTAGCCATTCATTAATTATACTACATCCACGTGTAATAATCTGAGAAGCTTTACTGATAAACCACGTAAGCACAAGAGTTGTTTTTGTCTTTCTATCGCTCTCAATCGCGTTTGTCGTGGAGGTCAACTGATCAGAAAAAATATAGGAAGCAGAGAAAGTGAAAAACATAATTTTTTTATAGAGAAAATTAATCAAAAGGAAATTAGTATTCAATTTCAATGGGGTTTCGACTTGTTCTCGAGTAAACAACTACTAGTCTCCAGATTTTGTTTCTTCCATTTTATGTTATTCATTTTGTGATTGTATCTGAAGGCCAAAGTACTGTTTTTTTTTTTCTTGTGTTTTTGATTCGGTGGTATTCAGGGCGGTTTTGAAGCGACGGAAGAAGATGGTGGGAGGAGGTAGTACTGTTGCTGTTGGTCGTGGTGGTGGAAGTGGTAGTGGCAAGCTGCAGAGAGGTTACTCTTTGAATCCTAAAGACTATAAGCTTATGGAAGAAATAGGACATGGAGCTAGCGCTGTTGTGTATCGAGCGATCTATCTCCCGACCAAGGAAGTCGTCGCTATCAAGTGTTTGGATCTCGATCGATGCAATAGCAATCTGGTTCGTTTTCCTTAGTCTTTTATTGCTTTTGTATTAGATCAATCTGGAGAAAGGCCTTACTTGAGCTCCTTATTTTGACATCTTTTGTTCATGATTCTCTGCCTTTTAAGTGTAGATTTTTGTGTTTCTAGAGTAGAAGTTTCGAGATCATGGGGTAAGTTGCTAAATTTGTGCTGCTTTATTCACATAGTGGCAAGCGGTAAAGCTTTTGTCGTCTGAAAGGGGACTAAGACTAGTTGTTCTGTTTTGTTGAGTTTTATTAAAGTGTTATTAGTCTTTAGATGATTTCCACAAGCAGTCCTAGAGGCTGAGGAACTTAATGTTCAACCTTATTCTCAAGCTAGTTAGTGATGATTTCCCTAGTTTGAATCCGCTATGAGATCTGTCCTTTAGCGTTTCATGTTTGGGGTTGCATTTTAGTATTGAACTGTTGTCGTATTTGTTTCTTCCGCCTATCTGTTCTTTCAATTTGTTTTCTCTTTTTCCTAGATTTTTTTATCTATGAATTAATGACAGGGTGCTTTTGTTTTTTTAGGATGATATTAGGAGGGAATCTCAGACTATGAGTTTGATAGACCATCCCAACGTTATAAAGTCGTTCTGTTCATTTTCTGTCGACCACAGTCTTTGGGTCGTTATGCCGTTCATGGCACAAGGTTCGTGTTTGCATCTTATGAAGACTGCATATTCAGACGGATTTGAAGAGTCAGCTATATGTTGTTTACTGAAAGAAACTCTTAAAGCTCTTGATTATCTTCATAAACAAGGCCACATCCATCGGGATGTTAAGGTTGGTAGTAAAAGTGAAACTCTATCAGCTCACTGGACTTTATATCTTGCGTCCAGACAACTTATTCAAATTTTGTTTTCTTTTTTCCCTTTTATCCTAGGCTGGAAACATACTTCTTGATGACAATGGGGAGATTAAGCTTGGCGATTTTGGCGTCTCTGCTTGCTTGTTTGATAATGGTGATAGGCAACGTGCAAGGAACACATTTGTTGGTACTCCTTGCTGGTCAGTTATTGTACTTCTCTCTTTTTTCACTTTACCATCACTCTATATTCAATGGCGCTTACATTTATATTCTGGTTTCTGTTTGTAGGATGGCACCAGAAGTCTTGCAGCCGGGAAATGGATACAATTCCAAGTGAGTTTATACTTTTAATCCCAAATGATAGATAAAACACTTGTATTTTCTACTTGTTTTCTTGTGTAATATAGAAAGTAGCTCACTTCGGTATGCATGGTAAGACAACCTGTCAAACTACTCTGCCTCTAATCCAATTGTAAACATATTTGCTAGGTGATGCATATCAAATACTGTTTATACTGTGGAACAAATAAACGCAATATAGCTTATTGGTTGGTTGTTCTTCTGTCATTTCTTAACAGGGCTGATATCTGGTCATTTGGTATAACAGCACTTGAATTGGCCCATGGTCATGCACCTTTCTCAAAATATCCCCCCATGAAGGTGTTTAATCTCTCTTTTTCGGTTTTTGTCTGTATGTGAATCTATTAAAATGGCTCTGATTCTTATTTCTCCTGGTTTCAGGTGCTCCTAATGACTATTCAAAACGCTCCTCCTGGCCTTGATTATGATCGTGATAAGAAATTTTCCAAGGTACTCGTGTTCTTTCTAGGTGTATTCCTTATGTTGATCAACTATTGTTGGATTTTCAAATGTATCTGTTTTTCATTTGCAATTTATATTTTTACTAAACTAATTAGAGGACTTTCAGTTGTGCCCAGTCCTTTAAAGAAATGGTAGCAATGTGTTTGGTGAAAGATCAAACGAAAAGGCCAACTGCTGAGAAATTGTTGAAGCACTCCTGTTTCAAACACACGAAGCCTCCAGAACTTTCTGTGAAAACGTTATTCTCCGATTTACCACCTCTTGGGACACGTGTAAAATCGCTTCAGGTTAGCCATGTTCTTTTTGTGTTTCAGCTTTTTAGGCGAAATTTTCATGTTCTTACGTTATTGAGCGGGTTGTTGCATGACAGGCCAAGGATGCTCAGCAGCTTGCATTAAAAAGAATGGCCACTGCTGACGAGGAAGCTAAATCACAGGTGACAGACCCCTTAGTTTGACATTAATGCCTAAATACTTTATGAGTCAAATGGCAGAGTGGACATAAAACAACATTTTTATGTCAGAGCGAATACCAAAGAGGAGTGAGCGCTTGGAATTTTGACGTCAGAGACTTGAAAACACAAGCATCTTTGGTAATTTTATTTTTCGCTGTTGCACTATCCTTAGTTTATGTTCATTGGTTTTATCACATAATCCTTGTTCTTATATTGTTTGTTTGTGTACTAGCTAAGTGATGACGATGATCTAGCAGAGAGCAAGGAAGATGAAGAAATATTATGTGCACAGTTTAATAAGGCGAGTAATCTGTCGATAAAATTTAGAAAAAGGCATATATTAAATTTCACTTCCTTTGTATCAAAGTCTGGTGGTCTGAATATATCTTAAAAAAAAACCCTGCAGGTGAATGACAGGGAGCAAGTATTTGATAAGCTTCTACCATTTGAAAACTTGAACGGAAAGGAAAAGGCTTCCAATACTGAGGTGGAAGAACGAACATACGAAGAGAAATTCACTTTCATAACAACTGCTTCTTCTTTAGAACGAATGTCACCAAATTCAGAGCATGACATTCCCGAGGCCAAGGTTAAGCCAGTAAGACGCCAAAGCCAGAGTGGACCACTTACAAGCAGGACCGTATTGAGCCACTCGGCTTCCGAGAAAGGTCATATCTTTGAAAGGTTTGACATTTGCTAATTGTTGCTTGAGTCACTTCAGATCTATTTTTCTTTATATAGAAACTTTCAAAAAATCCAACTTGTAATTTCAACCTGCTAGATCCGAGAGTGAACAGCAGCCGGCACCAACAGTCCGAAGAGCACCTAGCTTTAGTGGTCCTTTGAATCTTTCAACCCGTGCTTCTGCAAACAGTTTGTCAGCTCCCATGAAATACTCAGGAGGTGAGCAAGTAACATTGGCAATCTTCGTGCAGCTTAGTGGTTTTATTGCTTCTCTTGCAGTTGTGTTAAAGAGTATTTTGTCCATATCGAATAGGCTTCCGTGATTCTCTGGATGATAAGTCAAAGGCTAATCTGGTTCAAAAAGGACGATTTTCAGTAACATCAGGAAATGTAGATCTTGCAAAGGTTTGTAACATGTTATATAATGTACTGCTATATGATTTCCTATTCTTTGACTGTAACTAATCATACAATCTACTCTAGGATGTTCCATTAAGTATAGTCCCTCGTCGATCTCCACAGGTTGGTTTTCTTGTCTTTGCTTATTAGTGTAGACTGATCGATTTCTCCTAAACTGAGTTCTTGACTTGATAAAATTGTACACTAATTTTCTAGGTGTCCCCACTGAGAAAATCTGCAAGTGTGGGTAACTGGATACTTGAGCCCAAAATGGTCAGTTTGCCAACCTCAAAGGGGCCTTCAAGTCATTCATTAGTAGATTTTATTTTACTCGTTGAAAATTTTGTATCTAGTCTTAGTCTTGTTTTCCATCCTACAGCCAACAGTTCAGCCGCAGACCAACAATGAGTTAAGTAGCCATTCTTCGTCTTCTACACTCATCATGCCTCAGCTTCATCATCTGTTCCAGCAAAACTCTATACAACAGGTGAGGAACATCCTTCAAGACATGAGACTCGTCTCTTATTAAATAATTAGCAGGGTCTTAACTTCCGCAATTGAACTATTTCCCTGCAGGATCTTATTATGAATTTACTGAATAGTTTACAACCCGCAGAGGCAACAGAAGGTATGATAGACAATTATACTTCAATCTACTGTGATGTTATAACTTATGATGAATTCTATTCAGTTATGGTACCTTCATCTTCCTTGTAGGTTCTCAATCTGGAAAGTTACCACCTTTGCCTCGCTCAGACAGTAATGGAAACGTAAGTTGATTTTTCATATATGTTCTCAAAAAATTCATCAAAGATATTACTCACAGCTGGTTAACTATGTGACTTTGTAACTTCATCTACTCAACCTCTTATATGGATTACAGGTTGAACCTGCGGCTTGCGAGAGGGAGAGGTTACTACTTAGTAGTATTTCTGACCTCCGTGCTAGGTAAGTGCTCTTCTTAAAGAAAAGCTTTTGTTTCTAGAGAATGATATAGTCTATTCTTTCCAAGTGCATCTTGCTGCAAGCATTAACTGCCAAAATTTTCAGGCTGGACGACTTAACGGAAGAACTCGATATAGAGAAATCCAAATACAACCAAGTAAGTTAAACAGATTTTCAACTAGTTAGAACGCCCTTGTTGTGTTTCGTGTCATCAAGCAATTCTTTTATGTTTGTGTACAGCTGCAACAGAAACTGAAAGCATTCACGGGTCGGGAACAAGTGTAACCAGAAGGGACAGGGACACTGGTAACACTAAACTGCACAGAACCTGTAGGAGAAAGAGTGAAGTCTCGTTTGGTTATAACAGCAAAAACCAGACAAGAGCTTAGAGACAGTGAAGCAAAGAGGATATCAGTTTCTTCAGCTGGGTTCCGTGTAAGGTTTCAGACGATAGGATGACGGCGAAAACAAGGTGACCGATGTCTGCTTCCCATGTAAACTAATAGATTATAGACGACAGAAACGAATACAGAAATAAATAAAAAAGGGAGAAGTAAGTTCCTTTCACATATTTGCTTATAATTTACTTTGAAATATATAATCCCACGTCTTGATCAATTTTTGTTTTCTTTGGTTTGGTGTATCATATTTACTAGTAAGAAAGAAAGCTTTTGGATTCTTTTGTGTATTGAAATTTGTAAATTCAACTTTGTATTATTATTTATCAGATTCTTCAAAAATTTATTCTGAATTTGCCTTACGTTAATTGATTTATGTTCAAATATAAAGTACCTTTCAGACTCTTGTAATCAAAATCGTGGTGTTCTTTACATTATGTTCGAACGTTATTATACAATTAAGTTAAAACTGATTGAGATTACTAGAAACGAAAGATCCTCTAGAAGAAAGTTCTTGCTCTTCTTCTTCTCCGACTTGTCAAGGATTTGGTAGAGGCTTTAGACACCAAATAGCCAACACCCAAACACATAACCCAAATCCCCAAATCAACGGCCCATCCCATTCCCTCCGTCTCAGACTCCATCTCAGCCGTCCACTCAACCTCCTCCCACTCTCCATCTCCGTCGTCACATTCTTCTTCGCCGCCGCTGCACGTGCAAAAACACACACCGCCGTCGGATTCCCTCCCTTCCTCCCTCTCCTCCGGAATCTCCTCCAGACACTCGAACCCGATCCTCTGCTTCCTCCTCCGTCTATGTTTTCTCGCCATCGTGGCCGTGGCGACGTGTCCCTCGGCGGCAACAACAACCTCGGCTGTTCCTTCATCCTCCATCTCGCACTCGCACTCAAGTTTCCAGTTCTCTCCTTCGTCTTTTCTGAAGATACCTTTGACGACCCTCTCCTCACTCATGTAAACCTCGAAACGGATCCCATCCCAGACCCGGACACGTTCCCTAGACCCGTAAATGACGTCACATCCTTTGACGACCCTGTGGAGTGTGACGAAAGCAGGGGAATCGGGTCGGACCTTGGAGCCGTCGAGCTCGAAAGCAGCTTCGTTGATCCGAGGTGGGTAGAGAAGAGTGAGAGAGTCGGGTAAAGAATATCGGGTGGGCAAACCAGTGAACCGGACGAAGAAAGCTTTAACCTTTAAGCTCTCTTTCTCAACGTACCTCTCGAAATCAGTCGATCTACACATTTCTCTCTTTTTTGGGTTCTCTGTTTTACGTATTACTTTTAGATGTAAACTTGTGAAAGGATCGGCCTTTCTTTTTAGAGGGAAACATAAAGAGAGAGAGAAGGAGAAGGTGGCGAGTTGCGACTTCTGTTTTGTTTGAATTCTAGGGGTGGTGGCACGCGGTTTGGCCGCTCACGTGGACGTCTCGACGAAATTTTACTTAATTTGTTTTTTTTTTTTTGGACAAACTTAATTTGTTTATATTTTAAAGTCTTCTTGGTCAAAATCAAGACACCAAGTAATGTATATGGTGTATGGTGTGGCTTCATCATCACGCACGGTTTGCATGATTTGCATATGTCTAAAATACCAACAGCGAGCATGAAGTAGTAACGTGGTTTCTCTTCTTGAGTTGCACAATTGTGTGCAGAACTTTGCTTTGCTTCTTTGTTTGTCTTCTTCTCACAACTTGTCTACTTCCACTTCCTTGTCGTTTCCCTTGTGTTTTTTTTTTTTTTTTTTTTGAGAATTGAATACTACAATCGGACTAACAAAACAAACTAAAGAAATCAATCCAAAGCTAAATTCCAAAGCCAGTATAGGACAATTTGATTTAAGATCGTATTGACCTTAATTAGTTATACAAGATTACTCCATTCTTACAGTGATTTATTTTCTAGTAAAAGTTATACCCTTGTTAAGTAAACGAATACATTTTTTAAGTTGCATAATTTCATGATACATGTACTGATTGATGTACGTGACTGAGAATCTTAACTTTTGTTGTTGTTGTTTATTGAGAGCAGATATTTTTCTGGCGCTGTGTATAATAATGATTAGAGATATGATTTTTGTATAAAAAAAATATAAAGGTCCCCAACATGATCTTCAGCCGCTGGTTTTGGGTTCTCTTTTCAACGTCACACTTCTTTTCTTTTGCGCCATAAAAAGCCGAATTGCTTTTTTAATACGTAAAGATATCAAAGTTTATTAAAATAAACCTTAATGGGCCGGGCTTATACGCTTGGCTGATTCTCATGTTATTTTGCTAAGAATCCAAAACATGTCATGAACTATATATAATAGGGTTACCATATTCACTTTCAGCTGGATTTTTCAGTTTAATTTTAGGGAGTGTACTTAAACCCAAAATCAACTTAAGCTTAACAAAAAAAAAAAAACAGGATTGGTATCTTGTAGGTCACACTAATAGATGTAAGACATTCAGTTTTATGATTTTGGTTTTTGTAGAGTTTGACTACTATCAACATCTGATTTGTCATTTGGGCACTGCAAATTGAGTATTTTAAAAACAACAAACTGCGTAGATAGTTCGTAGTTTGTCTTTATAGGTTTCGGTCAGACACGGACTAGAGATCGACACATAAATTTTAAATTTGTTATTACTAGACTAGACGCATGTGACTGATATTTTATGCCCATCATATATATGGATTGATAGTGATAAATTACAACTTAGGGTAACATGGGCATGTAAGTAAGAACGTGGTCATTATCTCTTACATTTATTTCCCAACTAGTCACTAAATAAATAACTAAAGGCAACAACATTCCACCCGAAATAAAAACTAAGGTGAAACCAAAAGCTTAGGCGTAACATGACAATTAAAGTAAAGAATAATAGTACTACACTACTACTTGATGATAAGAATATAGTACTCGTTGATGGAAACGCTGTCGGTATAAGCGATTTGGCCGCAAACGCATAAGTTGGATGAAGAAATGAAAGAGTTAAAGACTTTTGGAGAAAGGTCAAAAAAAGTCATTGTCATAGTTTGGGGTCAATGTATGGTATAGTAGGGCTATAGAAGGATAAGTTGTGACTTTAAGAGTGAATGAGATTCTTTCTCAAATGAATGGTGTCAAGGAGTAGTATTCATTTTTTCTTCTTTCGTCTCCATCCACCTATCATTATCCCCACTCTATTTATATTTTTTGTTTTTTTCCTCCATTTTTTGATAAATAGTCGGCGAATCTAATCCCTAGTAAGACTAATCCCTATGTAATTACACGCATTCTATGTCATATTAGAAAGCAACATGTTAGTTGAAAAGTTTAAAGTGTTTTGGTTTCAGCTTTGTACCCACTATATTAGATTTTATCAATTACTATGTTTAGTTTTGTGATTAAATTTTATCTTTTTTAGTAATGATATATGTTAGGAACTTCATAATAAAAATGTGATCTAGCCTAACATAATATATGATAAAGGTATAACCAACTCATTACTAATTGAATTTGGATAGAACTTTCATGAAACATAACCCACATGCTCAAAGCACAAGCTTTAGACCACACGTAACCCATTAGTTATATGTTTTGTGTCAGTTGTCCTAATAAATTGGTTCTCTCGGATGTATTTTCTTTCCACATTTCTTTACGTTTAATTTGATTTCGTTTACATTGTTGTTCCACAATTCTTCAGGAAATTATTTAGAGATGTAACATTTGTTCCAAACTCGTTATCATATAACATCAACTACGTCATTACTCATTAGTAGTTGAAGGAAAACAAAATAAAAGTCCACACTCTCGAAGCTGGATCTCTATTCCTAAATACTGTGGAGTTATATAAAATGGACTTCATTCGTCGAATAATAATTGAGACGAAAGATTGCGTTGAAAGATAAACGAAAAAGAAAAGAAGAAAGTGAATTGTCTTTGTCGTGGCATGTGGAAGTATCGGTCTTATGGTCCATTGAGCCAGACTCGTTTAGAATCTCACTACTTTCACTATATTCACATCTATACGCGATTATAGCATCTATATACATTTCATTTTCAGTTTATTCTACAATTATGGGTTTTGGATATTCATGTCCTCATCATAAAAATGTTATAATTCTCTTAAACAAATATCAAATTTCGAATCTCTTTTAAGGTTATTGGCATGCCTACGTTACTTATATAAAATAGTTCCATAAATTAAGTCTAACATATTCATTTTTAATATAATATTTTTTGACTTCTGAATAATCAAAAAGTAATTGAGGAAGGTAATTTCGAGTTTTTTCCTTTCAGATTAATTAATTCAAAATCTGTTTTGGAGGTTTATATTAAATTATAGCAAAACTTTAAGGTACATATATAGTACAACTAGAAAAGCTCGTTATCCAAACGTGAAGAGGTTTAAAAATGATAAGTCTGAGTCGAACAAATTGGGCAATAAGACTCATAACCTTCTCAGACCGGGAACAACAACATATACGTATGTTGAATTACTTCTTTCTCCACTGTTAGTAACTTGTGTATTCTTGGTTGAAAACTAGCAATGGATTTTACATTCTTTTTTCTTTTCTTTTTTTTTTCTTTTTTTTCGGATTTTACATTCTTAATTAATGAACTTATCTATGATGAATTATCTAAAATATTCAGTGGCTTTTCACATGGACATAAACCTAGGCCAGTTTCGAAAGTTTATACTCAAAAGTCAAAACTAAGTATAATGACTATCTTTGAAAACAAATAAAAAACATCAAAGTTAAGGAGAGTGGAAATTTTATACGTAAGAGACATTTCATTACGACGATGTGATTGCGGAGACAATTTTGTTTTCAAAACCCTTGATCAAAAAGGACATTTTAAATCATTGCACCCACAAGAACCACACATTTTTCATTTGGCTGTAATAAGAATTCAAAGATTCTTACAAACAAATAAAATAACTCAGTGAAATATCATTCAATAAATGTCCTTTTAGAACAAGATGCTAACGACAATCTACTTGGCCACTTGACTTGTCTACCAAAATTTCTCCCAACCCTTTTTTGTTTTGCTCACAGAATTTGCGTTTACAACTTTGGCGTTTGTATTTTGACGGATTCGTCTACGTGGGACAATGCGCGTGTCGGACATGCGCACTTAAGAGGGTCGAGACTATGTGTTCTTTAGCTTTCTTCTATATTCTCTTCCAAACCCAAAAAAATAAAAAATATAAAGTAGTGTTTTTTGTTTATTAAACAGGTTAAAAAAAGCAGAGTTTCATATTCCTAAACATTCTGGTATGTATATAAGTATCAAAGATAACTCTTTAACTCTCCAAGAATTTTCATTTGCAAATACTCTAATATTTTTTTTCCTTCAGTTTCCATGGAAATAGAGCAGAGAAAGAACGTGAAGAGAGAAGAAGAAGAGGAAGACAACAATGGACTGTCACTACGAGAAGAAGAACATGAAACAGAGGAAGAGATGTCTGGGAGGACTATCGAACCTTGGACGAAGCAGATAACCGTGAGAGGAGTGTTAGTGAGCATAGTGATCGGAGTTGTGTTCAGTGTGATAGCTCAGAAGCTAAATCTCACGACAGGGATTGTTCCAAATCTCAACAGCTCTGCAGCTTTACTGGCTTTTGTCTTTGTCCAGACATGGACTAAGATTCTCAAGAAATCAGGATTTGTCGCCAAGCCATTCACTAGACAAGAGAACACAATGATTCAGACATCTGCTGTTGCTTGTTACGGCATTGCCGTTGGAGGTTAAGAACATAACTGCTTTTATTTCTTCCTTAGTAGTTTATTTTTCTTGGGAAACAAGTAAAGAGTCATTGGGAGGATCTGCAGAACAGTTCCATACATATTAAAATATTTGAACTTTTATATAAAACTTTTGGGTTAGTTGGGTCACAACAAAAGGGTTGATATTGCTATTGCTTTTGCTTTTTGGGATATAAAATCTAAGTTGTGAAATTTTGATTTAAAATAATTTGAGTATTCTTTTTTTTCACTTTTCAGGTGGGTTTGCTTCTTATCTTCTGGGGTTAAATCATAAGACATATGTGTTGTCTGGTGTGAACTTGGAAGGTAATTCTGAGAAGAGTGTGAAAGAACCAGGGCTTGGTTGGATGACTGCTTATCTTTTTGTTGTCTGTTTCATCGGTCTTTTCGTCTTGATCCCTCTCCGGAAGGTTATGATTATTGATCTAAAGTTAACATATCCGAGTGGTTTAGCTACTGCTGTTCTCATCAATGGTTTCCACACACAAGGAGATGAACAGTCCAAGTAAGTTCATTCACCTATTTTACAAAAAAAAGAGGTGATATTGCTACATAAGTGGCCTAATCTTTTAGTTGGAATCGGTTTGCAGGAAACAAGTGCGTGGTTTTATGAAATACTTCTCATTTAGTTTCTTGTGGGGTTTCTTCCAGTGGTTTTTCTCTGGTATTGAAGGTTGTGGCTTTTCTCAGTTCCCAACCTTTGGCTTGAAAGCTTGGAAACAAACGTAAGAATTAAGTTTTTAAATGAATCGAGTTTCTTGAATCATATACTAAATCATGAAATCCTTTTCTTGCAGGTTCTTTTTTGATTTCAGTATGACATTTGTGGGAGCAGGAATGATCTGTTCACATTTGGTTAACCTTTCTTTGCTTTTAGGAGCTATCCTCTCTTATGGCTTAATGTGGCCTCTTCTTGATAAACTCAAAGGCTCTTGGTTCCCTGAGAATCTCGACGAACACAACATGAAAAGCATATACGGCTACAAAGTCTTCTTATCCGTAGCTCTAATCCTTGGTGACGGTCTCTACACTTTCGTTAAGATCCTCTTTGTCACCATTGTCAATATCAACGCAAGATTGAAGAACAAACCTAATGATCTTGATGACGTGGATCACAAGAGAAAAAGGAAAGACCTCAAGGAAGATGAGAATTTCCTCAGGGACAAAATCCCGATGTGGATCGGAGTTGCCGGATATCTTAGCTTTGCTGCGGTCTCAACCGTCGTGGTTCCTCTGATATTTCCTCAGCTCAAATGGTATTACGTTATTGTAGCTTACATTTTCGCGCCTTCTCTAGCGTTCTGTAACGCTTATGGAGCTGGACTTACAGACATTAACATGGCTTATAACTACGGAAAAATCGGTCTTTTCGTTATCGCGGCTGTGACGGGTAGAGAGAACGGAGTTGTAGCCGGACTCGCTGGCTGTGGACTGATCAAATCAGTTGTTTCGGTTTCTTGTATTTTGATGCAAGATTTCAAGACGGCTCATTACACGATGACGTCACCTAAGGCTATGTTCGCTAGCCAAATGATCGGGACAGTCGTTGGATGCATCGTGACGCCTTTGAGTTTCTTTCTGTTCTACAAAGCGTTCGACGTTGGAAACCCTAACGGTGAATTCAAGGCTCCTTACGCTTTGATTTACAGAAACATGGCGATTCTTGGGGTGCAAGGCTTCTCTGCTCTGCCTCTTCACTGTCTCCAAATGTGTTACGGGTTTTTTGGGTTTGCTGTTTTGGTCAACGTCGTCAGAGATCTTACGCCAGCAAAGATTGGAAGGTTCATGCCACTTCCGACGGCGATGGCGGTTCCGTTCCTGGTCGGAGCTTATTTCGCGATCGACATGTGTGTAGGGACTTTGATTGTGTTTGTTTGGGAGAAGATGAATCGGAAGAAAGCAGAGGTTATGGTTCCGGCGGTGGCTTCAGGGCTAATCTGCGGTGAAGGGCTTTGGACTTTACCTGCGGCGGTGCTTGCACTTGCCGGAGTAAAGCCTCCGATATGTATGAAGTTCTTAGCTTCATAAGATCAGTCAAAGAAGAGAACAAAAAGAGACTTATGATGTTAGAGTAGTTAGAAGACGTCAGGGATTATTATTATAAAATCATCCTAATCTTAGAATAATAAGAAAGCTTATGAGTTATGAACAAGAACATCTCTTTTTTTTTTCTAGGAATCAAGAGTAAAATTAAATCTACTTATATGGAATCGTTGTTTCATGATACTTCGTGCTCTGTTTTTTGTTTGTTTGTTGGTATAATTTGTTTAACACATCTTGATTTGTTTAATTTCCGGTTATCAGCACATTATAAGTTCGGTTATCTTCAATTAGTTTATTTCGAAAAGTTATGGGCTTAGCCCATATATAATTACACCTTGGTGTAATAAAATCTAGTAAATTCAGCTATATCAAAACCAAATAATTTCTTTTGTATGGAATTAAATAACACTAGATTTCAGTTTAAAATTTATTACTGGGATAAGATTCTGCTACGAGATTCTATTCAATAAAATGCCTAATACAATAATCATATTTTAGTAATAAAATGCCATAATTCTAAGAAAGTCAAGATATAAGTTGACTATTCTAAAAATCAAATATATATGTGCTTAATTGCTTTGACCAAAGAAAACAATATATATATGGGTAATTAGGTGAACAAACAAAAACCACACGAAAGTAACAAGAGAGAGAATTAGGCAAACAAATAAATGAATCACACAACCCACCGTTCAACCACCAACCCCATATTCTAATATCTTCATATCTTCTTCTTTTTATTTCGTTAAAAGTTTATATATCTTCCAAAATCCTTAGCACAAAAACACTATTTATATTCCTCTTCATATCTTGAAGAAAACATTACTTTTTTGTTGTTTTTGTTAATTCTATATCTCGTACGTAACCTAAATGGCGAGCCAAGGAGTCGTCGTTCTCGGAGGGGAGAGAGAAGGGGCAGAGATCGTGTACGGAGCGGAAGAATGTTACAAGAAATCGTTGGAGCTTCTAGAGGAGCTAGGGTTTCCAAAAGGAGTGATGCCTTTGAAGAATCTTGTGGAGTGTGGAAGAGTTATGGCCACAGGATACGTGTGGATGAAGCAAGACACTCCTTACGAGCATTTCTTCGAAGCCACCAACACTCGCGTTTCCTACGGTCTCGAGGTCACCGCCTATGTCGACAAGTGTTGTATGAAGAAGATGACAGGTACGATCTCTGATATATATATATCTATATAGTTTATGTAGATATATAGCTTTTTTTTGTGAAATGTAAATGATAATATATATAGCTTGTAATTTGTTTATGTGATATGTATTTGTGTGTTATAAATGTATAGGAGTGAAGAGTAAGCAGATGTTTATGTGGGTACCGATCGTGGAGATGAGTATGGAGGAGCCAAAGAGCAAGAAGATTTACTTCAAGACTCCTATGGGAATCGGCAAGTCTTTTCACGTTACCGCATTCATGGACGAGGAAGAGAAACGCAACTTTTACTTGGAAAATCCCAAAAATTAAACAAGTTTAATGAATTGATCTGGTTCAGATCTTATTATCATTATTACATTTTGGGTTGCTTTTTTGGTCTTTTATTTTATTTATATATATATATATATATATATATATATATATACAGTATCTTGTAAGGTTGCTCTATGCCATCAATATTAAAACTATAATATAATACATTCCCGGGATCGTTGGTTATTTTTCTTAAAAACGTTATTCATAAGTCTTTATAATTCTTTTCATTCTATTTATGTACATGAGAACTTTTTTTGTGAATAATTATATGTGAAGTAAATTTTGATTTGTGATGGAGTGGACTTATTTTCTAACTGAAAACGATCGATCGATAAAGTAAATAATTCAAATATTATATATTTCGTAATTTTTATTTATACGATTAAGTATGTAGCTAGAGGTTAATTACAATTCAGAAGTTCAGATCACAAGAAAATATATCAAATCAAATCTCGCAACCAATATATTTCTATGAGTGAAAATCACATTAACATGGAAAGACACAGTAGATGTTGAACGCAATGTTAGTAATTCGAAAACTATATACTATCAGTACTATTCGAATTTATAAAATTCCTCTGTTTTTTTTTTTTTTTATTTTTTTTTATGTCCATGAAACTGTAGAGTTTTGAATTGTTAAATCAAGATTGTGGGATAATTAGTAAATCATATAGTAGATAACACAAATAATTCCTAAACACTGAAAAAGAAGAAATCGATATATTTTGGTTCTAAGTAAAGGCCTCCGGGATAGAACGAGTGCTTTCCGATAATTCACCATCACATTTGGTTGAGCTTTAAAGTAGTGACGGAATAATATGGTTGGATGGGTCCAATACATTCATTAGTATTGGTGAGTTTGTTCAACCAATCTGACCAACTTCCAGGGAATCGTCGGCTAATTCATATGCATAAACAAAATGTATACTCCACTGAAAACAAAAAAGAAGTATATACTATAAAAAGAACTATATAACATTGATAGAAGTTTTGAGATTATAAATCTGTAAACAGTTGAAATGACATATAAACTAATTATTTTTTTACTTAGTTCATGTGATATTGTAAGAAAATTTTATGACGCTCAAATTAGAATTAAAAAAAAATATTAAATATAAGGAATAAACTATCGAATAGTTTGATATGCGATTATTTATGTTACTGTTAGTACTTAGGACTAAGTAGAGGTAGTAGTACTATAGGAATGTTGTAATTTTGATTGAATGTTGTCAGTTGAGTTGACCATATTAATTTTTCTGCCTCTGTTCACAATGAGTAATGAATTTTATACGTTGTTCTTTTGTCTTTTAGTACAAAGTGCCAAATGGTTATTGATATTGTTTTTACTTTTTACCAGGTTTAGATTTTGGTTCATCATTTTCCGAGGCAGATAAGATATAGATCACGCTTGAAAGTGAATTCTAGGATATGAAATCGTACTTGATGACAAAAAAAAAAAAGGTAAAGAAATCATACTTGTTTCGCAATGTATGTCTACTTGTTTACATTGATGATTATATGTTCTGCAAACAAAAGTAAATGGTAAACGATCTGAATTATTTATATCTTTCTTCTATTTAAAAAATTTAAATGGTTCAAGAGGGTACAAAATGTGATGTGAAAAATTGATAATGTGACATTATACATATACTTTTTGAAAAAATTGATTAAGTAATATAGCTTCGTTTAAAAAAACTTTAATTGCAACATATGTGAAAAATGTATTTTTATTATTTTATATGTTTAATTTAATAAAAAAGATTTGAAAAACAAATAAAATATCATATAAAGATTAGAGGAAATAATGAAACTAAAATATGATATTAAATCTTTATTGGAGATATTTCGGTAAAAGATAAATATTCGTTATAATTTTCTTAAATATATAATTAATTAATCTCAATGGCATTGATGGTAAATAGTGTGAAAGTCTAGGATTTATTTCAAAAATGCTTAAAAATGTTAATATAGATACGTACCTTCTATTCTATAATCCAAATTATACGTATAAAAATGAAATATCATAACAAAATAGACTCGAAAATTATTATTGCAATACTCCATTCCCTGGATTTCTCATGGTACATAAGGATTTCCTTAATTTTATAATGATAAAAACTTTTAGAATATTTTTTTTTACCAACCCCATTACATAGACAAATTGATAAATCTATCACAAATATATCATGGAATAGTATATTTTAGCAAGAAGAAGTCTTCCAAATCTCTTGGAGCTCTCTGGCAAACTCATCTTGTCTGCCAACGACCATGGTGATATGATCTTTGTGCTCAATAACCTTAACTCGCGCCCGAGGAATCCGCTGTTTAACGTTGTGGCTACACTCGACTGGGATGAGTTCGTCGTCACCTCCGTGGAAGATGGTCACGTTGCACTTTAGTTTATCTCGGACGACGTCTAGATACGTATCGAGTTTGCTTCCTGTCCCACATATAATGTTGTGTAGAGTGTGCCATGCTGCGTTGTGCGTGTGACACATGAAACCTTCTATTAAAAAGTTTACAGTCCTGGATAGAGATAAAATTAATTAGTACAATATATAATAAAACAAAATGGACTATATTCCTACATCATAGTTATTGGACTATAATTTTCACACATTAAAAAAAAGGACTATTATAAAAAATGATATATCAATTGTCTCAAATTGTTGCTGTACCTATGACTAATGACAAACTAAACAAACTTGAAAATATGTATTGAATTTTGATTTCTTTTCATTTTTACTAATAATTTCATAGTTATATTATATATTGGTTTTGGAGTCGAACTTATATTTGGTAGCACTGATCGTATGAAATTTTGTTCCATTTCCTTTATTAATTTAATTCCTAATGGTTGTTTGTATTGGTAGGATATATGAGAGCATTATCTCTAACCATTTATTTACTCTAGATTCCTAAAACGTAGAAACTACATAACAGATTCGTAAATTAAACTCTATATATATCCATTCTTGTCACTCAAATATGCCGATCAACCAACCTAGACAAACCAATTTCAATTGTTCCAAATACACATAGTCATAGTACTTAGGTAGGAATTTTAAAATTTAGCATAGTACTATAAGGTCTGAGTAGGTTGCCTAAGACTCCATTAGAGTTTTCCTCCAGTGAACGGAGATATGTACTGGCATGTCAAAACACGTGGCTCTCCATTTTTATAAAGAAAGCTCTCTATTTTTGGTGATTTGATGTAACTTGAGGAATAAGCTAACACCACGTAGAGTAGTACTATATATGTAAATTAATTTGGTGAGTAAGTTGAATTAATAATCGTAAATTGAGTAGAGACACTAACTAGCCAGCGACCAGATGCGGCTACGAATTAAATTTGTTTGTAGATTTCCATTGGAGGTGTGGTTTGGTATACTAACTAGCTACAGCAACCCTCATTTGTTCCTATCAATTAAATATACATGATGCTATGCCTACACTAATAAGAAAGTTGATGAACTTTACATACAAAATGGGAAAAATTCTAAATTTAGACTAAACCTAACTTTTGAGATCACTAGATTTCCAAAATATTCCAAACAACCGGGTTAAAAAACCACCAACATTTTACCGTCATGTATTTGATTGTGCACTAGTTAAGTATGAGAAATTGTATTATTTTCTGTTGAATGTTAAGTTTATGGATCTTAATTTTACGCTTGAAATGTGTAATATGGTTGGGTGGATTAATAAAATTAATTACGCGAAGAAAATAGTAGATAAAAATAAAAACCTGTTATTACGGGTGATGATATTTGCAAGGAATTGCCAAAGCCGGTGGTGTTTGCAGATAAGGAGACAAATGGTACGACTTACGTGTTCGTACCAACAAGCCATCGACGCTCCAAAAGCTATTGGCGGCCAAACCTTTCTCGGTGCCACCTTCTTCATCACGTACTGCCTTGGCTTCGCCTCTCCCGCCGGTACTGGATAGTATGGCTGTCCACACGTACACATGCACACGTATTGTATTAGTCCTAGTCTCCTAGACCTCACATCTCTTATTGACACAAAGTTGCGTTATTCCTTAACTTGTTCAATTTTATTCTACCTAAAACGAGTGACCAACATAAGATTCATAATTTAATGAAACTTAGTAGTCATTGTAAACTTTTATCATGTAACTTTTATATTCTGCATGCAGAGAAACCAATAAAGAAAGGTCCAAAATATGCTAAAACTAATTAAAGTACCGGAGCAAGGAGGGTAAGCGACTTGACTGAGGCCCCGTGTCTGGCAGCCAGGCTAAGCGCCAAAATGCATCCCAAAGAGTGAGCCACGATGTGGAAAGACTTCACATTGTGTTTTTGTAAGACAGATTTCTCGATCATCTCTACGTGTTCTCTCAATGTGTAGAGTGAATCAGCTGGCTTTGGACTCTTGCCGAATCCTAGAAGGTCCACGGCGAAGAGTCTATGAGCCGAGGAGGAGGCTGACAGGCTTGGAAATACCGTCTCCGTCCAAAATGCTGATGAAGATATGAAACCATGTATAAACAGAACATCCTCTTTCGCTCTTACCCCTGTTGTATTAATGATGAATCGGATTGTTTTAAAATGCAATAAAGTTGTGTAAACAATATTTTATTGACATTTTTTTTAAGCCAAAATTGCAACTCATAATACAGACGACCATTTTTATTGCCTATTTAATTTGCATCTATAACTTCCAAAGATAAAATCACTTCACATGCAACTATATGTACTAAAACCTAACATGTAAAATACTCAAATAAAGATGTGAACTTATACCATTCGGGATTTGAGTTTTGACATAGAGGGAATGATCTTTGGTAGAAGCAGAGGCCCATGATGTGCAAAACCCACAGTCACAATCCGACCATCGAGAGACATCGTTGCTCAAATTTTGCTGTCTGATTTTTCCCCGAAGCATCTCAACTACCGTGAAGTTCACCGTCAAGCTTGACTTCGTTACTGATCTACCCCTTTTGTTTTTAGTCTTCTCATGATGGCCGCTACACTCGGACCGAGTAACCTTAACGAACCGTTTATTGAGCTCGTTAACCGAGAGATTAGAGAGGTCGGATAGAACAGAAGGACGTGTGTACAGGGTCTCAGAGATATCCTCAAGCTCAATCTTGGAACGTCCGCTGCAAGAAAATCAAACGAATGTGAACTCCTAGTGAAAATATTGGCTTATTATCAATTTGAAATTAATAGAGAAACAAAAGGCATATAACATGAGTCGGCCGTCATGATATTTTATGAGAACTTGTATAAATTATATACACGTAAATATGGTAAATTTTAAGGGGAGAAAAAACAGAACAACACATGTAGTGATGCAAAACCAATTAGTTAATATATTTATTTGGGCAAATACATTTATGTAATATATAATTGTGAAATTTATTATAGGTCGGGCTCAATAAATTCGAGGTCACTGAGCTGGAAAAAAATGGACATTTTTTCCCATCTTTTATGGAAAAAAGTATTGAGTTAGTAAAATCTATTTAGACGTATTTTTATAATAAACATATACAGTACTTGGACAATTCCCTTTCTGATATTGATACATTTTGCATTAACAAAACATTTTAAAAAGGAAATTAATACCCGAGTTCTTGAAGCGGAGAAAGAGTGAGGATCTTGGATTCGCCATTATCGTGAGACAAAAGGATCTTTCCCCGAGTTGTCGTGATGGGTTCCTTGGCCGACAAGCAATAGCAAGGCTTCCACTCGGCTTCGAAGAGATAGTCAGCTGTTTTGTAGAGGAAACAAAGCAAAGGATCAACGATGTCTAAGACGCAGAACACGAGGAAGCTTACGGCTTCGTTTAGCCATGCCCCTGCTACGGTCGCTGCTCTTCTTATCTTCATCGCAGCCATGGCTCAACAACGCTTAGAGATGTTCGATACACAAATGTTCTTTATATACTTGAGGTATAAGAAGGGAGATCCGTGAGGAAGACAAGTTGTGTAATTGGGTAATGTCTTTTATATAATATATGTAGACCTCGCTCTCTCTGTCTATCTTTCTCTCTCTCTCGCTCTCTCTATTTGAGAGTTGAGAATACGGAGAAAAACAAGAATCTGAGGTTTGTATCAATGTATATGGATGTGTTATATGGTTAATATATATGTAATATGATGTCATGAGGACGTGAGATATTATTATTGTTGATCAAGATAGTCTAAAATTACTACATAAGGTCACGGGATCCACCGGTTAGACCGGTCTGGTATTAAAAACATTGGCTAAATAACATGTGGCTGTGAGTTAACTGTAACACTACTCCTTATATGGATATGTCGAAAAATCAATGTATGTTGATAGGAAGATGGCGAATTTATTGCATTTTAACTTTTTATATATATATTTCCATATATAGAGAGAAATTATGGAACGTAAAAATAAAAAAGGAAATACATTTTGCTGCAAACAATTTCCGAAGGTTCCATATAGTAAAGCGTGTAAGAGAAACTATATGTTGTAGTATATTTTGTTAACTTGTGAATGAAGTTGGGAGTGACAAAATTGGGAGATTCTTGTTTATTCTATCTATATAGTAGATGATGTACACAATTGTATCAAAAAGATATCATTCTCTAGGTATGTATCATATGCAAACACAATTTATTGTTTGTCGGCAGAGAAAACATTTTTTTAACTTTCTTGATGAATGTATAAAGTTGCCAAATTCTTAAAATGAACAAAATACTTGTATGGAAAAAGACTTCGAAAATTTGATTAAGAAAAGAGGAAAATACTTAACAGTTGATAACCAAAATTTTCTATTTATATAAAAGAGTATATATATAAAAGATAAATATGAGGTTGTGTCATTAAAACGCCTAAAGAAAAAGAGGTGCGTGGTGGTTGAACCATTCTGTGAAACAGGAGAACCAGTCCATGACTTGGGGCTTTTCATCGTAGATATGATGATCATGCACGAATACTTAAGCTTTGTCGTTTATAATTATTCCATTTGAATAATTCATTTCTTGTACCTCTAAAACTTGCTAATCCATATTTTTCTTATCTAACTAGCTCGTTTTTTTCTTTGTGTTCATGACACGCAATTATGTCTATTTTCAGAAATCAACATTTTCAGAAATCAACATAGCTAGATAGAGGTTTGCAATAAACAATCTGTATCACCTTCCCTATTTTTTACACATAGCCGCTTCTCGACGTATTATGTAGTTAATTTCTTCGTAACACTTTTTTTGAAACATATCACATTCCCTACTTTTTTCCCTTCAATATACGTAATTATATCCATTGATGATAACTCAAATTCATAATTAATTCGTACCACGGAGGCAGCAACTAATACATTATACATATATACCATTATACTAGTCTTGACAAATCTAATGTATATATTAAAGATTCCTAACATTCCGGTGTTAAATAAAGAATCGACACATCTAACTGTAAAACGGTACGGATTCACGTAGGTTAAGAAAATGACATGCATGATCTTTCGGGGGTTATGATGTCTTTATATCAAATTTTCAATTCTGACGCAATATTACTATATCTGTCTTATATCAATGTAGCTCATTTGGGTATCGTACTGGATGTTACTCGTCCATGCATTTTCATATCTCTAGCTATATGCATATTTGTTTTTTGCCTTGGGCTATTTATATCTTTCCTTTTGTCCATAAAATTTGTGTTACAATTCAAAAACGTGCAAGTTTAGTTTTCCATTTGAAAGTTGTATTTTTTTGTATCAAAGTTATACTACAGTACAAAAACGTGCAAATGTATTTTTTTTTTTATATATACACTGTACATCAATTAATGGTTTAAAAATTAGTAAGAATCAGGTCCTGGTAAAACGTAACTAACCAAACCGGCATTTCCAAACCAAATCGAGGTTCGATCAACGTGGCCAAACAAAAACCTATCGGCAGAAATCGAAATTATATTTGGTCTCGGTTCGGAATCGGGTTCGGTACACCCATATATGGCGATGACTCATTCTCATTGACTCTGCCAAGCAGAACTAAAAGGTGAAAGACTTTTGAGGAAACCAAACACGCGAAAGTAAAAAGTGAAAGGTCACGTGAAAAGAAAGAAAGATTATAGGCCTATAGGCCTATATGCCTAAAAGTGTATTGGTTTTGGTTCACATTGCTTTTTATCCATAACCAAACCGTTTTTTAAAACTTTGGTTTTGCATCATATTTTCAGTTCTAACCCAACCGAATATACTACAATCTGCCGAACCAAAGTGAAAACTTTTCTCCAAACCCGAATCCAAAGAACTACAAATGTCAATCTCACCAATATTGGACTTTTTAGTAATGGGCCATTCTTGATTTAAGGTACTATTATAGCGGCCCATTTGGTCTTGAGTGAGACATTCATATATCACAGTTTTAGTAGTCATGCCATGTAGTTGTCTCAACAATTGTTAACGAGTATTCTTGTTTCAGATTGGCAGGTGTCTCAACAATCTACGTCTCGTTGGACACATGTAGAGCATCTTCTCTTGATCTGCTCGAAACTGCATAACAGAGGTTAGACCAATGCTGCATTAAGTAGGTTATATTCTCATTCGTAGGTAACATTGAAATACATATCTCAGACTCGATTCCAGAGTACGGAATCACTATTGAAACAGCTAGCCTCGGGCACTACATTTTGGAACATGTTTGTGATACTGTCTCTTGTTCCTAAATTTTAAAACAGTCGGGTTTCACTTTGGATTCATGTTAAAAATAGGGTGCTCTTTTAGACTTATATGTAACCACCGATGAAATTGAGCTACTACTATATGACTATCAAACAAATAAATGACCTTAATATATATAGTCCCATATGTTTTGACATTTGAACTTTAAGGGTGAGTGGTCCTATGTATGTTTAGGTGTATACGACAAACAAAGAAAACTAGAATTAGAAGTCATCTTTATTTCCCTTTTCTTCCACCCCCTCAATAATTACCATCATGTGTGTGATCAATGAAAGAGATGAGCTTTTTCTTTTTAACTAAATCAGAAGAAATGAGAGGAGTGGAGACATTGAAAGTAGTGGGGTCGAAAAGAGAAAGAAGGAAAAGAAATGGGGGTGAGAAATTAGTAAAATCTAAGAAAGTGACCCAAAGAGAGAAGAGAGGGGGAAGGGGTGTAAATTAGTTAGAGCATCACATCTCTCTCTCTCTCTATCTATGGTCCCCAATGAGAAGCTCTCACGGAAACCTCATATCATCATATGGGTCCTATTTACCAACACACATCTCCAAGCACCCTCTTTTAAAACGCCGTTGCTTAACGGGAGAGAGAGAGAGGAGAGTCTTTAATCCTCATCCTATACATGCATGCTCTTGTTGTGTGAATGGTACGATGATGTATGTAGTTTTTGGGAAGAAGACAAAAGAGAGAGAGAAGACGTTACCTAAGGTCGAAGTAAATAATAAGATTTTTATTAGAGGCGGTGGTGTGTAGAGAGAAAGAAAGAGTTAACGGCGTTAAGTGTTGTAGGAAACGACAACGTGGGATGCTACTGGTCTGTGTCAGGGAGAAGAGAGAGAGAGAGAGTAGTAGCTGACAGTTAATGAAGATTTTTGTCTGTATTCTGAAACAAGGTCGAATGTTGGAGACTAAGGAAACAAATTTATACGCCTTTATCATGAGATGATGGCTCATGAGCCTTTCAAATAGCTGCACCACCGCTCCTCCCTCTTTCTTTTTTTTTTTTTTTTTTATATTGCCTAACCTAAATCCCCAATTTCTCTCCCCATCCTCTCATTTTTGCTTTGTTTTGTTTGAAGTGGCACTGTGAGAGAGAGATAGAAAGAGACAAATAAACAAAGAGTGTGAGCCTTTGTGTTCTTGTGTGTGTGTTTTAAGGTTTTTATTTTTATTTTCTATGTTGCAGAGATTAGGATAAGATAGAAGGCGGGTGCTTTTTCTTCTCTGTTTCTCTCTGTTTTTGTTCTTTCTTGGATTTTTTGGGTGTTGCTTGTTTGTTTTAGCTTTGAAGGATAAAGCTTTGTGTATCTCCTAGGTTTCCATTACTGAGACAAAAAAGTATAACACAAAGGATAAAGCTTTGAGAGTTGTGTTTTTCTGTTTGTGTGTGTTGTTGTGCTTTTTAATCGGGTTTTAAGGTTTGTAGAGGTGGTGTTCTCTGGTAAAAGTTGAGACTTTTTGAGTGGATATTACAGAGTCAGGAAATAGAAAGAGAGAGTTTGTGTGTGTTTTAGTTTAATGGCAACAAGAGCAGAACGTAAGGAAGATTACGTTGGTGGGTTTGGATTTGGAGTTGTTGAACATTCTCATAAAGACGTTATGGTGCTACCCCATCATCATTATCATCCATCATATTCCTCTCCTTCCTCTTCTTCCCTGTGCTACTGTTCTGCTGGTCTTGGCGATCCCATGTTCTCTGTTTCAAGCAATCAGGCATACACTTCTTCTCACAGTGATATGTTCTCCCTTGCCGGTTCCACTTCTGCTTCTGTCACTCTAGCAGATCCTTTTTACACCTTGAGCTCTTCAGGTTTCAAGTTCTAACCTTTTGCTGACTTCTGAGCTATGAAAAAATTGTAATTTTTTGTATGTTGGCTGGATGTGTGAAATTGGTTTGGATGAAATCCAGGGGAGATCGGAAGAAGTCTGAGTGAAAACGCAGGTGCAGCTTTCAGTAACGCTCAGTGGCAAGAGCTTGAGAGGCAGAAGAATATATATAAGTACATGATGGCTTCTGTTCCTGTTCCTTCCGAGCTTCTCACACCCTTTCCCAAGAGCCACCCATCAAACACTAACCCGGATGGTAAGATCTCCCTAGCTTTCACTCAAACAACTTCTGTAGGCTTCCCATTTTTGTCAAATTCTCTTGGTTACATATGTTCTTAATCACTTGTTATCATGTTTGATGCAACTAAAAATCCATTATGATGGTATTTGAATGTTCAAGTATTTTAGAAGTTTTACCTCTTAGTGGAGGCATATAAGTAAAATGTTTAGTACTTATGCTGAACACAAGAATCTGCTGTGGTCTTTGTGGATGACAGTAACAGTGGCAGTGGCAACAGGAGGTTCGTTGCAGCTGGGGATTGCTTCAAGCGCAAGCAATAACACAGCTGATCTGGAGCCATGGAGGTGCAAGAGAACGGATGGGAAGAAATGGAGATGCTCTAGAAACGTGATTCCTGATCAGAAATACTGTGAGAGACACACACACAAGAGCCGTCCTCGTTCAAGAAAGCATGTGGAATCATCTCACCAATCATCTAACCACAATGACACTCGTAACGCTAAGAATGATACTAGCCAGTTTACTAGAGCTTATCCTCAGTTTTACGGACAACCCGTAAACCAAGTCCCTGTGCTTTCTACTCTTCCATCTTCTACCTCTTCATATGATCACCACAGGTGCTTTTACTTGCATTCTTGTCAAACTTTTTAAAATCCATCCCCTTTGAAAACATGTGAAAGATTGAAACTCTTTTTGTTGATGTGTGAAGAGGATTGAGATGGTTTAGGAAAGAAGGTGATGCCATTGGAACTTTAAACCCAGAGATTCATGACGCTGTCCAGCTGAAGGATGGATCAAGCAGAGAGCTCAAACGTGGATTCGGTTATGATCTGAATTTCATGCAGAAGGAGCCAACAGTGGACCAGAGCTTTGGAGCATTGCAAAGTCTATTGAGTCTAAACCAGACACCACATAACCAAGAGACAAGGCGGTTTGTTGTAGAAGGGAAACAAGACGAAGCAATGGGAAGCTCTCTGACACTGTCAATGGCTGGAGGATCCATGGAGGAAGCAGAGGAAACAAACCAGCATCAGTGGGTTAGCCATGAAGGTCCATCATGGCTCTATTCAACAACACCAGGTGGACCATTGGCTGAAGCATTGTGTCTTGGTGTCTCCAACAACCCAAGTTCTAGTACTACTACTAGCAGCTGCAGCAGAAGCTCAAGCTAAATAAATGGCTTTAGTTGTCTTGTCTACAAAGTCAAAACCGGTTTATGATTAGAAATCATCGTTTTTAGGGATTTGTTTGAAAATCTTAGACCACCTAGCTTTTGTTTGTGTTTTGCGGTTGGATTTTGCACAAGACTAAACATGTTATTTATCGAGTTTTCACTTTATGATCGATCACTCCTTTAATGTAACAAAATTGACCAACCGAACTGATCAGTCAGAAAACGAATCAAATTGCAACTTTTCACCTTTCCCACGTTGAATCCTAATCTAATTGGTAATTTCCCATTAACAATCTTAATCCAAAGGAGGACATAATCAAATTATCAAGAGTTGACCAGACCGACAGGTCCGATTTTTCCACCGAGAAGCTTCTGTGTTTTGCAGGAGAGGTGACGTCGGCAATGACGTGTGAAGAACAAATAAAAAGCATATTTCCCATAAGCGACTTCGCATCAAAACCTTTCGTCTCATCTTTCTCGAAACTTTTTAGATAAAATTAGAAATTTTTAATTCCCAAAAATCTCGATTCCTTGATTCGTGAGAGAAAGTCTAGATTTTTATTTATTTTTGTTGGATTGTGATTTTTGTTCGGTTATTGTATGAACTTGAGCCGTTTTGCGTCAAGACTAAGAATGGCTGAAGAAATCTCAAAGAAGAAAGTGGGATCTTCTTCGACTGCTTCGGTGGCTGATTCATCTGCTGCTACGGCTGCTGCTACGAATGCTGCGAGATCAAGATGGAAAATTTTGTGGCCCAATTCGCTCCGGTGGATCCCTACGTCCACCGATTACATCATCGCCGCCGAGAAGCGTCTTCTCTCAATCCTCGAGTACATATATCTCTCTCTGTTACAGATTTGTTGTTCTCAATTACACAGCTTTAGGGATAAATCTTTCAAAATTCTGTAATTTAGTATGAACTCTGTTTCTGGGACATTGTTGATTAGAGCTTGAAATGTCAAAGGAGAGTTTTTTTTTTTGGTTCTACATTACGGATAAGCTGTTTTTAACTCTTTTGGGATGAACAATCTTCAGGACGCCTTATGTACAAGAACAAGTTAATATTGGTTCAGGACCACCAGGTTCCAAAATCAGGTGGTTTAGGTCTTCCAGCGATGAGTCACGTTACATCAACACTGTTACTTTTGATGCCAAGGAGGGTTCTCCCACTCTCGTGATGGTTCATGGTTATGGTGCTTCTCAAGGTTTTTTCTTCAAAAATTTCGATGCTCTTGCCAGTCGATTTAGGGTGATTGCTATTGATCAACTTGGGTAAGCGACTATTGTATCATGCAACTAGTCTTCCTGACATGTATTAGTCACAATATGGCCTTTTGGATGCTTTAGTGTTAACGATATCATGCTTTTTCCGTTAGTTGGTTTTAAATTTTGATGTCTTAATCGTCAAAGTGAGGATGTTCTAGATTTTTTTTGTTCTCATGTTTTGTATACATTTGTGACTGTATAATAAGCTAGTTCTCTCTTTTCCTTCCTAGGTGGGGTGGATCAAGTAGGCCTGATTTTACATGTAAAAGCACAGAAGGTATTCATTCCCTGTAATGCTCATGAGTACTCAGTGGCTAAAATTTCATTTAAAACCAAAATGGCTTGTATATGTGGCACTACTATACCAGTAATGGAACTGCATTGGTCCTTCTTTGATTGTACAGAAACTGAGGCATGGTTTATCGACTCCTTAGAGGAATGGCGTAAAGCCCAGAATCTCAGTAACTTTATTCTATTAGGACATTCCTTCGGAGGTTATGTTGCTGCTAAATATGCACTTAAGGTGATTTTTCCTCCTTGGTATAACTCAATGGGAAAAAGGTGATAGTTTGGCTTTTGATGATATCTGACTTTCATTGGGCATATCTCTGGATCTTTCAGCATCCTGAGCATGTTCAACACTTAGTTCTGGTGGGACCTGCTGGGTTCTCAGCAGAAGCAGATGCCAAATCGGAATGGCTCACTAAATTTAGAGCAACATGGAAAGGCGCCCTACTAAATCATTTATGGGAGTCGAATTTCACTCCTCAGAAGCTTGTTAGGTATGCTCTTAGAATATTTTCTTATTCACCAGTAGGTCGGTTAGATACTCATCTAGATGATACAATTTTATTGCACTCAATTGAAACCATTTGATAAATGAGCATGGGAACACTTGTTGGCATGAAGTGAGCTGGGGCTGGAATACTAGATTCAATATATTTTTTCTAAATGTGGTTTGCGTGCAGAGGATTGGGTCCTTGGGGTCCAGGTCTTGTAAACCGATATACAACTGGAAGATTTGGTGCATATTCGGAGGGAACTGGGCTAAAAGAGGAAGAATCCAAATTGTTAACCGGTGAGTAATTCTTTTGTTAAGTCCCCTAGATGTTATGGTGGATGATGATGCAATAGCTGACAGTGATGGTCCGTTTTGCATTGTAGATTATGTGTACCATACTTTGGCTGCAAAGGCTAGTGGAGAGTTGTGCTTGAAATACATCTTCTCATTTGGAGCCTTTGCTCGGAAGCCCCTCCTGCAAAGGTTTGTCTACCAAATCTCATGAATAATTCCAAGTTTGTGACTACATTGCTGATGGAGTTTTTACACAACTCAAATTCAATGACTTTTTTGTGTGTGTGCAGTGCATCAGAGTGGAAAGTGCCAACAACATTTATCTATGGAATGACTGATTGGATGAACTATAAAGGTGCAATGGAAGCGCGGAAATACATGAAAGTCCCTTGTGAAATCATTCGGGTTCGACAGGTCAAATCTCTAAACACATGCATTTGTTTTCACATCTGAGATGAAAATTATAGAGAAGAAGAATATGATGCTTATGTGAATTTTTGTTTGATTCAGGGTGGTCATTATGTGTTCATAGACAACCCAAATGATTTTCATTCTGCAGTGCTTTATGCTTGCCGTAAGTTTATATCTCAGGACTCCACTCATGATCAACAACTCCCAGATGGTTTACAATTGGTTTAGTTGTAGTATGATGTTCCTTTACCTTTCGAATGGATTACGCATGTATACAAGTATATATATATAAGAAAAAAGAACATAAAAAAGAAGTCTTCTTTAATGGTTGTGTTTGTGGTTCCACGATCTTTCTATGTCTAAAACTTATATTTGTAGTGTTCTTGATTGCTCTATTAAACCTCACAAATGGGATCTCATATTGAGATATTCTAATTGTAATCTTTCATAATCCAAATTAATTCCCCTGAATCATGTGTTTCTAGTAATTAATTACATTTACTTATGAAACCAAACAATCAAATCTTTGTGCTCGAAATGGGGATATCTGGGTCTGGTTTATGCTTATTGTTCAAATTGTCATATGAATTTCCTTGTACAGCAAGGCGTTCATGTAATTACTTTAACTGGAAGGGTAAAAAGAGGTTAAAATTGACAACATTCTTATTTTAGTAGAGAAAGCTTGGTGGTCGAAACATTTCCAACGGCCATGCCGACATGTTCTATCTCAGACAGCTCAATGTTGAGGAAACAAGAAACTTGAGGAAGAAGAAACTACAGAGGGGGTTTTTGACCGGATTATTATTTTTGGCTGACTCATTCTTCTCATCTCCCAACAAATTTTCGTTGATTTGTCTATGTCTTCATTTATGATATGGAGTTTGTTTGTTCAAACTAAAAATTTTCTTTAGTGATCCTTCACAATAAAAAAAATGTCTTTCTCCTCTCAATTTGCAGCAATCCAGAGAAGGATCAAAAGGTGAGCCAAGATCTTATACATGTAGATTAGGTTTTGGTCAATGAAAGGTTTATGTTTCGTTCATTAGTTTCTGAGAAATGGTTTGGTTTCAACATTTTTTTCTTTTCCTTCTCTTTATGATATCTAAAGTCTGATCAGATAAATATGATCATATGATTTATGCATCCTTCTTCAATGGGTTTGGATTTTAAAAAAAAGCAGAGGTATATAGAAAGCAAGAAAAGATGGCGGCAGGAGGAGAAGAGAAGATATTGGTGTCGGTGAGGGTTAGGCCTCTAAACGATAAAGAGACGACGAGGAACGATAGATGTGACTGGGATTGCATCAACGACAACACAATCATCTGCAAATTCCATAATTTGCCTGATAAGTCTTCCTATACATTTGGTAAAGAGTTTAAATTGCATCTCTTACTCACCATTTTCATTTTTGAGGTACGCATTACTATTGAACCTAACCAGCAGTTGATGTGTTACAGACAAAGTGTTTGGATTCGAATGCCCCACGAAGAAAGTTTATGATGATGGAGCTAAAGAGGTTGCACTTTGTGTCCTCTCTGGAATCAACTGTGAGAAATAGTATTGTTTTGCATCTCTCCTTATGATCAACCATTTTGATTTATATGACTAATAAGCAGATTCATGTGTTGCAGCGAGCATCTTTGCGTATGGACAGACAAGTAGCGGGAAAACGTACACGATGAGTGGAATCACTGAATATGCTATGGATGATATATTTGCTTACATTGACAAGGTTTACATACATTATTAACCTTTCTTCACTCATTCTTGTGCTATCTACATTTAGGTCTCAGCTGAGATCCTCTGTTGTTTCTTCTTTAGCATAAACAAGAAAGAAAATTCACACTCAAATTCTCGGCGATGGAGATCTACAATGAAGCTGTGAGGGATCTCCTTTGCGAAGATAGTAACATCCCACTTAGGCTGCTAGATGATCCTGAGGTCACATTCATCTTCTATTCCCTGCCATGAAGTAATGATACTCAAATGATTATTAGCTATTTCATTGACTGATGCTATTATTGTTAACTTTTGGTAGAGAGGAACGGTCGTTGAGAAACTTAGAGAGGAGACTCTCACAGACAGAAACCATCTACAGGAACTCCTTTCTATATGCGAGAGTACTTAACCAAACTCAGTTCTGTTTTCTTTCTTCATATTTTGATATCAGCAATTATGATATATTTTGAATCTGTGGTTTTTGCAGCTCAGAGGAAGATTGGAGAGACATCTTTAAATGAGACTAGTTCCAGATCTCATCAGATACTCCGACTGGTACACTCATTTTCATAGTTTAATAACGAAAACACTGCACTCACATATTGCCACAAGTCACAATGCTTTTTTTTCTCTTCCAGACAATTGAAAGCTCAAACCTAGAATTTTCTCCAGAGAGCTCAGCGACTCTTGCAGCATCAGTGTGTTTTATTGATCTAGCAGGAAGTGAGCGTGCTTCTCAGACATTATCTGCTGGTTCAAGACTCAAAGAAGGTTGTCACATCAATCGGAGCTTACTTACTCTAGGAACTGTCATCCGAAAACTAAGGTCATTTTTGCAGCAACTTAGTAGTTTTCTGTTAAGTTTGTTAAGTTTCAACTGAAATCTATTGGTAATAAGTATTGACATGATTATATTTTTGAAAGTACTACAGCAAAGGGAAAAATGGACACATACCTTATCGAGACTCGAAGCTAACTCGTATACTTCAGAACTCACTGGGGGGAAACGCAAGAACAGCTATCATCTGTACAATGAGCCCTGCTCGTAGTCATCTCGAACAATCAAGAAACACACTTCTCTTTGCAAGCTGTGCTAAAGAGGTGATCACAAATGCTCAAGTCAATCTGGTTGTCTCTGAGAAAGCTTTGGTGAAGCAACTGCAGCGAGAGCTTGCGAGAATGGAGAATGAATTGAAGAATCTTGGACCTGCTTCTTCTTCTTCAACCTCTGAGTTCTACACATTAATGCTCAAGCAGAAAGAAGAGTTGATTGCAAAGGTTTGTTGATGCTTCTCCTTTCCCTCTTTTGATTAAGGAAAATATTACTCATTGCTTGGGTGACAACCTGCAGATGGAGGAACAGATCGAGGAACTTAAATGGCAACGAGATGTAGCTCAATCTAGGGTGGAGAATTTGCTTAAATCAACAGCGGAAGAGATATCATCTTCAAGTTCAATGGATAACAGCAGAAGAAGAAGAAGTTACGATTCAACAGATTTTGACGAGCCTCGTATGCTAAAAAACTTGGGGAAGAGTAACTTGTACTCTCCTGATGAGGATGGTTTCCTGCTAGATGATACTACCCCTCAATTTCCGGAGCATGACCTACAAGATAAGTGGGAGGAGATGGCTCAACACACCACCCAAGAACCAGAAGATGCTTGCAAAGAAGTTAGATGCATTGAAGTGAACAATGGAGAAGCAGAAAGAGTTCAAATTCAAGACTCAATAGGCGACATTGTTGAAAAGAAAGAATATGAACAAAACTACAAATCCTTTATACCCGATGAGTCCGAAATGGAATATGCTGATTCTTCTTTTAAAAAGATAGATATGGAGTTGAGTTTATATGCTAAACTTGAAGCTGAAGATGAGCCAGTAATAAAGAAGCTACTAGAAGACGTCCAAGAGACTGACCAGTCTCTGGAGAAACTAAAGCAGTCTTCAGTGAAAGAAGACATGAAACAGTATTCGTGTAGGGATGATAAGTCAGAGCAGGTAACAACATCACCCGCTGAGGAAGAGAAAAGTGTACAAGTCCATGAAGGCTCTGACAAACTTGAAGCCAAGGATGAGATAACTATGAACATATTAGAAGAATTCCACGAGACTGCGCAATCTGTGTACAAGGAAGACCACAAAATTAGTTGGACTTCAAAGAAAGAAGACATAGAACAGATATCTATGGATCAGTCAGAGAAATTAAATAAATCACCCTCTGCTGAAGAGAAATGTGTAGAAGTATATAGAGGCTCTGATAAAGATGATAACACATATGAGGCTTTGAAGAAAAAGGTGAAGGAAATGCAGAAGACAATTGAATACTTCATGAGCATGCAAGCAGAAGAGAAACAATCTCCTTCTTTTAATAGGATAGATGACTATATGAGTCCAGGAGATTACTTAAAGATGAGAAGAAGTCGAAGCTGCAGAGAAAATCTCTTGTTTACAAAGGCATCTGTTGCTGCTGCTGCTAGTGGAGGCTTCATATTCAAGGCATCTAACCCATCCTTTGATTCAGAGTACACTATCTCCATGGATGCACAGAGCACTAAAGATTCCGATACAGAGACTGGCAGTAGTAGCTTCCATGAATTTATCGCAGGACTTAAAGAAAGGGCAATGCAGCACCATTCCACACATGAGCTGGATCATAGTGATACTGAAACAAAGACGATGAAACCAGAGAACACAGATGATGGTGACAAGAAAGCAGAATTCAAGAGACAACAGAGCCAAATAATGGAGCTTTGGGAATTATGTAATGTACCCTTGGTTCATAGAACCTACTTTTTCTTGCTCTTCAAAGGCGATCCATCGGACTTTGTTTACATGGAAGTCGAACTCAGAAGGCTATCTTTTCTAAAGGACTCGCCTGAAATATCGAGGAAACAAGCTGCCAGAGCACTAACACGCGAGAGAGAATGGTTGGCTAAGCAAATACCAAGCAAGTATGGAAAGAAACAAAGAGAAGAATTTTACAAGAAGTGGGGTGTTGAGTTAAGCTCAAAGCGTAGAAGCCTGCAAGTAACTCACAAACTATGGATCAACACCACAGACATAGATCATTGCAAAGAGAGTGCTTCTCTTATAGCTACTTTGGTTGGGTTCGAACACTCAACTCTAACGCCAAAGGAAATGTTTGGCCTTAGCTTCTCACCTACAACATTCAACATTAAACCCTCCTCTGGCTGGAGATTTTCAAATTCTTTCTCTCGTATTAGCTTCACCGGATGATAACAAAACCAGATGTAACAACAAAAGTCCAGTCTTTGTGTGTATAGCAACAGTTTAAGTGAAGCTGTAAAAGATGTGTATGTATGGATTGGAATCTAACTCTAGTTCAATTGGTATTTGAAATTGAGATTTATCTTAACAGACAATAAGACATATATAAAGGAAAATAAACTCACTCTGATAAAAGAGTTAGCTTTATAGATAGCACATAGCAGATAGATAAAGCTCCGACCTTGGAACGATTTGCAGGAGCTGCCAATGGCGCAACTAATACGACCAATAAGGCAATTATCACCGCAGTGTAATCACCATTTTCGTAATCTCCGCCATTTATTTTCGAAAAAGCTTCCGAACCCACCTTCTTGTATCCCTACTCTTCTTCTATGCCCGTCTTTCTCCACGGCCAGGTCTCCACCTCGTCGGCGAATTCGTCCGGCGCCACCGGAAGCTCTCACTCCAACTGTTATTGCTGAAGATTATGGTGATAGCGATGGTTCCGAGTCTGACTCGTCGAGGAGCCGTAACCAGCGGAAGCGCGACGCTCGCCGCGCCGTCAAATGGGGTATAGAACTTGCTTCCTTCTCCGGTGATCAGGTTAAGCGGATTCTAAGGTAAGCTTCTTAAAAATTGGATATTCAAAATCTTCACTTTTGTATTTTGTTGGTGTTTCTGGTTTTAAATTAATTGGCTATCTCATTATAGAGCTGCGTCGCTTGGTGAGGAGACTTATGATGCTGTGATGCTTGGGAAGGTAATTACTTTGAGTTCATTTGGTCGTCATAGCTTCTCTTATCGTAAATTTGGGACAATGCACGTAAGGTGTTTGTTGTTTTTCCGCAGAGACTAGGCTCAGATGTTAGAGAAGGAAAGCGTAGACATTTCAACTATATTGGTGAGATAAGAAAAAAACATCATTTATATCCAGACGAACTGTTATGAGATTTTGTCTTTGTATCTTACAATTAGGCCATGATCTGATTGAAATCTTTTGCTAATATGGTATGTGCTCTCAGGGAAATTGTTGCGTGATGTTGAACCTGATTTGATGGACACTCTGATACATGCTACAAAGCAAGGTGATCACACAACCCTTCAAGCGCTTATTAGTTCAGCGAAGGATGTTGCAGATGATGCAGGAGAAAGCTATGATGATGATGATACAGAGACAGAGTCAGAAGAAGAAGAGGAGGTAAGTGTAAACAAGAATCTCAACATAAGTGTAATGTTCATATATAATTGTTTGGTTAGAAAATGGTCTCCTGGATGGTATAGTTAAATTCCATTGTTAGGATTACTTCAGTAAGAGAATGGGAGATGGGATTCTATAGTTAGGGAAATTTTGGACTCGTGCTTCATAGATTTTTGGTTGTTCGTTAAAGTGGAATTTATAATATATCAGCTAGTACGTTCTGGGTTCTTTGGAGGAACAAGGAACTTCATTTAGCAAACTCCTTAATAGAAAGAGGAAAATATCTCTGAACCAATACATTCCTACTTCTGTGCACATTCATGAATGGCCTTATAACCAGCTACTGATTACATGTAGAAATGGATAAAGAGAACTGTGTTTGTTGTTAACATAAAATATGTTTCAGTTGTTTGCTGTCCAAACTCATTTAATTTTTGAAATAACATCTTCAGAGATCAGACGAATATATGGCTATGGCTGCGAGATGGTTTGATGGCCTAATCAGTCAAAATGTGGAACTTACGAAGGAAGTTTATTCTCTTCAGGGTGTTGATTTCGATAGACAGGTTAGTCAAATATGAGTTGAATAAGATAAGGATATGTGTATGACTTGAATATTAGGTGTATGGGGTCTTTGAACAGATATGATCCAAAAGCATCATTTGGTTTACTGATATGATTCTTAGCTTCTGCTTTTTTCCACATTGTTGTTGATAGGAATTGCGTAAACTTGTTCGGAAAGTACAGTTGGTTCATGAACAAAAAAAAGGCACAACAGAGGAGAAGCAGAAAGAAGTTGATGCTGCATTAGTGACTGCTGAAAAGTCTCTGAGTCAGTTCCTTCGTTCCATGGCGAAACAAATGCAGAGTGAGCAGACCTACGATTTGTACTTATGAATAATAATGTGTTTCTTGACTATACTACATTCTCCTCAATAGTCTATTGTTTACCCAGTGACATCCATAGGACCATAGTTTTTTTGGCAAATGCTGTTACTATTTATAATCTAATGATACTGTACCATAAGGCATACGCTTGGCAAACATAAACATTTCTGTATGCTTTACATTGATAGGAATATCTGTTTGGACAATAGGTTAAGTGACCTGTTTAGATCTTGAGACTGAGTTAAAAAATTGAAGAATAAGAAATAAGGGCTTTCTGAAATACAATTTTCACAGTAGTTTTGTATCTGCATCATCTAACAATATGCTTATGTCCAAACAAGTAATATGATCTATAATGTCTTATAGTAAACCAGCTCACATCAATCAAATACATATATTTCTTTTGAGTAAGACTTTAGGTTGGTGGTTAGTGGTAGAGTCATTGTTATGTCAATAAATACATATATTTTGAGTAACATCAATTTCTTTAGAGTAAGACTTTGACCGTCTCCCATCATTATCAAGTTACTTTATACGTAGGACGTAGAAGGCCACACACCATTGAAGATAAATTCTTAAAACATAAAATCATTTGGCACTTCAAATTAGGACCAAGTCAAAAATTCACTGACTGTAAACTAGTAATGATCATTCTCTTTAGTACCCAACAAAACGTTGATTTTGTATTTTCAATACGTATTGTGAAACACAAGGATTGAACCTAGTTTCCTTAATATCAAAGTCTCTTTCATCTGATATTTCTCAAAAGATATGACCCATTAAAGACACTTGTCTAGCTAAGCTAAGTATGTAGGAGTAAGTGCAAACATGAGAGTATAAAGACACATAATCTCATCAAGAAGATGATTCCAATAAATCTTTAGCTGATCTTATATAGACACAACTCTGTCTACTTTCCTACGTCTTACTTCATTCTTTCTGAAAGGTCTCCATAGATGTTTTTTTATTTTTTCTGCCTTATCATGATCTTTTTTTTTTTCCCTCCTTTGTTTCTGTTATCTTTTTGTTTTGCCTTTTGTTCTTTTTTTTTTTTGTTTTCTCCCTCTTTTTACATTTCAAGTTTTTGCATTTCTCGTCATATCTCCATGGAAATAATTCTTATCGGACACATCATCCATCATCAAAGCAAAACAAGAAACTAATACTATATATCTTTAAATACACGAGTCTTTTTCACTTAATCGTATTTTATTATATGTTTTTGGTTGCTAATGTACGACTAAAACACTTATCATACTTCTACCCCTAAAGTGTCATCTCGTATTCTTTGCATTTGGTACGGTTTTGCATGGAATTTAAGCTCTATATACAATCAACACAACTAAGTTCGGTTAAATTAAATTTTATAATCACAAAAACATTTAAATGTAATAGGATACAGAATATACACCCGTAAACAAAGGGATGAGAAAATTTTCAAAATTGCCGAAGAAGAAGAAGAAGAAAAATAGTAAACATGAGTAGGAAGTGTGAAGAGTGAACATTTGAGGAATCAGAGGTGAAAACATCGGACAACCACGTTGATAAAGGCGACGGCGAGCTTTCTCTCAATCCACCGCCCTCTCTCCACCCATTTGCTGCTGACTTTTGGCTGTAAACACATTCCAACTTTAATCAGAATAATACAATTAATAGTTTCTTTGTCTTTCGATAATACTATAAGACTAAGTTAAATTATTATAATTTATCTCTGTGCATCCGCGTTACATAATGGTAGGCCTATTATTGTACGTGTTATAACGTAACAACCTTTTGGTTTTTCCTTTTCGTTGATGGAATGACTATTATATACTCCTTTATTACGTGCAAAAAAAAGAAAGAATCAACCTCTTCTTTTTCAGCCTGGCTCAAGCCAATCACATTACTTTGCTAGCTAAGCTCGTCGTGTGCAAGACCAAAAAAAGCAAGTGGGAAAAGCAAAAAAAAACAAAAATGAAAAAAAAATATAAAAATTAATTAAGTTAACCTACCTAGGCAAGGAAGGGCAAAGAGTGATGGTGTAATCAGCATCAGTACATGTGAAGGTACTTGTAGCGTCGTCGAAGGCGTAGCTGTATGATCTTGGACACGCTGATTTGAATATCTCTGAGTACGTCGATGGTTTACACTCGGTGGGTGATGCGTATGCGCCACTACAACAGTACTCCGGACTACCAAAAGCCTCGCACGCGCTCTTGCATGCTGACCCGGATCCGAACCGGAGCTCCGTTGGACATTTCTGGTTTAGATCACTCACGCATCCCGTTGTTAAGCATGTACCTTCTGACCCTCCACTTGCTTCCACCAACATGGGGACGTTGTAACCGTCCACGAGGCTCACGTCGTAGAAGTCCTGTTTACGGGCAGGGTCGCTTGGACCTGACCCGATTGTGAACTCGGCGAGTGTGGCGGGAGGTTTGGCTCCCGCACCATTACACTCGACCTGGTTAGAGCCGCAGTCTCCGGTTAAGCACGTGCCTTGGCCTGTATCTGAGTCGAAGTTGCAACCGGTTCGTGCCCAAAACCGACCTGACCAGCTAGCCGGAGCTTGGAACGAACGTGAACCACCGGAGGCTAGCTCGAAACCGGTGGTGCCTATATCACCACTCCCGGCGTTGGACAAAATTCCCGGCCAGACGGTGAAGCTGCATCGGTTCACGATGGTGATAGTAGCACCATCACTTCCTACCAAATGTAATGCTTTAATTATTATGTTAATATCAACATTACATTAATATAGAAACATTCGTAATGTATGAAACTGTAATAGATATGAATATTACGTACCATGGAAGAAGAGGAAGCTAAGGATGATGTAACAGAATGAGACAGGGGAATGAAGAACTGTTATGATCATCACTGTTTTTCTCTCTCTCTTTTCAAAAGAAAAAGTAATTTGGTGGAGAAATTAATCAAGTTTGGAATATTCACAAAAACGAAAGACCAAGAGAGAAAGAAAAAAGAAGAAGAAGACTATAAGAGGTAGAGTTTAAAGAGCATTTACGATGTCATCAGCACCTCTATATATACGTTCTCTTAACAAAGGGGTCAAGCTCACGATTTTGGTGATCTCACTAAAGTATTGACCATTTTCTTTTATGTTTATTTAAAGTGATTACAAGATAAAAAACAATTTGTTGAAAAGCAAATTTATCACGAATATAGTCTTTTTCCATATAAAATCTGTAGCTTTACAGATTATCTGTTTGAACCTTTTTATCAAAGAGCACAAGTTTTCTTAAATATCTTTTTTTTTTTTGTGTGGAAAATAACACCTAGCTAGTAATATGCGCACTGGTGGTTAAATTAGCTAAGATAACAGACTGCATGGAGAAAAACTCATGTAAGAAATTTATCTTGAAAAAAATAAAACTTATAAGTTGATCTCTAGAATCCAGGTAGTACGTTTACATAATCCATCAAAAACTGCTTAATATAAAAACTAATCTTGCGATTCTGAGTAAAACGATGTTCTGCTTTAAACTAAGAGAGCAGAGTAAACAACAATAGAGAAACATCACAGGTGAAAATCTACAGCTCGTCCTTAATGTTCTCTTCATGTTCCTCAACGGGTTCGGCTTCGATGTTTAGACCACCAGCCAAGTCATCTGATTTCGTCTCAGTAGCCTCATTGCTCTCTGGTTCCTCTGCTGCCTCGACTTCCTCGTCGGCTACTGCATCAGGGCTGATGTTCAGACCGCTCTTGACTGAGTTGTAAATTCTGGCTGCAAAGTCTTTTGGGTCATTGAGTAAGAATCCACTCTCGATCAACGCCGTCTGGTACATGAGCTGTGCTGTTTCTTTCACACTCTCATCCTAAGACAATTCGTTGTTGGATTATTTGAATCAATCTCTCATCCTTTATAAGATAGAAACAAGGTAAAAAAAGAATTGATGGGTCTTCTTGTTTGCTTACCTCTGGGTCGCTTGCAATTCTATCCTTGAGTTCTTTGATGATAGGGTGTCGTGGGTTGATCTCGAGGACTCTCTTTCCACGCATGTAAGCTTGCTTGTTGGCATCAGAGAGAGTTTGGGACTGCATAATCCTTTCCATGTTTGCACTCCATCCAAACTTGGATGTTACGACTACACAGGGAGTGTCAGCCAAACGGTTACTGATTTTGACATCGTCCACGTTCTCACTAGCGAGATTTCCTTTCCACCACTTGGTTAGCTCTTTGAATGCTTCTTTGAGCTCCTTGTCTTTTGAATCTTTCCCAACCTTCAGTCCTTCTTTAGACACATTTTGGAACTTTTTGTCTTCGTAGTCCATCAGGTATTGCATCAAGTATTCATCAACTGGGTCCATGAAGAAGATGACCTGAGATCACAAGTATAAGAACGTGTCTCACGAGTTGGCGATAAACAATAGAAGAATTTAATAGTATCTGATGCAAACCTCATAGCCCTTCTTAATGAGCCTCTCCAGGAATGGAGATTTCTCGAGTTGTTCCTTGCTGCTTCCGGTAATGTAGAATACGTCCTTTTGCCCCTTTTTCATTCTCTTAATGTACTGATCCAGGGAAGTCAATTTTCCATCGGACTTTGTTCTGGAATAGCAAAAAAAAACAGATCATTAGCCTACTGGTGCAATTAATTAGACAGATGTATAAAAAAAAAATAGAACATACGTCTCAAAACGAAGAAGTTTTGCCAAGCGATTCCTGTTAGCAGCATCCTCAATGATGCCGAGTTTAATCGACTTTCCAAACTCATTCCAGAATTTTGTGTATTGACCCTTCTTCTCATCGTTCTCACCAGACTTCTCCACATCTGTGTGCCAACAGTTCAATAAGTTTACACCATGTTTCAAAAATATGAAACTATCACGTAATAAGAAGACATGAAATAGTCAAAAGTGGATAGATACCAAGAAGCCTTTTTTATGGAATACCTTTTTTGTCATCATCATGGACCTCATCAGGGTCTTCCTCAGCAAGCTTGCGGATCATATCAAGTGCCTTTCGGATAAGCTTCTTCTTAATTGTCTTTAAGCTGCTGTGTTGTTGAAGCATTTCTCGTGATACATTTAGAGGTAATGTGTCAGAGTCAACAAGACCCTGCAGAAATATTACGCATTAGGAATTTAGCCCTAGAATTTGTATTGAAGGAAGCCCTAGACTAGCCTTCCAATTACCTTCAAGAAACTCAAGTATTTAGGCAAAAGCTCATCAAATTCATCCGATATGAAGACCCTCCTAACATAGAGCTTCAAATTCGCCTTGTTGCTGTTGTAGTAGCTCTCATACAGATCATGGGGAGCTTTAGGAGGAACATACAACACAGCCTTGAATTCAACATCACCTTCAGCATTAAAGTGACTCCAAGCCATTGGCTTCTCGTCAGTAAAATCCTGTATAGCAACGGGGGTCAGGAAAATCCACACGAGAATTTGATACCTAGTGTGTAAGAAGTATAATTTCTTCAAGTATGATTTTCACCTTTGAGAGAGAGTGGTAGAATTTAGTGTACTCTTCCTCCGTCACTTCCTTTGGACTTCTCAGCCATATAGCCTTGACATCATTTAGAAGCTCCCATTCATAAACTGTTTCTTTCACCTTCTTCGTTTTCTGCTTTTTCTCAGTGTCTTCATCCTCAGCATCTTCTTCCTTTTCTTCCTCGGTAGAGGTGGTTTCTGAAGTAAAGTTTCATAACAAAAATCAGGGCCGCCTGATTGTAGGAAAAATAACACTGCAGATGGAAAAGTATAATGTGGTGTTTCATTATTACTCACCAGTTTCCTCATCATTTGATTCATCTTCCTCAACTGGGACCTCAGTTTCAACCTCTTTGCTAGCCCAGAGGGAGATGGGGAAGTTGATGAATTCAGAATATCTCTTCACCAAATCCTGTAGAAGACAACAATGATCATAAGCAACCACCATGACACAATAAACAGTGTTAAGCATTGCACCATAATCATGATTATGTTGAACCACTTTCCTTCAGAAGCGTTTGCATTGGTTAACCTTGCTTTGAAAATTGTAACAAAAGAGAGATTATTTTGTTATCAAATTATTACTCACCTTAAGTTTACTTTCTTCTAGGTACTCGCCAGCTTCATCCCTAAGATGTAATCTAATTTCGGTTCCACGTCCAAGAGGTTCATTCCATGTATCCTCAGAAACAGCAAATTTACCGTCAGCCTTTGATTCCCAAACATACCTGAAACGAATAAGAAATTATCAGAAAAGCTTTTCAAATGAATTTATCCATAGAAGTATTTTCCAAACAGAACCATCTCCAAAATCAACTTACTGGTTGTCATCATTGTGCTTGCTAATGACTTCAATGTAGTCAGCAACAAGATAGGCAGAGTAGAATCCAACTCCAAATTGCCCAATAAGGTTCAAATCCCCGCTTGATTGCATTTTCTCAACAAAAGCTGTGAAAAGCAAGATCTTGAATACATAGAATTTGATTGATCCGAGCTAATTTGCAGGACAGAATATCTCCGATAAGCATCATACCTGAGGTTCCAGATTTTGCTATGGTACCAAGGTTCTTGATTAAGTCTTCCTTGGTCATACCAATTCCCCGGTCCCGAATAGAAAGAATCTTCTTCGCTTTGTCTAGCTTAATCTGCATATCATTGCGTATTTATAGAGTTTAAAAGAGAACAACAGCTTGCACTAAAAACAATATAACCAAACGATAACAGATTAAAATCCGTTTCCAGCATTCTCAAAGTTCAATCTACAAATCAAATGCTTAATACCATAAGAAAACGAAAACAAACAAAGGGTTATAGCTAACCTGGATCTCAAGCTTAGCAGTGTCACCTTCACCCAAAACGTCTTTGTCAGTGAGTGCAAGGAACCTAATTTTGTCCAGAGCCTAAAAATTACCAATACAGACACTTATTTTTTTAGTTCCGTTATTAAAAAAAGCTGTTCAAAACTCACTAAAACCATGAAGACGCAAGCTTACATCAGAAGCATTGGAGATCAACTCTCTCAAGAAAATATCCTTGTTACTGTAGAGAGAGTTGATAATAATGTCCATAAGCCGAGAAACCTCAGCTTGGAACTCAAACTTCTCCGCGCTACTGCGAAGTGTCTTCTTCGACATCGACTCAGACTCCCTAATCAATCAAAACGAACTCGAATTAGGCGAGATTTAATTAAGCAATTGAAACGAAACTTCATACCGTAAAACTAACACAACACTAACCTATGAACTACATCGGAATCCGTCGATAAACCGCCGTGACCGCCAATTTTTTCCTCTACCTTGGGTGGATCTGTAACCTCATCTGAACTATCTTCCGCATTCGCGTGCAACTTCCTTCCTATGATACATACCATAGAAACCTCATCATCATTAGCATAGAGATCCCGAGCATCACTTATCTACTCAAATCAAGTAATCAACATCGAACCGTTACCGAGAACAAATGCGTAAGATCGTTACCTTGATCTGGAAGAAGAAAGAGAAGGGAGAAAAGGAACAAAACGGACACAAGCGTCCTCTTCCTCATTGTTAGATCGTAGCTTCCTTGGTTCTCTGCTCACTCCTTTGCTTTCGGGTTACTCACTGATGATGATTCAGCTCGAGAGATCCGTATATAATAGGAAATGATTCAGTGATGTGTGAACTGTTTAATTGCGTACAATTTGGTTTCTCACGATTGGTGAGCTTCGTCATGATTTAACAACGTGGCACATCCAACGGCTCCTGTTGTGAGTACTCCACGTGGTAGTTTTATATTGGAGCGAGGGTTTTAACTTGACGTGGAGCGACGTGGATTTCGGGGTTGTAGCGTGACTTGAATAATCAAACTAGTCTTCGTATTTTGTTATTTAAATGTAAATCAGTGTTTGGAAGAGTTATTATTATTAGAAAAAGATAAAAGCAAAAATATTATGTGAAAATATAATGCCTTAAAAATCCTTTTAATTAAGTTTTTGTACATGGATAAACCAATATTTAAATTTAAAGAATTAAGTTTGTCCCCAAAAAAAACAAGTATAAAGAAATCTCAAGATAACATGTTGCAAAACTTTGGATGACCTGAGTTGTTGTAAACAGAAAAAATGATATGGGTAAACATGTATGTATAGCAATTGTATTTCATAAAATTAGTTGGAAGTGTTACTTTCTACACATGCTGCAAAGGTTTATTTTCATTGTGGAGATGATTTAACATTGTTGCAGAAGAGAGTATTTGGTGTCAGTAATAGTGTTATACTACTACTAAACAGAAACAGACCAGCTATTAATTCCACTCTTTTATTTACTTTTTCTTGCTAATGATTTCTTCTTTCTTTTACGGTTCCTCGATCAACCTTTTGTCCTCACAAACCATATTATGTCGAAGCCAGTTTATAGGAATTTTGTGAGCGGGTGGCTTTCCAGACATTAGAGAATAACATGACAACGAAAGGAGCAAACAAATTGAACACTTGATAAAAGAGAAAACCAATTAATCAAACCGCTAGAAGCTTCGCTGTATCTTATAACTATATATTTATTTATGGAGAAAAACCCAACAAGGTTAAAAAGAAGCTTGACATATACCAATGTTTGAACTAATCCTCCTATATGTTATGAAATAAAATAAAAACCTGAAAAAAAAGGGAAAACTGAAGGGCAACAAAAAGAAGAAGAAGAGAAAAGTTCAGCAAGACAATTTATAAGTTACCTTAACATTTGTCATCCTTTGACCAATCAATCAATCCATCAACCTATCTCCACCATTTCTGAGTCACTCACCTCCATGGAGGGAACTCCCAACTTGTCTCCGGCTCTTTTCGCTTTCCACCTATGCTAATAGACGAACTCGATGAGGGTTCTACATTTGCTCCCGAATGCTCTCCCATTGCCCCGGTTTGTGACGGTGACAGAAACTGCCTCAAGCTTATCGACTCTCTGTTACCGATCTCAAGTCCAAACCCAGAGCTCTGATCAAAGTTTGGCCGCACTGACCCATTCATACTAGGTGATCCACCTGCCAAGCTCATGAACATGTGTTGTTGAGGGAATGTTGGCTGCACATATGGGCTCGATCCGATTATTTGCGGCATCATCACTGGAGTACCTCTTGAGTCCACCATGTATGGAATAGCAGTTCCAGGAACATACATGGGTGATGACATTGACAAACCAGGAGGACCAGTCAATCCGTTGTAGCCATACATAGGGGCTGGAGAATAGGAGACACCAGGGGCTAAACCCAAAGAGTTTCCTGTTCTTCCCATGTATAATCCTCCTGTGGGCTCGATGGACTTACCATTGGACAAGAACGAAGTCATCTGGGATACAGAATCTTTTCTGTCAACATCCACTTTTGTACCCAAGATGGAAATGCCTGGTTCTTCCAATTTGTGTCCTCCATAGGGGACTGCACGCCATGGGAGACGTCCATGGTTTGTACCCTGATCACGTGAATCACTGAAAAACTGAGGCCTGTCATTTAAATCAAAGTTAACTTCCTTGCCTGATTGCTGAGAAACTGACGATGAGGAGACGGGTGATCCGCTTTGCTGACCATTGTGACTTAGAAACAATCTTGTTTCCATCTTCGACTCAGAAGGTGGAGGCATGTCATCATCCTCGTTCATACAATTCAAATCCAGGTTGAACCTGCTCGATCCCCCGAGATTAGCTTCATGTGAAGACTCTCCACCCCTAGAGTTTAATGAAGAGAAAGGAAACTGTTTCCAGGAAGTTAGATCCTCAACTTGATCATCACCTACCTCAGCCACATTCAGATCGATACCACGGCAAATCAGCTGCTTTTCTCTTACATCCCCACTAGGAACTTTATGAGGTAATACAGGGTGAAATAAACTAGTAGCAGCTGATCCTTTCCCGCTAAGAGATCTTTCCAATTGCAACGGTGCTGCTGCAGGCATTCCAGAAGATGAGACACAATGTGAAACAGACATAGGAATTGCGGTGGTAGATATGGAGGACATAACGACATCTGTTTCATCAGGACAAATATCTTGATTAAGATCAAAGCCACATGGGCTTTTCTCTCCGCCTAACTCAGATTTAGCAGCTGCTGCTAGGCGGCTTTCTTCAACATCATCACTGTTCATCATCCCACTTTCAGGTTTATCATTCTTCTCATCCATTATATCATCATCTCCAACATGAGGTTCCTCAAAGGAATGATTTTCACCCACTGATAGTCCCTTAGATGGCGAACCTGTATGTACATCATCATTCCCGGAGTCTTGCGTACCAGTTTCCCCGCTTTCATCAGATAGTTCTTCTGAAGAACTGTGAGAAGGTTCTCCAGAGTCCACTTCTCTTGCGACTTCCTGTGCGACTTTGGTAGCAACCTCCAGGGCATCCAATATACCAAGATCAATATCGGTAGTTGTTTTGTCAATTGCTCCAAGGCGCTGGGATATGGTCATTGATCCACAAGAGTTGCGTTTTTTTCTTCGTTTTACTCTCCTCTTTCTGTCAGACGGGCCCTTATCATCTATTCTTCCTTCGTTGTCAGCATGATTGGTTATATTGTCACTCTCAACTTTTCTACTTCTACCATGGCCACCTGATAGTCTTGATGAATTGTCTGAATCCTGATTGTCCGTTATATCCATCAATGAAGGCACCTGTTTGCTAGTATGGGCTGCACTGACATCATGCGACCCACATATCGTCTCAGACGCATTCCTGCTCACCTCATTTGAATCAAGACTACTCTGCAAAAGACTATTTTTCCCCAACTCCATACTGGCAATAATAGAATCAGAAGATACAGCTACATGTCCTGCTGAACTAGATGTCCCTGCTAATGCTTCACCCAAACATACATAGTTTGCCATCTGCTTTTCCTTGGATATCTCAGCACCCAGTGGAGCATTTGATCGGCCTTCAACACTTTCACGCTCTGAATAAGGAAGACTACTCGAACCAGTAGGCATAGTACCAAAAATTGTGGGACCACTTATCTCCTTCATAGAGCTTTTTTCATTCACAGAAAGTTTTTCTTGAACTTCTTTCATAATATCATCCGTAGAAGCACTGTTGAAAGTTTCAGTCATCGTATTAGACCAATTCGAGTCTAGCCTCTCCTTTTCGTTCTGCAGTTCCAAACCCTTATCGTGATCTGGGTTGTGTTCTTCTGAGCTTCCTGACAGCAAGGCTTCATCTGCTATTTCAGGACAATGTTTTTCATTATTACATTGCGTTGAACAAAGAGTAACAGCAGATTTCTGCCCACTGCTCTCCGTGCTAACTGTTACGGCTCTCATCTCATCTTCATGAATTTTGTTACAGCTTTCAATGTCATGTCCAGAGTGGTCAGTACCATCCTTATCCTTCCAGCTACCAAAGAGCTTTCTTGCCTTATCTTTAACCGGAGAACTACCATGGTCAACAAGCTTCTGGACAGCAACCCATATCCCAGAAGAGACTAACTTGGAACTGTCTACACTTAGATTTTCAATAGCTTCTAACAAAGCAAGAATTGACTCCTCTATAGATCTGTCAACTGAATCGTTAGCCAACGTCTGAGCTTCAGCTAGCCAGCTACTTAAGTAAAGGAGTCCATCTAAATTTACAAAAACATCAAGACATTCTCTGTTCTTTGTAGCAGTAATTGTGCTTGCAACAGCTGTCCATTGTCTAGAAGCATCACCATTATTCTTCAAAACCGAATCTTTGTTACTCTGCATAACAGACACGAGCTCTTCAACACGAGAAGTGACGGCGAGTCCATCTTTGATTTCTGTTAGGGTAAAGAAATCCTCAAGCGTCATGCTGCTTTACTTATGACAACTCCAAATATATATAACACTGTTATGAGGCAAGAAGGTTCTTTCTTCCATCTGACAAAGTCCTGAAAGAAGAAAAACATAACAAGACAAACTTAAATGACTTTAGCCTACTGAGGCAATTACAGAAGACACAATTAAACTATTCACAAAATCTTAAATATGAAAGTGAGTTCATCATGCTTTGCTAATAGAATCGTGTTTTGTATTCGTGTCCCAATTCATATACAAAGAATCAGACAAAACTAAGATAACTCCACTCAATTGTAGAGAAATGGGAATAAACATAAAACGTCTGGCATTTGGCAAAAGGAAGAAATATAAATTTACATCTGGTAAAGTACCAAAACAAATAACTAGAATTTGCAGGACAACTACGGGATACCACACGGCCAATCACAAATTGAATAGTACAGTAAAGGACAGCAAAATAAAATTGTGAATCGGCCAATCTCAGAAACTATTAGTGTACATCTCTATTCAAAATACGGCCAAACAAATCCCAGGTCCAGGATCAAAAACCCTAAAATCAGAAGAAGAAAAAAATCTAGCAAAATTAAACACATGTGGAAGAACTAAATGAGATTAAGCCAATTCATTGAACGAGACTCCTAAGATCAATTGAAACAACCAAAATTAAATAAAAATAATAAATAATATTTAAAATGAAGACAACCAAATGAACAGCAGTAATAAACCCTAGGCGAATTACACAGCTATTGAATCATTCTTAAAAGAGAGAGAGGGGGAGAAGCAAAGAACTGACCACGAAGCAAGAGGAAGACGAAACCCTAGGTCAAGCGAGTTAGCCGTTCCGACAGAATCGATGCGCACTCGCATCTCCCAATCTCTTCCTTTGTCCTTCTATATACGTATGTGTAGATATCTCTGTCACAATCTTCAGAGAAGCTCTAAATCTCCGGCAACGATGATGGTTGGCAGCTCAGGGAGACGAAACCTCGTCTTCTTCTTCTTCTTCTTCTTCTTCTTAATAGAGGAAAAGGTTTGTCGCGAGAACGAGAGAGAGAAGAAAAGGCTTTTTCTTTCGTTTATTCTTTTTGGGTTAATAAGTATTTAATTGCTTAAAATGATATTTCAATTTGTTTTTTTTTTGGTTGGCATTCTGCACGTGCGAAGCGTGTGGGGTAAACCGGTAGGGACTCACGCGACCCGGCTCATTATGTACCAACTTGTCGAGTCAACAAACAAGAAGAACTCATTTGGTTCCACAGTTTGTTGTTATTTTCCGCAAATCTATGGGTGACAAATTGCATGATTATCCTAATTAATTAATAATAATAGAATGGATAATATTTAGATTTTTCATAATTATAAAACAATTAATTATTTTTAGGATTTATATAAAGTAATTTACTCTTTCAAAAATAATAATTTGCTATATATCTCAGAAACAATTTTCCATATACAATCTCACAAAACCTACAAAGAATACAAAATCTGTTTACCGGAGAAACAAAATACAAATACAAATACTAGTGTAGTGTGTGCACATTGGCATAGCTTTGGCCTTTGTGCCTTTGTCATTGTTTTGGTTGTTATAGAATTGTATTGTTAAGGTGTCACATTGTATGGGATGAATATGGGAATTAGTTATATAGTAGGTCTTGTGGGTGACACCAAAGACTTAAATCTTTCTTTCACTTGTGTCGCTAGAAAACTGAAAACAACACATAAAAGAAAGCAAAGCAAAGTGCGTTTCTTGTAATCACGAGATCGCAAAAAATGGTGGTTATATAGGAAAGGCAAAGGGAGTTCAAATTTTCTTCAACACTAATCTCTTAGATTTGCGTATTACCCTCCGGCAAATCGGACACACCTTACTTTCTTCGGACAAGATCTTCAGAGCACAGCCGCGACAAGTGGCAGAGTGACCGCATGGTACGAAGAAACAGTTTCTCCGTTCCTCGAAACATATGACACACAATGTCGAGTAGTCCACATCGTCGTCCGAGGAGCTAAACGACGCAGTTTCTACGTCTCCCTTCCCCGTTACTACCTCAGACGGCTCGTTGATCAGTGGCGTCCAAATGGGGACTACTTCTTCTCCTGCCACCACTGGTAACCTCTCCATGTCATCCTCCATGTCACATTCGCTCAGGAATTTCAATATCAAAAATATAATCATCATTATAGTCCCTAAGAAAACAATAACAAATGTAAATATTAGGTCTACATTGAAATAGTAATATACGTTATATATAACTATGGGAGACAAACATCTATATGTTAATTGTACCCAAAACTGTAATGTAAATCACCACTCTAGCTGTGAATGATAGCTCCAAGTACCATCTAACGAACTCATCCTGGCAAACACACAAGATAATTGTATAAACTAATCCATGGTTTTGTACGTTACGTTGGTCAGCTTTGATTGAAAAAAATTGAGTAGAGGAGCTAGATGGGTACTCTGTACTCACGTTAGCGGATGGTGTCGCGATGGAATTTGATTCACCGAAGAACATATGTAGAAGCTGCAGACATTTTGAGATAGTTGCATCGAACATCATTGAGACACAAAAAGGATCAAATGAAGATGAAAATGATTTGTTGTTTTCATCTGAAGTTATATTGGAATTCTTCTTGTTTGATAGAGAGAGCAGAGCATTAATAAACAAATGAATCCTTGATTAGTTCCAATAGTTGCCATAGCTCTGACAGTATATATATATATATATATATATATATAAATAGTAGATTGTGTCAAAAGAGTCGTCGTGCAATCCATATTTCTTAATTTGATCAGATAAAGAGGGAAAATACAAGTTGCTAGTTCACAAAAGAAGAAGAAGAAGATAATTTCAATATGTTTTTATTTTTTTGTGCAACAATCTGAAATTAATAGCTAATTTACAAAAGGGAATAATTCAAGTTGGAAAATGAAAAGGTCCCTAATTGATGATTCACTCTGTTTAGTCCTAAACGACGGATTCTTTTATTTGAAAATACGTGATGCTAAATTGGCAATAGCTGCAAAAAAAATTATAAGATTAGAAAATGGATCATCCCTTAATTTACACAGTGAAGAAAATCGTCTTTTAGAGTTAAAGAGTGAAGAAAAAAAAACATTGACGAACACACCAAAAGACTCCAAAACAACACTGAGGGGTAAAATCGTCATTTTCATATTATTTGTCGTCTTCGAAAATACTCAAAAGAGAAGGCATCTGAGAAACCCAATCTCTCATCATCTCCAATTCAATACTTTTTCTTCATCTCTCCTCTCGACTCAATCAAACAACTCCTGATCTTTTGTAATCAAATCCCACATGAAGCGCTCTGCGACCGACTCTTCTCTTGATGGAGATTCTCAGAGCGAGAAAAACAAGAAGATGAAGAGTAGAGAAGAAGAACAAGTATCTGAAATCGGATTCTCGAATTTAGATGAGAATCTAGTGTACGAGGTGTTGAAACACGTCGACGCAAGGACCCTGGCTATGTCTTCTTGCGTGAGCAAGATCTGGCACAAGACGGCTCAGGACGAGCGGCTTTGGGAGCTGATCTGTACGCGTCACTGGGCTAACATAGGCTGCGGCCAGAACCAGCTCAGATTTGTGGTCTTGGCTCTTGGTGGTTTCCGTAAACTCCACTCGCGCTACCTCTGGCCACTCTCTAGTCCTAATCCCCGTGCCAGAGTCAGTAAGGATCAGCTCAAACTCTCCCTTTCTCTTCTCTCCATTCAATACTACGAGAAGATGAGTTTCCCTAAGAGATCTCTCCCAAAAATCTAGTTAATTTTACTCCTATCTAATTCAAGCATGAGTTCTTAGGCCTATGGTTTGATCTCTTGTGTATTTGGAGTTTGTTAGATTGATTAAGTGTGATTGTGATGCGATGATGATGCTCAAAGCTGGCAAAAATATATTGTTGTATCCATTAATTAGCCAGTCTGTCAGCTAATGTTTATGTTCTGTAATAATTGAGGATGATGTTGATGAGTTTAAATACTTTAATCGGATCTGTTTAAATAAGATTCGATTTTGCTTATGTTGGTTCTGTCGTGAAGATAAGTTGGACAATGGTTGTTAGAAAATCGTTTCAAAGACAGACTTATGTTCGTGATCCAGTTTAATTAAGATCCAGTCTAGACACGTTTCTGTTTTATTATTCAATGAGAATATGCCTAACCAGTTTTGTTTTGTAATAATCCAAACATTCACCACTTAAGGTAAAACCAGATGCAAATGTCAACCTATTGTGTCTCAGTTTGTATGTAATTGAGTGATAACTAGACACCAACACCATAAAACAAAAGTTAATGTACTAAAGTAGTTTTGTACAAAAAGAAAAAAGTAGATTATGTTCTTGATTTTGTAAGATGATGACGGTTTAGCTACAAGATTAGTATTATTTTTTCCTTTTATAAAATGACAACAAAACACTCAAAAAAGACAACCCCCACACGGCAGTCTTAGCCACAAACCATAAAACACAAACACCTCTCTGTAGCCTCTTGTAAATCAGAAATCGAGAATAATGAGTTGGTGGTGGGCTGGTGCCATCGGAGCTGCCAAGGTAAAATTCAATTCAATCCCTGATTCATCATCCCGATCTTCATTTTCTTCTTAATTGATGATACTCACTGATTAATAAAAATCTTCTCTTTTTTCTTTCATTTTGTGATATCGCAGAAGAAACTCGACGAAGATGAGCCAACGCAAAGCTACGAAAGCGTCGCTCTTATCATCGGCGTCACAGGAATCGTCGGTAACAGCTTGGCGGAGATTCTCCCTCTTTCCGATACGCCCGGCGGTCCTTGGAAAGTCTACGGCGTCGCTCGCCGTCCTCGTCCCAACTGGAACGCCGATCATCCGATCGATTACATCCAGTGCGATGTCTCCGACGCTGACGACGCAAGATCCAAGCTTTCCCCTTTAACCGATGTCACACACGTCTTCTACGTCACCTGGACCAACCGCGAATCTGAGAGCGAGAACTGCGAAGCTAACGGCGCAATGCTCCGTAACGTCCTCCGAGCGATTGTCCCGCACGCGCCAAACCTCCGTCACGTTTGTCTCCAGACGGGGACGAAGCACTACGTCGGCCCTTTCAGCAACCGCGACGGACCTCATCACGATCCGCCTTTTACAGAGGATATGCCGAGATTGCAGATCCAGAATTTCTACTACACTCAAGAGGATGTTCTGTTTGAAGAGATCAAGAAGAAAGAAAGTGTTACGTGGTCCATACATAGACCGAACGTGATCTTTGGGTTCTCTCCTTACAGTTTGATGAACATAGTTGGGACTCTTTGTGTTTATGCTGCCATTTGTAAGCATGAAGGGTCTCCTTTGATGTTTCCTGGGAGCAAGAAGGCGTGGGAAGGGTTCACGACGGCTTCGGACGCGGATTTGATAGCTGAGCAGCAGATTTGGGCTGCGGTTGATCCGTATGCGAAGAACGAGGCGTTTAACTGCAACAATGCGGATATCTTCAAGTGGAAGCATCTGTGGAAGATTCTTGCTGAGCAGTTTGGGATTGAGGAGTATGGATTTGAGGAAGGGAAGAATTTGGGTTTGATGGAGATGATGAAAGGGAAAGAGAGAGTGTGGGAGGAGATGGTTAAGGAGAACCAGTTGCAGGAGAAGAAGCTTGACGAAGTTGGTGTGTGGTGGTTTGCGGATGTTATGCTTGGAGTTGAAGGAATGATTGATAGTATGAACAAGAGTAAGGAACATGGCTTCCTTGGTTTTAGGAACTCCAACAACTCTTTCATCTCTTGGATTGATAAGTACAAGGCTTTTAAGATCGTTCCTTGATTCCAAAACTTACTTTGGATAGTTCTCTGGTTACATGTTCTGTTTCTCCCAAAATCTCAGTTCGTTTGTTGTCTTCTAAAAATTGAAATAAAAGCGGATTCGCCCTTTCCTGTTTTTGAATATTCCATATCTAGTCTTGTAAACCCTATGGTTGCCTTTTGGAATAGATGACAAAGTTATATTTTCTCTTTAATGGAACCTCTCTCTCTCTCTGGAGTTTTGATGGCAAATCTATATAATCAGCTTCCTTTAACCGAAAGGATCGAATGAAAGACCTAAATCATTGGGTGAGGATGATGTAATACACTATTACGCATACACTCTCCACAACCCAAAGTTGCACCTAATTTTACATTGGGAAAAATGTCATAAAAATCCTGAACTTTCAAATTTGGGACGATTTAATCCTGAACTTAAAAGAAGTCATTTTAAGCACAAAGTTTTGTTGACTTTTCCGTAAAATAGCTAAGTTTTGTTGACTTCACTTATTTAAGCATGAAATTTATTTTTTTGTTAAAAATTTGAAGATGTGGTTAACTATCTGTGATATGCTTCTGTTTAGCCTAAATGACCATATTTCTTAGACGACAAAACGACGTTGGAAGTCGTTTTCTTCCCCAGGGATCTGCGCTATGGCAACAATTCAAGAAGTAAAGAGAATTTGTGGATTTTTCTAGGGTTAGGGAGTTAGATTTGTGAACTGTGAATCGATTTTGGGATTTAGTTTAATCAGTTTGTTAAACGATGTCGTTTTGTGGTTTGAAACGGAAGCAACTCACGGACAGTTAACCCCGTCTTTGCAATTTTAAGAGAAACTAAACGTCGTGTTTAAATCGGCTAAGTCAACAAAACATAGCTATTTTACGGAAAAGACAACAAAACTTTGTGATTAAAATGACTTCTTTAAAGTTCGGGATTAAATCGTCTCAAATTTGAAAGTTTGGGATTTTTATGACATTTTTCCCATTTTACATTTCTACATTTCTACATTTTTACATATATTTTTTGTATGACCGATCTACTTCAGTCTTCGCATACAAAATTTATAAGATTAGAAAATTGAGAAAAATGTCCCTACAGCATTTTCCATCAATGGAGAATCCATTTTAGAAAAGCTAAGTTTACAAGACCATTACCACACCATTTTTAAGTTAAAACATGAAAAAACAACACAATTGAAGTTACAATTAGAACACCAACATACTAAACCAACATTGAACTACCAATGCAAACAGATGTAAGATGGTAAAAACCGAGCAATCTTCATAACATTCCCAATAAGACCATACTTCCAATCTTTGTTTTAGAGCGTTTATCATTTACCCAAGCTATGATAAGACCATCAATAATGATGGCCTAAGTTCTTACACATCATCTCTCCATCCTTATGAGAATTAGTAACAGAATATCTTTAAAAAGTAGTTGAAGATCTTACAAGACTCCTATTCCCGATCTTCCTTCATCCCAATAAAGCTACAATCAAAAAGTAAACCAGGAGCAACCAACTTGTGATCTATGAGTTTTTTTTATTCTATTTAAAAAAAAAACTTCTCCAGTGGAGTTTTTCTCAGAGACCAAAACCAAAACTGTCTCTGAGCTGTTTTGTTCTTGTAGAGAAATTCATGGAGGGTCTCGAGTTACCAGGTAAAACTTAACTCCAAGCTCTTTTCTACATTGGCGAGTGTCCCTAGCGTGATCTATGTTGATTGCCTGCCTTTCATTCTTTTAGAACTCTCTCCAATCTCATACTTGGCTTTAGCTTGAGAACCCACCAACCGTAGCGTGATCTATGTTGATGGTTGATTTTTCTGAGTTTTTCATATTCAAAACCAACCGTAGCTCCTTTTCCAGATGAAAACATAATTCTTCGAAAGAAACGAAATATGTCTATAATTTCAATTTTTACTTTGAATCGAAAAAATACAATATGCATTGTAGTTTCTTCATCGAAATCCAGATCAAGAACTTCCCCAAGAGTGTTAGCAATAAAATCTAACAGTCCTTTCATATACATACGGCAAAGGTATTCCTCTTATTTGAATCCAAAGGTCCATAAAGTAAGAAATTTTTCATCTGGATAATTTGATTATGGTATATTTTTTATTACCAGAAACTTAACGTTGTGTGTAAAATGATTTGGTAAACGAGACTTGACCATCTTACCATAAACTCACTAAATTTTCAGATTTACATAATATTTCAAAAATTCATGTTTTTTTTTCATAGGAAGTTCACGATTAGTTTGACATTATTCCCTTAGAAAATTACACAATTGTGAATTTTCAATATTGTTTAGTTGCCAGATTTGTGAAAGAAAATGAAATTTCAATATCGGTTATACAAAACCTGTCATCTAGTAGTAGACTAGTAGTTATGGCCTTTAGATTGTGGGTTCAGTTTCACGCTTTTTTTGACTTGTTGATTCCTACGAAAGCATTTTCAAATATATATATAAAATTTATAAATAAAGCAGAGTTGAGTTGACTCGTGATTATATTGCTTAAACTGGTTTTGTGGTAAGAAAATCGTTTCCAAGACAAATTTATTTGACTCGAGATTTTGTAAGATAGATGACCAGTTTAGCTTACACAGATATTTATCTTTCCCTATAGAAGATGACTACAAAACACTCAAAAGAGACGACCCCCACACGGCTGTCTTAGCCACAAACACATCTCTTTAGCCTCTTGTAAATCAGAAATCGAGGATAATGAGTTGGTGGTGGGCTGGTGCCATCGGAGCTGCCAAGGTAAAATTCAACTCAACCCCTGATTCATCATTGATCATCATCTTAATTGATAATAGTCACTGATTAGTACTCTCTCCGTTCCAAAGTATTAGCGTTTTTAACATTTTTCATTTGTTCCATTTTTTTATTTTTTATTTTTAATTTTCTATGCATAATTTATATTATTTTAATTGGTTATGACCAGTGTTGTGCTTTTAACCAAATCATAAAATGGAACTGAGGAAGTATTAATCTTCTCTCTTTCTTTTTCATTTTGTGTTATCGCAGAAGAAACTCGATGAAGATGAGCCAACGCAAAGCTACGAAAGTGTCGCTCTCATCATCGGCGTCACAGGAATCGTCGGTAACAGCTTGGCGGAGATTCTCCCTCTTTCCGACACCCCCGGCGGTCCCTGGAAAGTCTACGGCGTCGCTCGCCGTCCTCGTCCCAACTGGAACGCCGATCATCCGATCGATTACATCCAGTGCGATGTCTCCGACGCCGAAGAAACAAGATCCAAGATTTCCACTTTAACCGACGTCACACACGTCTTCTACGTCACCTGGACCAACCGCGAATCTGAGAGCGAGAACTGCGAAGCTAACGGCGCAATGCTCCGTAACGTCCTCCGAGCAATTGTCCCTCACGCGCCAAACCTCCGTCACGTTTGTCTCCAGACGGGGACGAAGCACTACGTCGGTCCTTTCAGCAACCTCGACGGCCCTCACCACGAACCGCCGTTTACAGAGGATATGCCGAGATTGCAGATCCAGAATTTCTATTACACTCAGGAGGATGTTCTGTTTGAAGAGATCCAAAAGAAAGAAAGTGTTACGTGGTCCATACATAGACCGAACATGATCTTTGGGTTCTCTCCTTACAGTTTGATGAACATAGTTGGGACTCTTTGTGTTTATGCTGCCATCTGTAAGCATGAAGGGTCTCCGTTGATGTTTCCTGGGAGCAAGAAGGCGTGGGAAGGGTTCACGACGGCTTCGGACGCGGATTTGATAGCTGAGCAGCAGATTTGGGCTGCGGTTGATCCGTATGCGAAGAACGAGGCGTTTAACTGCAACAATGCGGATATCTTCAAGTGGAAGCATCTGTGGAAGATTCTTGCCGAGCAGTTTGGGATTGAGGAGTATGGATTTGAGGAAGGGAAGAATCTGGGGCTGGTGGAGATGATGAAAGGGAAAGAGAGAGTGTGGGAGGAGATGGTTAAGGAGAATCAGTTGCAGGAGAAGAAGCTTGACGAAGTTGGTGTGTGGTGGTTTGCGGATGTTGCACTTGGAGTTGAAGGAGTCATTGATAGTATGAACAAGAGTAAGGAACATGGCTTCCTTGGTTTTAGGAACTCCAACAACTCTTTTACCTATTGGATTGATAAGTACAAGGCTTTTAGGATCGTTCCTTGATTCCAAACATGCTTCAGATAGTTTCTCTGGTTTCATGTTTTATGTTTCTCCCAAAATCCCAGTTCGTTGTTGTCTTCTAAAAATCGAAATAAATCCCTTTTCTGTTTTTGAATATTCTATCACCAGTCTTGTACTCCCTGTGGTTGCCTTTTGGAAAATTATACTCTTTTGGGATAGTGTTCACTGTTCAAAGATCATTACAAGTTGTTCTGGAAAGATATATGACAATCGTGCGCTTGTCATAAGGAGAAAAAGCTTCAACTGAATGGAAACACCTGATTCAGTGTTTTGCAATTGAAGTGTAATATTCTCCTATTTTTTGGTCATGTTGTGAAGTTGTTCATTGGTCGAAATGCACATAACAAGGTACAATAATTAGAGACGCTACCTGTGAGAATGCTTCACATGGACTGATCTCAACTCTCTCTCTCTCTCTCTCTCTCTCTCTCTCTCTTGCAAGTAAGAAACCTTTGCTTATCTTGAAAGGAGTATTGATGGCAAATATATAATCAGCTGTTAACCTTTCGGAGTCTGGTACATAAAATCAAACCAAAGGAAAGTGGTAGGAGGATAGAACAACCCTTGCTTGATTCATAAATCATAGGTCTTAGCATTATCAATGCACTAGAAATCAACCAATCCTCGCGCACTTATATACAAGTATATATAGAATACTTGAGCGCTTTTGTTTCTTTCAACTCCTTCAACCGAAAGGATCAAAAGAAAAGCTTAAACCATTGGGTGAGGATAATGTATTATGCATACAGTCTCCAGGACCCAAGTTGCACCTAAAAATACTTATATGCAAAAGAATAGATTTGCCTTTGTTTGCCCAAAGACCCTCCTTCAAGCCTCGCCTGCTTAAGCACTGATTTCACCTTTCCCCTGAAATTATTTGTAAGACGAGTTAGCTTGCAGTTAGAAGAAGAAATAGATATTTGGGTGTTGGAAGGAAAGATATCAGAAATCATGGACTCTAAGACATAATTACTCTTAGGGAATACCATTTTTGCTGGCTTCATCAACACCAGTTGTGTCTAAGTTGGTCGGATCTTCTAATGACCCTGAATTAGGAGGTAAGCAAACAGAGGTTTCCATTTCTGACATCTTCCCTACCTGCTGAGAGAGATCAAGTCAAAGTTTATGAAAAAAAAAAAGCCATTAAAGGATATCCAGACAATTTTCAAATAGTCAAAGATTAAATAACTCACAGTATGACCAGCATTCATCAAACCAGGGACCTCCTTTGAGACAAGTGCAAGATACTGCTCCATCGCCTCCTCTTGACTCATGTTTCCAAGTTTTTGCCAGGCATTCCTGGCACAAGGTAAGTACTATTTGTCACTTTCACATAGAAGTTGTTCAAATCAGCCATAAAGCAACCAAGCTATACTAGACAATGCTTATTTCAGACAATTACTGACTCTGTCTTAATTAGATGATCAGGTACCTTTCCAAGCATTACCCTTTCAGCTTTTAGTGAATTGAATCTATGGAAATATGACTTACAAAAGATACATAATTTGATCCCCAACCAGTTTCAACCATACAATCACAAAGTTCTCTCCTTTATGAAGTTCAAACCAGGAGTATACCAAGCTAAGTTGCAGAGAAAAGATTCAGAAAGAAAAAAAGGAAAAGAATAATACCATTTGGCACGAGCAGAGAGCATGACGGCCATAGGTTGTGCCTCTCGGCATGGGCCTTCAGTGGCGATCTTGTGAAGTCCGTACAAGTCCATCTTAGCCTCAGCACCCATACCTTCCGATTTCCCGGATTCTTCCAAATGATTTGCAACAGCGGCAAAGGCTTTCTCCAATTCACTCCTCTCAATTCCTTCCCAATCATCATCGTCTTCAATACTTAATTCCTGTTTCTGTTCATCATCTCCTTGAGCATGATTCTCTGCCACCGTATTAGTCTCTTCAACCCTAACCTCCTCCTCAAATTTAGCGACTGCGACATCTCCTCCACTTTCTTCCTTCTCTACGCAACTACTTGTTCCTAACTCTGTTGATTCGCTTCGATCCTCTTGTCCTGGAAGCACAATCTCCTCCGCAACCACGTTTCCCGGCGAGACAGAACCAGTAGACTCAGCAGCTTCTGTGGTTCGAACCACTAACTCTTCCCGTTCAACACCGATTTCTCCCGCCGATTCGATCTTTTCGGCGATCGCACTATTTTCCGGCGAGAGAACCGCCGTGGACTCAGCTTCGTGCACACCACGGATTACAGCGTTTCCTGTAATTGCTTCTTCGACTTCATAAACTCGATCAGCTTCGTTTAGAAACCGATCAACAAGCTCCACATTATCATCAACAGCTGATGAATTCATCACGCTCTCCATAACTCGAGCATCCATCTTCTTACCTGAAAGAAGAACCTCATCCGTCTCAAACTGATCACCGACACCGATGATCTCAGGCTTATTCTCGGCATGATCGGAACTGGGGGTAGCAGAAGAAACGAGATAGGCAACAAGGAAAGAAGACAAGAGAGCAAGAAGAGCCGTGAGAATAAACTCAAGGAAAAAATCCATGATCTGATCGTTTCTGTAGGTTGGAGAAAAGGGAAAGTAAGATACTTAAGGATCTGAGAAGGATGAGAGGGGGAGAATGTAGTAAATAAAATAAAAATACTCTACTGGCTGGCTACTAGTGTAGAGAGATATTAACTAAAGAGATGTTTGTATTTAGAAAGAAAAGAGGAAAGAAGAAGAAGAGATGAGAAAAGGAATAAATGAGAGAGAGAGAAGAAGAGAAAGCAGAGCATATTCTTTGAATGCGAGAGGCCTTTATACCATTCAAAAGGACAATGAGGCGGGTCCGTCTCTCTCAACCCCCAACCGCTGTGACTAGCTCTGCTGACTTGGCTCCTTCGCTTTTTTATGCTTATCTTCTTCTCTCCCACTACTCCACATCATCATCATCATCATCATCATCGAGCTCTTCCTTATCATATGCACCCCGCGCCGCTTTTTTTGTCCCAACTATTTTATTTAAGTCTTCTTCTTTGGACTCTATCTGCTATCATTTCTTTTTTTGGTATCAGAGTTTTTTTTATCTGTTTGTTGTTTTTTTTTCTTAAGTAAGAGGAAAATCTAGTTTAAGAAAAAAAAAAAAAAAGCTTTTATGAACTTTAATTTTCTATATCTTTGACTAAAAATGGTGGAGTGATTTTTTTTTCAAAAATAAGAAACGTTTCATTTTACAAAACTAGTACAGTACCACTTTTCAATGCTTTTTAATGATGTCTAGATTTGAAAGTTATAGGTTTTCAATGCTATCCTTGTATACCATTACAAAACAAAGACGCAATCAAGAGATTCGGTTCCGACATATACAACTCACCTTAGTGCAAGGGGATTCAATGGGCCTAAATAATATTACGAGACTAAGGCCCATTGAATTCTATCCAAACACACAAATTTTTTTTTCCCGGTCGTCCTTATTTGGATCATAACCAAAACCCAGTCGAGGAATTCTGTTGTGGTGTGACTAGACCGAACCACAATCATACTCATGAGTCATGACACTGTTCATTATTTAGTTCAACTACAGTTAGAAAATAACCCTTAAATCCTTAATACAGTATATATGTGCTGTAGTAACTTTCACAATTTGTAAATATAACTAAAACCATTAAACAGTAAACTTACCCCATAAAGAAAATAAATTATACATTAACAGTATTAAACTAATACTGAAACAACATACCAAACTTCCATTATGCATGACAATGTCATGCACGTAATATTTATTATACACCATATATCTAAATACTAAAATAGTAAAATTGAAGGACTAACCTAAACTGTGGTCAAGTTTATGTACGTTAAAATTACTATAGCGAGTCTTCTTCTCTAATGACTTTACCAAAAAAAAAAAAAAAAAGCATACTTATCTTTGCCAAACTCGATAGTTAAAAGTAGAAAAAAGTCATGATTTGTCAAAATTTACTTTAAATTGAAATGGTTCATCATTTTTATTTAAACTACCAGGAGGACAACAAAAGTCTCCTCTTTACTTTTTGTTTCAAAATGATATTATATCGTAACCGTACTAAATAATTAGCCTCAAAATTAATTAAAAAAAATATCTAGATTTTTTTTGTTTGGTATTGCGAATAATTGAAAACGAATAATGAAGAAAAATATGGAAATGGAGCTCCACTGGTTTCCAATTTAAAATCATTGACGTTGAGAGTGTCAAAATGCTTGACAAAATTCCCACACGTGTAAGCCTATGAGTGGTGGTCTATTTGACTGATGCACTATCTCAGACTACTACACATCCCCTAAAAAAGATAGAGATAGAGAGAGAGAAACGCATATGGTTGACTCTCTCCTCTCCTCTCCCCTTCTTTTTTAATTTCTTCATCACTCGCTTCATTTCTCTCCTCTTCTTCATCCTCCTTTATTGAACCAACACAACTTACAAGGAAACTGTTGAATCTATCTCTCTGTCTGTATTTAAACGTCTCCTTTGACCTTTTTTTAAACGAGTACTTATTAAAGTGTCTTTTGTGTTTAACAACATGGCGGTGGAGCTGATGATGAGCAGCAGCAGCTACGGCGGAGTTAAAGGAGACGGCTTCCCTGCAATCTCCGCTGCGGTTAAAATGGAAGACACAGCTCTTAGAGAAGCTGCTTCCGCTGGGATTCACGGCGTTGAGGAGTTTCTTAAACTCATCGGTCAGACTCAGAGTCAACCCACGGAGAAGAGTCAGACTGAGATTACGGCGGTGACTGACGTCGCTGTTAACAGTTTCAAGAAGGTGATTTCTCTTCTCGGCAGATCTAGAACAGGGCACGCTAGATTCAGACGAGCCCCCACCACCACCGCGACGCAGACGCCGTTTATCAAGCAAACGGCGGTGGAGGAAGAGGAGGAGAAGAAGCCAGAGACAACCGCCGTGTTTGCGAAACAGAAAACAGAGCAATACCACGCCGGTGGATCTGCGTTTAGAGTTTACTGTCCAACACCGATTCACCGTCGTCCCCCTCTATCACACAGCAATCAGAACCAAACAACGAAGAACGGTTCGTCTTCTTCGTCTCCTCCGATACTCGCAAACGGAGGAGCACCGTCAACGATAAACTTCGCGCCGTCACCACCAGTCTCAGCGACGAACTCATTCATGTCTTCTCATAGCCATAGGTGTGACACCGCCGACACTAGTCACATGTCATCAGGATTCGAGTTCACTAACCCATCTCATGTCTCTGGTTCGAGAGGTAAACCTCCTCTGTCATCAGCTTCGTTGAAGAGAAGATGTAACTCATCTCCTTCAAGCCGTTGTCATTGCTCCAAGAAAAGGTTTTGATTATTTTCGATCCAAAATCTAGAAAGATTGAAACTTTATTATTAAAACTAATCATCATCATAGATCTAAATCTAAAGGTTGAAGCTTTATATATTATTAATCAGGAAATCAAGAGTCAAAAGAGTGATTAGAGTTCCAGCGGTAAGCAGCAAAATGGCTGACATACCATCAGACGAGTTCTCATGGAGAAAATATGGTCAGAAACCAATCAAAGGCTCTCCTCATCCTCGGTTAGTTTATTCCTAAATTTTTACATTTTATTTTGTATGATCGATCTACTTTGAGGAGTCTTTGGCATACAAAATCTGTAGGATTAGAAAATTATGCAACTTGTGTATTGTCAATATTGTTGCCAGATAAAAACTAAAAGAAAAAAAATGAAATGTGTATTAATTTTTTTTCTATATCGGTTGTACCAAACGTGTCGTCTAGTAGTAGTGGTGGGTTCAGTTTTCACGCTCTTTTTGACTTGTTGTTTCCTACGAAAACATATATTATAAATATACAAAGGGAGAGAGTTTGAGTTGACTCGTGATGAATAATTAAAACTGATATATGGATGGACTGACTCGGTGGTGAATGGTGATAATGGTGGTGGCACAGGGGATATTACAAGTGCAGCAGCGTGAGAGGGTGTCCGGCGCGTAAGCATGTAGAGCGTGCACTGGACGATGCGATGATGCTTATCGTGACGTACGAAGGAGACCACAACCATGCTTTGGTGCTCGAGACGCATCATGACAAAACTCTTTAATCCCCGGTCGTTGCCGTTCTGAGTTTGAAAGCTAGTGTCAAGTGTGTGACCACTAAATCCAGATTAGTCAACGACACAGTGGGCCTGCACTGCACTTTATTATTCTTTCTTCTTTTCTTTTTTATTATTGAAAGACGTTTTGAGAAGGAAAAAAAAAAAGCTTTTTTGCTTTATCTATCGAGAGAGAGAGAAAAATAGAGTGGAGGGGGAAGAAGATAAAGACGAGAGAGAGAGAGAGAGAGAGAGAGAGAGAGGAACGTTGTGGATCTTGATGGAAGTTGAATCATGTGAATGTCCTTTTCTGTTTTATTTTACCTGTTAGGATAATATCCCTTATTATTATTAGCCACTGTTTTAGTCAATTCTGATTCTTCCTTTTTTTTTTTATCTTTAAAGAACTACAACTATGTTCTTAGTAATTTTAGATTTCTTTTGATCAATATGGCAAAAAACCATGTTATATTCATAGAAATTTAAAAATCCATTTATACAAACATATAAAAGCATGTTATATTCATACAAATAACATAAATTCACACAAGGACTTGAATGTGAACGTATAGATTAATTTACACACAACCCTCTTATGGCTTCACAGCGAGCTAAAAGTGTATATGTATGAATTGTTTTTTTTAGATGGGTAATGTTTTCCTAATTAATTAGTTCAATACGTTACTGACAAAAGATTATCTGAAATAATTCACAAATAACACTAAGGTACTTGTGTGTTCAGAATCACTCCAGAAGGTTCAGGTTGTTGACAAACAAAAATGTATCAAGATTCAGAAACCAATATAAATATCAAGTGACTTTCGAAGTTTTGTGTAGACTTTGAAGTTGGTTTAAGAGCATTTTGGGTGAATGTAACGAGCAAGGTGACAAAGACATATGTAAGAGAAAAAAGTCCATGTATGTATACTATTGTTACTGCATTATAATTTAACTAACGGGAACATACTATAGGATAAACAAGTTTCAAGTGTAACAATTGTATAGCAAATCTATACCAATCTTTGCTGGAGGCTCAAACAGCCTCGAACCGAAACAGAGTATCAAATTTATAATAGCAGAGATCAGAAAACCTATGCTACATGTTGGATCCTGCCTACATAATTAACACCAATGTGAAACCACACACCATTTACACCAAAAATTGCAGATACTACCAGGTTCATGAATTTTTGGTATCAATCACAGAAAGGGGTTATCAAACAAGAAAGTAAAGCAAGAAATACGCATCAGAAATTATAAAGGTTCTGACGGGATCAATATATAATTGAGTTTCATCAAGTTCGTAACACTAGGAGACATACGCTAATACCAGAACATATAGATGTCAATCAATAAAGGTATCATTCATTCACTATACAGTTTTAGAAGTTGTAAAACACAAGTCCACAAATATGCAGCAAATCTATAGAATTTTAACATAGCAAGTTAGCAACGGTCAAACAAAAGATGCAAGATGCAAGATAGAACAAGAATGAAATATAACTCTAAAACAGCATTCAAAACAAACTACGTTGGGAATCTGCAAGAAGGGTCGCTTCTTACGTTGAAAGATATATCTCCATGTACAAGGGAGACAGATTTAATACAATGAGAGATGGACACGTATGATTACCAAAGAAGAGCATAATACATAATTTCTAATCAAGAAAAGGTTTAGATGATATTATAAACACAGAAGGTCTTTCAGTACGAGGAATTAAAAACAAAGCCTTAAAGAAGCGGTTGATACCAAATAAAAAATAAAAAAAATAAACACAGAAGGTGTACTTAAATTTATGATGGAGCCTAGAAATACTTAACGATACTGATCATGAGAGAATATACATGTTCTACCCTTTTAACAGTAGATAGGTTGACAATAAATCCCAAGAATCTATATGTTCTACCCTTTTAACAGTGGATAGGTTGACAATAAATCCCAAGAATCTATTATAGCGTATACTACTAACTAGCTCAAGCTATATACATTTCTAACTATAAATGGCTCAAGCTTTATCACACAAATATATAATTCTCTATGTCTCTTCCTTAGCTTAGTGATTTCCATACGTAGTATTATCAATCAATAGAAAATTCTAGGATCATATAGCAAATACATGTCACTGAGAACCTTAGCAGTTTTCTGCTTGAAAACTGAACAAATCAAGATTTGTTCTTAACTAAGTATATGTCTATAACTTAACCTGTGAAGAATTTCATACGTAACCACAATTATATATATAAAAAAAAAAGAGAAAAGAAAAGGTTTAGAAAACCAAATACCTGTGATTGTTACAGAAATCTGCTACACTTTGGTTGAAATCGCCGAAGGAGTACGTGTGATCTGTTTAGAAGACCATATACCGGTGATCTGTTTCTTTATCTAAAAGACTGAAGACTTAAAAATGTCTTTGTCTAAAGACTAATGATGTTTTTTTCCCATGTAAAGGATCGTGTTTTTTCCCAATCTCAGTCTCTGTCTAAAGACTGATGATGTTTAAGCCGTAGAGAAACGAAATTTTTATTCTCAAATCTCTGTCACAGAGACTGATGATTTTGTTAAGCCGTGGGTTGTTAGCCAGAATGTTATGTTTTGTTGTCTTAAAGACTTAACAGTTACCATCCAACCAAAGTGTTATCTGTGGGAACTAAAGCCAATCCCACCAAAGGGTTATGTTTTCCAATCTCAGTCACAAAGACTAAAGAAGTAAAGGGAAAGTTTTGTTGCAATCTTAGTCACAGAGACTGATGTTTTGTTTAAGCCTTGGGTAAAAGAGATTGTTTTTTTTCTTCTCAATTTTAGTCACAAAGACTGATAGTGGGTAATAGGTAATGTTTTTTCGTAATCTCAGTCACAAAGACTGGTATTATCCCAATCTTAGTCATAAGAGACTAGTGGCTTTTTTAAGCCAGAGGGTAAAATGATTGTTTTTTCTCATACTCAGTCACACAGACTGATGATTTTAGAAGCCATGTTAACTAAAACCAATCCAACCAACACGTTCAGCTTCTTTTTCCAAAAGACTTAACATCCAACCAAAGTGTTATGTTTCCCAACCACAATCACAGAGACTAATGCCTTTTTTTTAAGTATTGGGTAAAGGGTTCAGCCTCGTTCACACAGGCTGATGATTTTTTTAAGTCATAGTAACTAAAACCAATCCAACCAAAGTGTCGTGCTTCTTTGTCTAAAAGACTTTACATCCAAGATCCAACCAAGGTATATATTTCCCAGTTTTAGTCACATAGACTTATAAATTTCTTAAGTCGTGGGTGAAGGTACGCTATATCAGTCACAGAGACTGGTATTTTGTTTCTTGAAGCCGTAGGTAGTAAAACCAATCCAACCAAACTGTCCTGTTTCTTTGTCTTAACAATGTCTTTGTCAAAAAATATATTTTCAGCCGTGGGTACGAAAACTAGTCCAACCAAAGTTGTTAGCCGTGGGTACTAAAACCAATCCAACCAAGGTGTTCTACTTCTTTGTCTAGACTTTACATCCAACCAGAGTGTTAGCCGTGTCTGATCCAACCAAAGTTTCATGTTTCTCACTCTCAGTCGCAGAGACTAATGATCTTTTTAAGCCCGTGGGTAAAGGGTATGTTTTCTTCCCAATCTCAGTCACAAAGACTGATGATTTTCATAAGCTGTGGGTAAAAGGGATTGCTTTTATCCCAATCTCAGTCACAAAGACTAATGATATGATTTGCTGAAGACGTGGGTAAAAGGGATGTTTTTTCTCCAATCCCAGTCACAAAGACTGATGATTTTGTAAGTCGTGGGTAAAAGGGATTGTTTGTTCCCAATCTCAGTCACAAAGACTGATGATTTTTATTAGTCATGGGTAGAAGTGATTATTTTTCTCCAATCTCAGTCACAAAGACTAATGATTTTGTAGCTGATTGTTTTTTTCCCAAATCCCAGTCACAAAGACTGATGATTTTTATAAACCGTGGGTAAAAGGGATTTGTTTCTTCCCCAATCTCAGTCACAAAGACTGATGATTTTTTTAAGCTTCTGCTTCATTGTCAAAAAGACTTAACATCCAACCAAAGTGTTAGCCGCGTGTACTAAAGCTAATCCAACCAAAGTATATGTTTCCCTATTTCAGTCACAAAGACTGATAACTTTTTTAAGCCGTGGGTGAAGGGAATGTTTTTTTGGCCATCTCTGTCACAAAGACTGATGTTTTGCTTCTTTAAGCTGTGGGTAGTAAAACCAATCTAACCAAACGACTCTGTTTCTTTGTCTTAACAATGTCTTTGTCAAAAATATATTTTTAGCCGTGGGTATGAAAATCAGTCCAACCAAAGTTGTTAGCCGTGGGTACTAAAACCATTCCAATCAAAGAGTTCTGCTTCTATGTCTAAAAGACTTGACATCCAACCAAACCACCAATGTGTTTGTCCTGGGTATTAAAGCCAATCCAACCAAAGTATATGTCTCTCAAACTCAGTCACAGAGACTTGATAATTCGAAGCCATGGGTGAAGGTAATGTTTTTTTCGCCATCTCAGTCACAGAGACTGGTGTTTAGTTTCAGCCCTCGAAAGGGAATGTATTTTTCCAATCTTAGTCACAAGAGACTGGTTACTTTTTTAAGCCAGTGGGTAAAGTTATTGTTTTTTCCCATACTCAGTCACAGAGACTGATAATTTTTACAAGACGTGGTAACTTAAACCAATCCAACCAACATGTTCTGCTTCTTTTTTCTATAAGACTTCACATCCAACCAAAGTGTTATGTTTCCTAATCTCACAGTTAGAGAGACTAAAGACTTTTTAAAGTCTTGGGTAAAGGGAATGTTTTTCCCAGTCTCAGTCACACAGACTGATGATTTTATAAGCCATGGGCAACTAAAACCAATCCAACCAAAGAGTTCTGCTTCTTTGTCTAATAGACTTAACATCCAACCAAAGTCTTAGCCGTGTCCGATCCAACCGAAGTTTTATGTTTCTCAATCTCAGTCACACAGACTAATGATCTTTTTAAGCCATGGGTAAATGGAATGTTTTCTTTCCAACCTCAGTCACAAAGACTGAGGATTTTTTTAAGCTGAGGGTAAAAGAGAATGCTTTTCTCCAATCTTAGTCACAAAGACTGATGATTTGTTAAAGGCATGGGTAAATTCCCAATCTCAGTCACAAAGACTGATGATTTGTTAAAGTCGTGGGTAAAAGGGATTGTTTTTTCCCAATCTCAGTCACAAAGACTGATGGTTTTTAAAAGCCGATTGTTTATCCCAAATCTTAGTCACAAAAACTGATGAATTTTAAAAGCCGATTGGTTATCCCAAATCTCAGTCACAAAGACCGATGATTTTGTACGTCGTGGGTAAAAGGGATTGTTTTATCTCCAACCTCAGTCACAAAGACCGATGATTTTTAAGCCGTGGGTAACTTGATCTTAGACCAGCAAACTGAAACCAATCCCAAGTATATTTGTTTGTCGAAATACTTCTATTAAGCCGTGGGTAAAGGATTGGTTTTTCAGCCTCGGTCATAAATCATTCGGTCCAAACTCGACGGGACAATATCCCCAAAAGAGAATCTGACATAACACCATTAGTTGAGTGTTTGCCTTATGATCTCTCTTGGGTTTGAAAGAAAACAAAACAACGATGAAAGAAAAACACTAACCACAACAAACGGAAAACAAAAACGGAAAACCAAAAAAAGAAACTAAAACAAAATACGACTGGCACTGAAATTTAGAAACCCTAAGAAATCAAGAGAATTGGAAGATTTCTTACAATGAACATAAGGCTACAAAACTTCTGCTTCTACCAAAACGATCGAGAGAAATTGCAAAACAGAGAAAGAAGAAGGCAAAGAAAAATTCGGAGAAAAATTATATCTTAGTTCTCTGTTCTCTTCTCAGTTCTCACGATATATAATGCCTAGTTTCCTTTTTTTTTTTTCTTTTACAGAAGGAAACTTTACTTTTTCCTTTTTATTAACTTAACTTTTCCCTTTTCCTCTTCTCAAATATCCGTTATTTTTTCTTTCTTTCTGCTAGTTTCCATTTATTTAATAAAGTGGCCTTAATTTGACCCAATTTATTTAACGGCCCGATTGATTACCAGGCCACCTATTTTTTCACTTTTTTTGTGCTTATGTTTAATTTAAAATTTGTTATTATAGAAAGTCAAATTCAAAATTTACAATTATTAATTTTTAATCTTATATAAACAAAAGTTCACACTAGCCACTAGCTAGTAGCCACTAATGTATATTCCTTAAAAATATTATTCAATAAAAATTTCAGTGATGTGAAATGATTTTTCAAAAAAATACATATACAGTATACAGACAAAGTACTTTTACTTTTATTCATGTATTATACCTAAACTTTTGTATAAAATATACATATATTATCCTTTACGAGGAGTTAAAAAGGAGTCAACTAAAACATATCGTAGCTTCAAAAGTAGCAAGAAACATTGGCGCGGATCGATAGTATAGATATAGATCCACACAACTTTTTGATGAGAGCTCTTAAGTTAAGCACAACGGGATTAAATGGAAATAACGAATTAAAAGATAGCATTAGGGCCTTGGGATCTTTTATTGGATTAAGACACAAACTGAAACTTCATTTATGAGTTTTCACTGCCCATGACTTGGACATTATGAGATTCAGGAGTCATAGGTTGCATCTCTATCTTACGAGCCTCGCTCGTTGATTCGCCTCTGTTCCTAGTATCTTCTAACCATCCTTCCAGCGTCGACTGTACTAAATTGTCGAATATCCCTTTCTTGAATTTGCTACCCATCTTTTAAAATCATACCACAATTTGAATCCAATTTTGTTAAATTGGTGTATGCATATATATATATATATAGCTAGGCATGTTGGGTTACTATATACACTTTACCTGTGTAACAAGTGCATATAGTGGTAACGTGCTGTAACTGCAAAGCACTTGTACTAACACTCTGTATGAAACAAACAGTCGAAAAACTTGATCAAAACCAAATATCAAACCTTTAAAGGTTTTGTTAATTATACTCAAAAGAGTACATGTTATTCAGAAAAAAGAGTACATGTTATTAATTACCCCATGACGAGTCTTGGTATAAGGAAGCCTAGTTTCTCCATGATACATGAATGTATTCCGTATGTGAACTAATGAGTTATGATGGAGAAATCGTAAATAAGAATGTGGTTGTTTCACAAAAGTTAAGGAAAGGGAAGCTGAGGGTTGAAAGAGAAGTACCAGTATCCAGAAGAAGAAAGCAATCTCAAAGGAATTCTGAAAGAGAATGAAGTGGATGAGTTGGAGAACAATGCCTGGCCTATGGAACCAAAAGAGTTCATCAGAAGGCGTGATCACTGCTTCTTCCGCGCGCTTTCGCTTCTCCGAAACATCCAGAGCTAAGCTACTTATTATATATTCTAATTTGGTACCCACCATCAGTAGCAGCTGCAGTTTTTATACACTTTATAAGAAGAACCATTCAAAAAGATAAAATTAATTAAGATCAAAAGTGACAAGAAGGCCAGTTGTAAGAACTTACAATCAAAGGCAAGAAAGACAACCAGAAGTAGGTGTTCCATCCTCCTACGTTCAGCAACAAAAAGACGACGACAAAGAGCCAGAGATACCAACTTTATATTTTACATGATCACATCAAAAAAAAAATAGGTGTCAGGATCAAGCCATTAATTAATCGGTGTGTCTGTCTGAAGAGCTGATTGATTATTTTACCTTATGCTCACAACTTTTTTGAAATCTATTTCCAGGGTTCTTAGCATGTAGTTGTGGAAATCAAAGGATGGGTTTGTGCGGCAATGCCTCTGACAAGGTAAGGATAAATACTTATTGTTACATAGGAGATTTGGTAAATCTACATAAGATGTTAGGAACAGATCATTCAAGTCAGACCATGATGAAAGCTTGTCGCAGAGCTATATATTCTGATTTGGTGACAGAACCATAAAACTGCTTGAAGAATGATCTCTGCAATAATAACAGTTCACATTGGCTAATCTCATCAGAAACTAAAAAATATATCTATTAGTAGGTAATTTGATTCATGTGTAACACATTTTTCAGTAGTATATATCCATAGCTCACCAGCCAGCTGATGACAACAGATCTTCTCCAAAATCCTCCAGCATGCATCTCGAAGAACTCATGATTTGCATTGAATAACTCGTGAAGCGCATGAGCGTTAGCATGAGCATGACCGCGCCTTGCAATGCCTGCGACACTATGTTATGTACTTTTGTGTATTTTAAGCTGCAAAGATTGTTAATTCCCCTGAACAAGAATCTCACCCTTTTGAGAGGGATGTTTCTTGAACCAATCCTCCCAATGCTTCCATTGTTTTATCTACATATTATATCAAATCAGTGTACTAATCTAAGCCAGCTTTTGAACAAAGGTTTCAATGTTGTTTTGTAAGTTGTGCAACAATTTACCCTGGCTCCTCCCAGAACCATGGTTGAGGCGCAAAAGATGACGTGAAAAACAGCTAACACGAAGATGAAGATATGAAGTTGATGCAACGCTTCCACGGATACTAATGGAACCTTCCCCTGTAACCAAAGCACGAGACCAATGGTTTAACCGAAAGGGATCCAGTAAGAGAAGGGAAATGAGCAAAAAAGAAAAGACAATCAAATTGCCTTGGCAAGACAATGGTTAGGACTTTCTCCTGTTGAAAGGAGATGTCTTGCATTGATGATGACAGAATGAGATGATTGAGGAGCATGATACTCCTCCAATGGCTTCTTACAGGGGAACATGTTGTTTACAAGAGCTGGTGGGACGCAGATATTCCGAACTGCGGCCTGTGACACCGTTAACATTAGGGAGATAAATCCGAGGAGCATCAGTTCTGTGTCAAGACATCAATATGGTCAGGGGGTTCAGGTGTGATCAAAATAAACCAAGTCATGTCTAAAATTTCAGAAGAAAATGAAGGAAGAAGATACCTTCTTTAAGTTTTTGCAAGGCTTCAAACAAGGCATCTTGTTGCCTACGCTTCAGACACTAAGACAAATAGAATGGAGAGTTGGAAGAACAAGAAGAGAGCTTAAAACATAAGATTTTCACAGACAGAGACACAGTGATGCCATACCTTTCCAAGATGATGAAGACCACGTTCTGCGAGAAGAGATAAGAGAACGATGATGAAACAGATAAACGCAACGACCCATGTGGGTGTATATTCAAGAGAACCAGACTCCGCTCCTCCTTCTGCCATTTCTGCACCTCAAGAATCAAGATGGAGACAACTCTTCATTATTATATTTATTATTTAAAGCAGAGAATAAAAAATGGAAGAAGTGGAGGGAAAAGAATAGAGAGAAGGAGCAATGAGTGGGTTATCTCTTCAATAAAGCACAAAACCTTTCTTCTGTTTCACGCAACTACTTATAAGTTTGAAAACAAAGAATATATACACTGTATACCTCACAAAACCCAGAGGAACAATTAATGTTTGGTTTCTCAGACCACATTTTATGTAATAAGCTGAAGAATACTAATTTTATTCAGACAAAAAGAGGACTCATTACATTCAATAATTTTGATTTGCTTAAGGTGTCCAAGGTGCTGGGGGCGGCGGTGTGGCTGGGTACAATGGAGGTACGGCAGAGAACATAGTGTTTTTGTCAATACCCCCAACAGCTATTCCTCCGGATAAAGCCACTAGAGCGGCGACTAGACCCGCATTGCCTGCTAGCGTTGGCTCTGTGTAGTTGTAGTTTGTACGAACGTCGTGGAACCCATCATTTTTGTCTGGTCCAGCAACCATTGCTCCATAAATAATGTTTGGGTTAGCGTCTTTGCTCTTTTTCCATTTCCATCCTCCTGTGCAGCTCTCTTTCTTGTTCCTTGGAATTGAAGCTCCTCTGTGATGCACATGTTTCGGGTACCGTTGGCCATAACCCACAACATAACTCATCTTACGAGGGTTTTTACCAAGTATGTAATCAATCTATACCAAAAAAGACACACAAAAATTTCTATCAGATAAGGTCCTTTAAAACTTGTCTGTTGTCCTTCATTTTGTGAGGCATACCTGCGATCTTGAAAAGTCGCGTAGGTATTCAGTAGTATAGAAGTTAGGGCCACAGTACCATCCAGGAGTGTCAGCAGCCACTAGATAATCACTGTATAGTGCCGCTAAGAAAGCTGCATTTGCAGCATACTGCAGAGGCTGTGGATCTCCATGGTTCAACTTGATCAAACCTCCTGTAGAGATTATATGGTAAGATCATAATTCTATTCTTCACACTTCATCATAAAGTTTTAAGGTAACAAAAAAGCAGACAACTCACCTTTGGTTCTCTTAAATTTGGTGAAATCAGGTAAGTAAGAGCACATAACTCGGCCTGTGTGGTTATGAAATGCGCTTAAAATGTCTTCGTAGGGATATCCAGGGCTCAGAAACAGCCTCATCCGGGTTAAAAGCAACTAAAAGAACATAAATACAGAAACTAAGCATTGGCTATAACAAACAGAACTAAGCATTGGCTATAACAAACAGAACTAAGAATGTCTCAAAGAGTAACTAACCTGAGCCCCTGGGAGCTTGTTGTCCCAGCTAAATACGCCATAATAAGAACTATTCCCAAAGGCACCAGCATGATTGGCAATAGTGTGAGTGGTAACGTCACTAAGATAGGTTACATTTCCAGTAGCGTAATACAACCAAGCCCCACCCCATATAAGTTCATCCCAAAACAGGGTAGAGTTATAGAAGTTGCTAGAATCTCTACCAGGTTTACTGTATCTAGCTTTGATAAAAGTTGCAAATTTATAGAGCGTCTTAGCACCAAGAACAAGCTTTTCCGAATACAATCTGTTGTCCTTAAATACAATAGACGCAGAAGCCAGAGCAGCTGCCATCTCTGCAGCAAGATCAGAGCAGCCACTGTAGCATTGAGATACAGTCCTTTTATAATGAATGTCCTCAGGACGCATCCAGCAGTAATGGTCATTATGCAATTCATCTCCTCCACCGGGACTTCCATATCCGACCTGTGATTCATACAAACGTTTAAACGCACAAGTATGATTTACCAGTGGGATAGCTAAAGAAAATGTATTTTCACCTGTTCCACCATAACATTGATTGTATCAGCAGTACTATTAAAGGTCTTGAGAAAGTAGTCAGTTCCCCATTTGATGAGTTCTTTAACATGGTTGAGCTCGCCAGCAGCTTCATACTTTGTGCTGTATTCAATTACACTCCAGCTCAACATGGTCATGGCGTAAGACATGGGGAAGTTGAATTTGATAGCATCACCAGCATCATAGTAGCCTCCTACCAAATCTGTGTAGCTTTGTCCTTGATCTCCCTTCCCATCTTGCAGACAAGAATCACCCCTCCACGTTACGTTATTAATATTTTTCTTTGGAAGTTTCCCAGCTGCAACAACATCACATAAGAAATCAAACCGAGACATTCTACAATACATCATTACCAAACTGAATGTATATCAAAGACAGATAAGTTTTCCTACGGTCTATTAGCGAAAACAAAATGCTCTTCCATGGTTTAAATGACGCAGACAGATTTAGTTAGTAAGAAAAATACAAAATTTAAGAGCTCACATTGTTGAGCGTTGAAAAAATTGAGAGCTTGGCGGAGAGCGAGTGTGTAATTATCCGGTGATGGTGGCTTGTGCTTGTGGTGTGGCACAGTTCTAACGATCAAAGTAATGAATCCAGAGAGAAACGCGGTGGCTACAACGATACCAAGAGTCCAAAGAAAGATCTTGCGGCTGACTAAGATACATCCGAGATCAACGTACTTCTTCTTCTTCAGCTCCTTGGGTCCGAGTAGCCAGCTCTGTTGTGTTTCGTCGAGAGGCCGTGACAGACCCGCACGGTCGAGGTCTTGTAGGTTTCGGCTACGACGATCGTCGTCGATGAGGGTGTCCGCCGCATTGATCTCCAGAGGTCCACCCCAAGGATCACGTCCGTACATAGCGAACAGTCTCAAGCCAATTGAGATTTTTTTGTGGAGAATTGTGAGAGAAGGAGGAAGATGAAGAGAGAGCTTTGGGAGTGTGGTTCCTTCTTTAGGGTAATAGGGGGTTTTGTTGTGACGTGGAAAGTGCGAAGTGTATGTTCAACTCAGTATTTGCCACGTGGCATTCCTTCGGTCGTGCATTGGATTTTATGTCTTTTTCATATTAAGTGTCGTATAAATGTAATTTTTCTTGGTTGGCCCGTTTTACTTTTGGGGGAATGTATTAACGTCAGAAAACCAGTTAGGTGAGACGTAATGACACTCCATCGCAGAAGAAATTTTTGTCTAGCTGGCCACACTTTGTTTTTTTAATTACAATTAGAGGGTAATAATTCATTTATGTCAGAAGCCAATTAGGTGTAATTTCACGTTTTATATAGTAAAGAAAACTTCAAAATACAATAAACGAATATTGGTTTTTCTTTAGAATGACTTACAAAGTTTTATTTTACACTTCTAAACAATTATTATGACCTTACCTAGAATTATTTAGTAAATCGGTTTATAATTTGCTCAATCACGGGATGAAACAACGAACTAGACTCGAACTTAACTCGATTACACAACCAAATATTCCCACTGATCTCTTGGCTGTAGTAGCTACATGTGGTTCTACAATGGGGACGTCATTAGTTGGATTAGGCACCATGTACTGCTGATAAGACTGGTAGATGCGAAGATCAGACACTTGAGACAACAACAACGGGTTTGCCTCGACTATGGTTTCTTCTTGTTGGCTAGGCAACTGAGTATTCCAAGGAAATGTTGATGTCTCTTCTGGCTGGCAGAAACTCTGACTCTCATCTAGCCAAAACGAAAGAGGAGGCGCTGTGGGCTCAACCGGCAACCCTGCTGCCAAGGAGAAGTATTCATAAGAGCCAGCTGCTGCCAAGGAGGAGTACTCATAAGAGCCAGCTGCTGCCAAGGAGGAGTACTCATTTGAGCAATGGTGAGGCTGAGATGGGCAAGCTTGCTTTCGTTTCCTCTTCTTTCTTGACCAAAACTTGAGCTTCTTCATTGCTTTCATAACCTTCATTTGGGTAAATGCTTATGGCTTGAGAAAATGGTCACTGCGTTTTGTATCGAAAAAGGAGACTAGTTTGTAACCGTTGAAAGAACAAAAAGTCAATAAAAGCAAACCCATCATTTGTTATTAAATCTCCTTTAAGCTTTTTAGGATCTTCAAAGTTCAAACTTTGTGACCGTTAGATTATCACTATCTTGCAGAGACCCCACAGGCTCTGCCACTAAATGACAATATGCAGTATGCACACTAAGTTGGTGTCAATACAAGAATATATGTATATGGTTTTCTTGTTTGGCAGTCACTACAAAAGATTCCAAGTGTACAAGTGAAAAATGTTTGCATGTAAAGGTTGCTTCATGACAAGGGTTTTAAACTTTTAGTTCCTTCTCTTCAAACAAAAACATGTACAATTCACTTGGTAAAATGAAAATACACATCATATAATAACCCAATTGGTTGAAATTGTAGACTGGAAAAGCTGAAACTTTTTCCCTTTGATATCTTTGTTCCCTTTTCCTTCTAAAGCTTTATGAGAAAATAAAAAACTTCATACTTTATCTCTGTGTTTTGCTTTAAACACTACATTTTTTACTGAAAACATGGTTCTCATGCCAGACTTGGATATATGTTTACTGAAAATTAATCTTTAATCATGTTGAAACCCAGTCTACAACATAAGATTGCTTCCGAAAAGTAGAGTAAGACAACAAGTATCTAGGGGAAGACAAGGACCACGCCAAAGGCTCACTTTTTAAGGAACATATTCCTGAACTCATCATTTGATTTTGGGGGCTCATCTGCGCTGGGTTTAGGGGTTATGTAGCCGAGTGGTTTAACATTTCTTGGGACAGCGAACGTGTTTTTACCTTTCACCTGGACTTCATGTCCTTGCTTTTCACCCACAGTTTCTCCCCCAAGAGGCGCTTTGGCCTTCTCAGGAATCTGGGAAGGGTCCTTTGAATTCCCAGAACCATCTAAAGAAGTAAAATCACCAGCTTAAGTTCATTCACACCATAAGTAGCTACAAATTCAGTATATGGCTCTGAGTAAAACGAGAAAGAGATGTAAATTCTAACCATTTCCACGCCGAGTGAATTCCTTTTTACCCTTCTTTGGATTTGATCGTGCTATACTGATCTTCTTACCAAAAAACATCTTTCTGTTCTTTGCTATAGCTGCTGCAAGGTGTTCATCATTCACAAAATCAACATATGCCAATCCCTGCAACACCATCGACCATATTAATCCACCATATTGGCATAATAACACAGAAACTAGGAACTAGTCAGTGGCAGTATGCATCTAATTGCAATCTATGGTAAATATTTTCTGCCAATTATTTAGACGGAAAGATCTACTTGCTTAATATCATTCTATTTTGCTCCCGCCTGCAACCAGCAAAGAGGCAGTATACTTGGACAAGAGTTATCTGATAGCTAAAGTTTTAAGTCTCAACAGGACTTCAACTAAACATGGAAACTCAAAAAAATTCCAGACTTATTGAACAGTGACAGCAGAAATGGCATCACATGCATAAGTTGTGTGAGAGAGAGACCCTTGGTTTTCCAGTGTCTTTGTGATGGAGAATGCGGATGGAATCAACCCCACCAACATCGCTAAAAAATTTACGTATATCTTCCTCTTGTACCTGCCAACAAGAGTTTTAGCTTGTACTGGAAACTCTCAGACATGTTATTTCAGTAGGCCGTCTCCATAAATATTACATGTAGCCCATATACTTACCTTGACACTCAGATTTGAAAGAAAAGCTGTACACTCGTCTGTATAAACTTTCGGCTTCACTGGTTTGGCATCTTCAGTCTCTTCTTTGTTTGAATCAGCGGCTTTTCCATTCTCTGCTTTAATGTTTTTTGTGCTTGATACAGTTGCACTCTGACCTTCTACGTCAACTTCATTCACTTTTTGAACCTTCCTTTTCTGCCGCTTAGCCAAAGACTCTTCTTCTACATTTTGTCCTGCTTTTCTCTTTTCACGTGTACTCTTTTGTGAGTTATGCTCTTTCAGGCCAGCTGGTGGTTTGACTGGGGTAGACTCCTGTTGTAACCTGATCAATTGTAGCTCTTCCAAGCGAGGCATAACCTATGGAACAAAAATTAAGCAACTCGTATAATTTACAGCTTCCACAACTTTTCTGCATGTTATCTTATCATAACATGCATAACACTTAAATCTAAACATCACTGTCATAATTAACAAACAAATTCAAACCCAGCAAAATTATTATTCACCTTTTTCTAGAAAAGTCAAACAGTAATAGTACCTTTTGAACTGCTAAGTCAAAATCTTCCAAATTCCCATGCTCTCTTTCAAAGCGCAACCATCCTTTGCATAAGTCCTGCAAAATTGTCCTTCTTAGGAAATGAATATAGACTTTTAGAAATTAGAGATGACAACTTAGGCATACAATGCTCTCATGTTTCAAATGTCAGGTATGCAAACCTTCCCTGACCATCAAAAACAGAAACAAAAAAACGCATTCTAAGTGCTTGTGTTGCAGTTGCGACATTTATACATGGATTCTCTACTTACCATACAATAGACTGCCGTTTCAGTTGCATGTGAAGATAACAAAATAAAAAGTTACGGTAAAACAGAAAACAAGAGGGTTTTGGGTGCATACTTCTGAGCCAGTGCCATCAAACTTTCTTGTATAGCACCTCCGGTAAATAGACCTAGCTTCCTTTATATTCCCCAAATGCACTTCCATATCAATGTAGGCATTCCAGGCTGCTAGCATCCCACCACTGGAGAGAACAAAGTAAAATGAACCATAGTGAACCAGATTGCCTTATTCTGACAAATGTTGTAATCTGCCTGGATTTTTTCAAATATATATCCGTTATTTATTAAATATAAAGGATATAAATTGCAAAACCTCTTCTTTAGAAAGCGATCCCAAACACCTCGTGCTCCAGCTAGATCTTTTCCATTATTAAGTTCCAAGTTTGCCCAATAAGCATGCAAATGCAGCAAACTGTCTGTATTTTGCATGTGAGGCATCAGGTAATCTGATGCTTGCTGACAGGATAGAAATATTGAGTTAATTCAAGTGATTCAGAAGAGGTCCAATTTAGGAGGAAAGCTAAACAAAAACAACACTATTTCACGAAAAGTAACCCTAAATAGCTTCTCAAATGGAAAGCTACGAAACAATGCAATAACTAAAAGAACTAAAAGAATATAAAGATCTTAAAAATGGGAATCTCAGACTACTAATGATGGTAAAAGCAGCAGACAAACCTGAAAAGTTTCTCTTATAAGAGAATAATCCAAAGTCTCTGATATCCTAGTTGATGACATTCTTCTTCTCAGGCCATCTACTCGAGTGAGGTATAAATCCAGGTACTGATGAGGAACATCTCATAAGATATTCATGGATAGAGTTGAATGGATACATGCTTGAAAATAAATTAAAAAATCATGAAAGAAAAAGTTGTACCTCTTCAAAGGAGGAAAATGTGCACTGCAATGACTTCTCAAAGACCTGTACACAACAATTTGAATAATAGGATATTCTCAGTATAAGTTTTTGAAAATTTCATAGTATAACCCATGAATGGTATAACAGAGATAAATCTATCTTAGGGCAAGTATCTTTTCCTACACTATATTTCTTTTGTTTTCAATTCAACAACTTGAGACTTACAGCATAAATCTCTTTCTCGGATGCAGAACCACGCTCTAAGGCAAGCAAGTAACGCACCCAAAGATCCCCAGTCCATGGACAACTTCTAGTCGCCCTAGAATATGCATGTGTTATAGCTTTTCCAACCTGAAGCAGGAAATTCTTAGTACGGATCAAATAGAAATTGTAAGAGAACCACCATAAAAGACAATTTAGAAAAGATGATAGATAAAAAAAGCCATAAATATTCTTGACGAACCTTCAAAGTCTTATCAAGATAGACGGTGTAGTCAATCCACAAGTCACTTGAAACTGGGTATTCAGCAACAGCACGGTCATATATAGCTTGAACTCGGGTAGGATCTCCAGAAGTCTTCTCAAACTTTATATAATTCTACAAATTCAAAAACAGTATCACGTTTCCATACATATGAATATACAAATTCTTTTACTTAAAGCCATTTATAAGAACAAAAAATAAAAAAATGCAACAGTAGCCAACAACATGCTCAATTCCGCAGATTCAGAATCCTTCACACAATATGATCACAGATGGTAGGCATATTACAATCCAATTCTCACAACATTTATCACAAATATAAACTGCACGAGAAACCATACGCACCATGAATTCCTGAAACTTTTCCGTGTCCGATAAATCTTTGTTAGATATGTGTTCTTCAAGATGAGCACGTTCACTATACATCTGCTGTGCCTTCTTATTTGCAGCAGCAACCTGCTGAGAAACCTTACTCAGATCATCTGATCCAATATCAAGGTCATTTCCCTGTTCCAACTCCCACGCTTTGTAAGTAATAAGGGTAGAGCTCAAGTTTTTTAGCGGAACAGACAGGTGGCGGTGGAATATGCTTCTAATCCTTTGTATCTGCTTATTCTTCTCCTGTAAAATAAAATTAAGTTTATGATGCCAAAAGAACCGTAACTACATCAACAGAACCTAAAGACCAACAAATAATTTCATAGCAACCATTAGGGTTCGTTTATAACAAGGTGTAAGTTCTTTCTACTGAAAACTGTGCACAGCAACCCACTACCACACTTCTGTTCCGCTTAGTATAGGTATCATCCTAGAACACAAACCTTGCTCCTAGCACGCGGTATCCAGCTTTATTTAACCTTAAACAAACATGCTGCTAGACTACAGTGAACGAAACCCCCTACCACACTTCTGTTTCACTTAGTTTAGGCTTCACCCTAGAACACAAACCTTGCTAACATGCTGCTAGACTACAGTGAACGAAATGTAGATGAAAATGAAGAAAACCAAGAAACAGATCTAACCTCAACGTCAGCCTCGTCAATAGTGGCTAAGACGCCTTGCTCAAATTCTCTATACCCTTCCCATATTCTATTGCCTTCAGTGACATGGAATCCCGCAGCCGGAATAGCACGTTCAAAAAGACTCCTCATTTTTGAAATACCATCAGATGTGTATCCATGTACTGATGGATCAGATTCTAGCATAAAGTTCAGGTAGTCACACCAAAGTGATACAGACTGCATAAAAGAAAATCTATTACCTTATTAATTCAATGTGAAATTATCAGTCGAACGATAGATTATAAAGCTTCACTACCTTATAGTCAATAGACAAGAAATTTGAAAATATAGACCATTATTAAAGCTTTGGTAGCCCTAACAGAACAATTCGAAATAGCTAACCAGAGTACTTCTTCAGTCAACCTACCTAACAGAACCCTACCAACAAAATCAACATATATATGACTACCAAAGCCTTTAATCGAGCTATTGTTTCCAGTACAAAAGAGAACATACCTGATAATCGGAAAGTCCCCGTTCATAAAGCATCACAATTTCAGAGACATTTCCACTGCAGAAGAGAGATCGATATAACAAAAATTTCAGAGGGTGGTTATAACTTATATAAAACATGCTTGAACCGTAATAAAAAAAAAAAATGATCAAAGGAAACCATCTAAAGCCGAAGATAAAACCGGAAGTGTGAGAAATAGAAAATTTAAGAGGCAGAAAACCGCAAATAAAATTTTACCTAGAGGCTAGAGATGCTTCATCCCTTGCCCATTCTAGCCACAGAGAAGGACTCAACGGAAATGTGGCACTCATAGCTTCCCTGGCTTGTCTAAGCTTTTCAAGGTTTGCTGTTTTCCTGAGAAGCGTTATATACTGAAATGAGAAATCCAAAAAAAAAGTCAGAAAAAAATGTAACCCAGATAAACCATCTATCTCTAACATGATAAGAAAATGCACAACTCAAAAAGCTTCTCAAACACACAAACAATAAGATAATCGAACAAACAGGATAGTAGAAATATGAAATTTCTGTATGAAAAACTCCAGTTCACATCATTCCTAAGTAAAAGTTGCTTTAAGGTTCTGAGTGAGCTGAAAGACATTCTATTAGCAAAGTGCAAGGTAGAGAAAGTGATGGTTACTTGGACATAAGCATCGTAGTTGTAAGGATTGGCGGAGAGCTCCGACTCTAGGGTTTCAATCTGCTGGTTCGACTCGGCCTCATCCTCAGAATCGGAATCAGAACCGGCGGAATCATCAGACGAGTGAGGATCAGCTTGGGGAACGGCAGGATTTTCAGTAGAAGCGTCTTCCATTTTCTGGTCGCTGATATTGACTAGTTCGGTGTCATCATCCATCATCATCTTCTCAAGTTTCCGAGTTTGGGGACTACTTTTGGGTTTAGGGTTTAATTAAAGCACCAAAATTGCAAATCACCTCTCTCCGGCCTTGCTACGTCCTCAAACACCACCGCTTAGCTCTTTTGCGTCCTGCCGTCCTTTACTCCCAAATCCCATGGACGGAACCGAACCAAACCAAACCAAAAATTTGGAATTCGGCTCGGTTTCGGAAGAATTAAACGGTTCAGTTTATAGTAGTGAACGGTTTTTGGTTCGATTTATGCATAACCCAAAAATAAATTCAAAACTGAAACAAAACAATACCCACGATTTTTGGTTCAGTTCCTATTCAAATAGTTTTCATCAAAAAAAAATTACAAGTAATTTGGGTTAAATAGGGTAGTTCGGTTACTTTTGATTACGAAGTAACAAATCGAACCGAACTTTTCCGTATTGTATCTGATTTGATTCAAATTTCTAGTACTCATACCAAATCAAACCTAACCAAATCTAGTCGACTGTAATAATATAATCACCAAATTTTCATATCCGTAAACCGGAGTAACCGAACGACATAACGCTAATTTTAGAAGAGTTTTATTTTTCTTAGTTTCAAATGTGATATTTTATGATATCTTTAAGTTTTTTAACGACGATCGATTGACAATAAAAGAAAACAAAGTTTCGGTTAATATGTAATGAACGATGAATTAACAACGTATACTTTCATGACTACTAATAAGATGTTTTTGTAGACTTGTGGTGATATACTAATATGTAATGAATGTGGTAAACGTAGTCCCTAGTTACAAGGTACACCGAGTTAGCGCAGAAAGATCTTTTAAACTGTTTGTCTCCCCAATTATTATTTTTTATTTCAACAAAATTTTGATACACAAAAGTATGGATGGTATACGTAATGCCAAACATTTGGCAGACAAGAGCACATGCCCAGTGTTAAAAATGTTAATTACAATCCCCCACCAGCTGTAACATTGTGCGGATCTCATTGTAATTTAAATTACTCGATTCATGAACCTCTCTCTACACATTTTTATATATACGGCAAACACTATAGCTACTATAGTCCCATACGTTATCAGAAGGAAGAAGTAGAGCATAAGGACATGAGTGGCTATTCCAAAATGGATTCAACAGACCAGAAACTCGACCCGGTCGATCCTCAGACCCAGAAGCCCGATCCAGAACCTATCGAAATGATCATACCGAAGCTGAGTAGGAACAGGTCAGTGTCTGCATCAGGACAAGCGGCTCCTTCACCAATGAAGATGTCTATGAGGAGATCTTCGTCTGTCTCTGAACGCTACTGTAGAATCTACGACCAGAGCTCTGCCACAACGTGGCCTCTTCCTTTCCATGAAGAAGATGAAGACGAAGATGGTGATGGTAAAGAGAAAGTACAGAAGAAGAGCAAAAACATCAAGAGAAAAGCATTCGTAAAGGCTTGTAAGCGGTTTTTTGGGATCTCGTGAAACCTTTTTTTTATTTTGTTTTCCTCTACATCTATCTTCTTCTTATATCATATATAACAGATCTCATCATATTGTTATTTTTCGATTAGTCTTATCTTCTTTTTTCATGCATGAAATATTTAATACAAGAAAATTTTCCCTATATTAGTTGTTATCGATTGCTTTGAAGTACATTGGTTTTACGAAGCTTTCTTTCTTGAGTAATGAGATATGAATCATATGATTACACACTATTTAGATTTTCTTGCTTATATGTGTGTTTTTTATATTGAAAATCACAAACCACTTGCTTTTATTACTGTAGGATAGAAGAACCGATTGTGTTTTTGTACGTCTGAATATAATTCCTCTGATTGACAAAAAAAAAGAAATAAAAAGAATATAATTCGTCTATATAGTAGATATATAATTACCAAAAAAGAGTGTGTTTTTTTTTTTTTTTCTAAAGTGTGTGTAAATTAATAATTAGCAAACTAAAATACATGTTGTCCATGATGACCATACAAACTATAAGATGAATAAACTACATGTCGTATTACTTTACTTTATTTGGGAGTTGATGATCCTTGACTCCAAGATTGTCCTTTTGTGTAAAACTCGAGAGAGAATCATTAGCCCAATGCACTTGCACATGGAGTTCGAAATATTGTTTATTTTTATTCCAATATTTATATTGTTTCATCAACTCAAAGTAGAGTAATCACGTTTTATAGATTTGTATATAAGACTAAAGACTCCATGAAACACACTCACAGTCGTATCGTATGGAACACATCCATTTGTGGAATACAAGCTCCAATGACAGGAAGCTTTATAATTACCATAGATCCAACATGAGTCGCTCTCTCTCCCTTGCCTCTTGATATCTTGTTTTGAACGAAATTTCTCTCTACTCACTTCTTTGTCTTTTACAAATCTAAATATTCCCTTGGATCTTGGATTAAGACACTCTCAATCGAATCGAGTGTGTAAGAGATGTAAATGAGATTTACGATCAAAATGGCAACGTGAACTAATCAAGAGTTTTTGTTTGGCATGAGATATATAACGTTTCCACCTAGTCGGATAATCTATATACAAAAATGTTACTAGCCGCCATATAGTTTATCAAATTACAAATAACAACCATATTATATATCATCCATTTTCTATAAAACATGTTAGTATAGCATTAAAATTTCACCTAGTAGTTCAATCAGTACCACTGACTCGATTCTCGCATAAAAATATACCTGAAATCTCGAGATTTAGGACAAGTGATCCTTGGCATTTTGATTTTGACATGTATAGAGACTGAGAGACGATGTGGGCCTTTGTGAAAAGTCTAGATCTTTCTCAATATATGAGAGAGCTAGAAATCTGGATACCTCTACTCTTAGGATGGGTGTCAAAAACTCAGACACACTTGTTGGCCTATTGAAGCCCATCCATTTCGTACCATCCCCCTCTTCTCGAAGCTTCAGCTCGGTCCTATATTTTCTCTCTCCCTCCTCTCTCACCCCTTCCCTCTTATCTCCTGCTTCTCTATATCTCTTCCTCCCACTTTCCCTTAGGGTTCAAAGTTCAAACCCTCCCCAGTTTTAACCTTTACTTCTCTATTGCTTCTTCAATCACTAAGCTTGCATAGAAATGGCATCTTCCGCCGCCCAAATTCACGTTCTCGGCGGAGTTGGATTCGCTAATTCTTCTTCCAAGAGAAATCTCAATGGTAAAGGTGGTACCTTTATGCCGAGAAGTGCCTTCTTCGGTACAAGAACTGGTCCTTTCTCCACACCCACTTCTGCTTTCCTCAGAATGGGCACTAGAAATGGCGGCGGAACTTCTAGGTACGCGGTAGGTCCGGTGCGTGTGGTTAACGAGAAGGTTGTTGGTATCGATTTGGGTACGACTAACTCCGCCGTTGCTGCTATGGAAGGAGGTAAGCCTACGATTGTGACTAACGCTGAAGGTCAGAGGACTACGCCGTCTGTGGTGGCTTACACGAAGAGCGGTGACAGGCTTGTTGGGCAGATTGCGAAGAGGCAAGCTGTTGTTAATCCGGAGAATACTTTCTTCTCTGTGAAGAGGTTTATTGGTAGGAAGATGAATGAGGTCGATGAGGAGTCTAAGCAGGTTTCTTACAGAGTTGTCAGGGATGAGAACGGGAATGTTAAGCTCGAGTGTCCTGCTATTAACAAACAATTTGCTGCAGAGGAGATTTCAGCTCAGGTATTGAAGTTCCCTCTATATTACTCATTTCTCTTGTGTTTTTACCAATGTTGATTATGTGTTTTAGCTGGTTAGACGTCTATCCGCAATTTGAGGTGGTCAATGTGAGTGACTATTCTGGGACACTTTTATATGGAGGATACTTCATTAATGTTCATGGTTCAGTAAATATGATATGAGTCTCATCTTCTGTGTGTTTTCATTCTCATGGGGTTTGTGTCTGTTCTAGGTTTTGAGGAAACTTGTGGATGATGCCTCAAGATTCTTGAACGACAAAGTAACCAAGGCTGTCATCACTGTGCCTGCTTACTTCAACGACTCACAGAGGACAGCAACAAAAGATGCTGGTCGAATTGCTGGTTTGGAAGTTCTTCGTATTATCAACGAGCCCACAGCTGCTTCATTGGCTTATGGGTTTGACAGAAAAAGCAATGAAACAATCCTAGTCTTTGATCTTGGTGGTGGTACCTTTGATGTTTCAGGTACTTGGCATTGAATTTTGCTTTAGTTCTCTATGTATTTTCTTGAGAATATTCTGTATATGTAATAGCACCACTAATATGTTTTATGTTGTGTTTCTTTATTATACAGTACTTGAGGTTGGTGATGGTGTGTTTGAAGTGCTTTCCACTTCTGGCGACACACATTTGGGTGGTGATGACTTTGACAAGGTGAGTTAAATGCACACATTAATTTAAAAGTCCCTAGTGAAAGAGTTTTGAATCTGTTTACTCTTTCGTCTGAGCTTTACATGATAGATCTACTTTTGCAATGCAGAGAGTTGTTGATTGGCTTGCTGCAGAATTCAAGAAAGATGAAGGGATAGATCTTCTGAAAGACAAGCAAGCTCTTCAGAGGTTAACAGAGGCAGCAGAAAAAGCTAAAATCGAGCTTTCCTCGCTGACTCAGACAAATATGAGGTACAATTAATTTTTCTCCGCTAATTTGTTTGACCTAGTACTTTTACAAATATCCCGCTTCTGATTAATATGAATGCTGTGTGCGCAGCTTGCCATTTATCACGGCCACAGCTGATGGACCCAAACACATAGAAACTACTCTCACACGTGCCAAGTTTGAAGAATTATGTTCAGATTTGCTGGACAGGTAACTTTAGTTACAGTTCTTATGGCTGATGGCTGATATTCATAGCTCGGCAAGTAAACAAATTGCTATGTTTTCATTCTATAACCTTTGAATAATTTATGGAGGCTTATGATTATTACCATGTATCTGTCTTATAGGGTCAGGACTCCCGTCGAGAATTCCCTAAGGGATGCAAAGCTAAGCTTCAAAGATATTGATGAAGTTATCCTTGTCGGTGGATCCACACGTATTCCTGCTGTTCAGGAGCTTGTAAGGAAGGTGACTGGGAAAGAACCTAATGTTACAGTAAATCCTGATGAGGTTGTAGCCTTAGGTGCTGCAGTCCAGGTGTGCTCTCTTGAACTTGTAACTTTCCCCCTATTTAGGTCTTGATTTTAACAGTCAAGGTCTTAATCGCACACTTGATAACCTTGTGGCAAATAAGTTGTGTTTTACTGGAGTGAGTTATTTATTAAGTGTTATACTCATTTGACTCTAGGCTGGTGTTCTCGCTGGAGATGTGAGTGACATTGTGCTTCTTGATGTGACACCACTTTCTATTGGTTTGGAGACCCTGGGAGGTGTTATGACCAAGATCATTCCGAGGAACACTACACTACCTACTTCAAAATCAGAAGTCTTTTCGACTGCTGCTGATGGGCAGACAAGTGTTGAGATTAATGTGCTGCAGGGTGAGAGGGAGTTTGTTAGGGATAACAAGTCTCTTGGCAGCTTCCGTCTAGATGGTATTCCACCTGCACCACGTGGAGTTCCACAAATTGAAGTCAAATTTGACATTGATGCCAATGGAATTCTATCCGTCAGTGCTGTTGACAAAGGTACCGGCAAGAAACAAGACATCACCATTACTGGTGCCAGTACATTGCCCAAGGATGAGGTGCGTACTGTTTACTTAAGAATCAATTTAATAACTTGTTTTTTCCTGGTCAATTCCGCCCTTAAGGTGTTGTGGTTTACTACTGATTATGAAAAATGGTTGCCATACCTTGCTGTTGTTGGTAATTGCCATCACCTAATGGCTGCAACTATCTCCATGATCATATGTTCTTAGGAATGGTTCCTTTTTCTAGAATTCGTAGTCATGGTAACAAAAGTTGGTATCGGATTAATGTTTCAGGTAGACCAAATGGTCCAGGAAGCAGAAAGATTTGCAAAGGATGACAAGGAGAAGAGAGATGCAATCGACACGAAGAACCAAGCAGATTCAGTGGTGTACCAGACGGAGAAGCAACTAAAAGAACTTGGTGAGAAAATTCCAGGTGACGTGAAAGAGAAGGTGGAGGCTAAGCTACAAGAGCTGAAAGACAAGATAGGAAGCGGATCAACGCAAGAAATAAAAGACACCATGGCAGCTCTTAACCAAGAAGTGATGCAGATTGGTCAGTCTCTATACAACCAGCCTGGAGCTGGAGCCCCAGGTGCTGGTGCTCCCCCAGGTGGTGAAGGTGCTTCATCAGGAGATTCATCTTCAAGTAAAGGTGGAGATGGTGAAGATGTGATCGATGCTGACTTCACAGACAGCAAATGAGAAAGCAAACTAGGACGGGTTTAATATTCATACATGCGGATGCAGTGGGACACATTGGTTTTGTAGGTTTGGATTTGAGAACACACATGAATTAAGAAATGCTTGTGAACAAGGTTGATTTACCCATAAAAGGAAGCAGTGTGTGTGTGTGGTTGGTTACAGAGGGTGGTGTTTTTTCAATACACAATAAAATGCAAGCCTTATCGTACACGGTACATACAGTGAAGGGACAAAAATCTAGTGAGGGCAAACCCACAGCGATTGACTCAAAACCATAAAAACTGTTTTTTGTTTAATCTTTGTAGTAGTACCCAATAATAGTGACTCAATCCAGGAATATCTACCGCAACTTTAGTATCCAATGCATAATAACGTACGCACGCTTGCTTATTCCTTACCTTAACCAAGGAAAATCTCTAAATCTATGATGGCGAGTTAGATTCATGTAACTTTATATATATATATATAAAAAAGGAAAAAAAAAACTCAAATCAGTCCACATGCACATATGCACCTTTAAAAATCATATTTAGAGAGGCATACAAACAAACAAACACCGAGTAATAAATAAAGAAATATGCCCAAAATAGTTAAGGATTCCCTTGCCCCCAGGAAAGGTCTTTAAAACTGGCACATCTCTCTCAGTCATTTTAGTAGTAGTAGTATTAGTAGTAGATCTCTCTTTGAGATGTGAGAAGTTTAGTATTGTCGAACAAGAAATATATTGTGTCGTTGTTACTTTCGGATGCTTTCTACTAGAGTGTCACACAAAAGAACAGTAATAAAGTTCCCAGCAAAGCATGTAATAATGGTAACTACAAGAACAACAACAGGCTGTCAAATTATAAAATAAGACGAAGGCGGAGGGAGGAAGAGTAAAGTGGGAAGATCAATGTCCAATTCCCGATTCTTTGACCAAATAGTTGACTTTTCTTCCTTGAGCCTTTTTTTTTTTTTTTTTTTTTTAATAATAATATTCTATCACCTCTCTCACCTGTTTAGTGTTTAATCTACCCTCTCACCTTCGTAATCACTTTTGTTTAACAAAGCTTTTTTTTTTTACACCAAAAAACCTAATTTACTGATCCTCGATTGAGTTGAGAGGCTTCTCTTCTTCTTCTTCTTCCTCTTTACAATCATTTGCTGCAAAATCTATCCAATCCCTTAATCGTCTCTCGATTTAAGATTCTTCTCAGCACTCGTCTAGATCGTTGATTCTCCAGCTCGGTTTTGCGATTCCCTTGAAGACATATGCTTGATTGAAAAACGTACTTGAGCTCCAACTTCTTCTTTTTCTGTTTTACAAATATTCCTGTTATTTGTTCTACTTTCAAAGTTTTAATCTTTTTGTAGTCTTGTTCTTTGACTTTTACGCTTCTGTTGAAATGATTTCTTCTTTTTTGGAACATTTGGACTTGGTCGTATGTTCAAAGATTCTAGGTCGTAAAGCTACAGTTTTTTTTTTTGTCTATATTTGGAAATCATGATTTCGATTATCTCTTCTTGGTCAGATTTGTAATTCTATGCGTGTCGTCATTTCCTTTTCAGAAACAAAAAAAACCAAAGCAGCTTTGATTGTTCTACTTGTGTGTTCCTTCTAGAGGATAATACTAGTATTTGGAAGCCTTTGCAGTGAAGAAACATGGCACTTCGGCTACCAGCTTCTAAAGCAGCTGAAGTTGCGATTGGATCCATTGGCTGCGGTTATGATCTAGCTATTGATGTGCGGTTGAAGTATTGCAAAGGAGGCTCCAAAGATTCTAGATTGCTTGATATTAATGAAGGTGATGACAATTGCGAGATTGTTTTACCTGGTGGTATCTCCATCCCTAATGTTTCTAAGTCTATCAAATGCGATAAAGGCGAGCGTATGCGCTTTAGGTCTGATATTCTTCCTTTCCAACAGGTAAAATTTATATCTTTTTGTTTACCCTTGTTTAAAATTGCTGTCATGTCTTACAAACTCTTGTTTCCGTTTGTCCATCAAGTATTGCTTTGTGCTGTTGATGTAGGTTTTGAGTGGATAAGAGTGCCATATGTTGAAACCCGTTAGATAGTTTCCTTGTTTATTGCTCGTGAATTTAGAATGTCAGTCCTCTCGGATATAATTCCAGAGAGATCATTTCCTACATGGCGTTCTTTATGCTTAGTTATTGATATTTCTTATATTATGGTTTTATAGATGGCAGAGCAGTTCAACCAAGAGCTATCTTTGGCTGGTAAAATCCCCTCGGGTCTCTTCAATGCAATGTTTGAATTCTCGAGCTGTTGGCAGAAAGATGCAGCCTTTACCAAAAACCTCGCTTTTGATGGGATATTCATCTCATTGTACACGGTTGCTTTGGACAAATCTCAAATGTTACTCCGTGAGCATGTTAAGCAGGCTGTCCCATCAACATGGGACCCTGCTGCATTGGCAAGGTGATGTGCTCTTTTCATAATAGGAATGTAACATTCATGGATGTTGTGTTTAAAGTCTATGGAAAGTTACTTAGAGCTGCCTTTTTCCTTTGAAATTCTTTGGTGGTTTCTCAACAACATGAGAAGAATCGCTTTTTCTTTTCTTGCAACAGTTTTATGTTTAAGTCCATATTCTTTCAGCAAGTCATTTCCTTGGCCGAGTTTCTTTGTATTGGGTGAAATTTTTTTTGTATGACTTATACTTCTTACTTGTTGCAGGCATTGTTTCATTAGTAACATTCTTTATTAATTGGAGGGCAAGGATTTATGATTAACACTTAGTCAAATGTTTCTTTACCAGGTTTATAGATATTTATGGGACGCATATAATTGTTGGTGTTAAGATGGGAGGTAAAGATGTAATTTATGCGAAACAACAGCATGCCTCAAAACTTCAACCTGAGGATCTGCAGAAAAGGTTAAAAGAGGTGGCAGATAAGAGGTTCGTGGAAGCTAGTGGAGTGCATAATATGGCTTCAGACAAAACAAATGCAACTAATAAGGTCTGTGAAACAGTTATTTTTTTGTTTGTTCCATCATCAAATCTTTCTTACTGGAGTACGTTAGATATGCTGTGGCTTTTTTACATCTAGAAGAATTACTACTACCTAGTGTTTGCAACTCTTAAGTCCGTAAATCCTGTCTTTTATCGCTTGTTTTAGGTGGAAACAAAGGAGCAACGCCTGAGATTTGCAGATACCAGTTCCTTGGGTTCTTATACAAATAAGGAGGTAATTTCCATTGGTACCATAGCCAATCATAAGAGACATGTTATCGTGTGCGTTAGCTTCTTTTCTCATGAATTACATTTATTTGTAGGATATTGTCTTCATGTGCAAAAGGCGGGGTGGAAATGATAATAGAACTCTATTGCATAATGAATGGCTACAAACAGTTCAGATGGAGCCTGATGTTATCTCAATGTCCTTTATTCCAATTACGTCTTTGCTTAATGGAGTTCCCGGAAGTGGATTCTTAAGCCATGCCATAAATCTATATCTAAGATGTAAGCCTACAAATCATCTGCGCTGTGTGCATTTCTTTATATAATTATTCTTCATAATAGTGGTTTCTTTTACCTTTGCACTGGAAGTTTGATATAGGTATGAACATCATAATCCCAAATGTGATACTGATACATACTCTAAAATCTTCTTTTATTAACCCAAATGCCAGACCCAAACACAAGCTTAGCACTTTACGCATATATTTTATGTAGAACTGAAATGTTTTATAATTTAAAATGTGAAATTTGTTTTCCTTTTTGAGCTTTTTTAATTCATGAAAACTTCAACGAAGAAATTGCATTAGCCGTTCTGGAGTTACAGTTAACAGTTTCATAAGTTCCAAGTCCAGCTGTTTTATAGGGACAAATGGTGCATTACCTACAATGAAACATACTATTAAGAAAATCCTTGGGTTAACAATCCAACATTACTTGTCTTTTGTATTTGTAGATAAGCCTCCCATTGAAGAGCTACATCAGTTTCTAGAGTTTCAGCTACCGAGGCAGTGGGCACCAGTGTTTAGTGAACTTCCTCTTGGTCCGCAACGGAAGCAACAAAGTTGTGCGTCTCTGCAATTCAGTTTCTTCGGACCTAAGTTATATGTGAATACTACTCCGGTATGAGTTTTTTCGCCCTAAATATAAAGCTTGCTAATGCTGGTTGCGGGTTTATTTGTCAGTCAAGTCTGATCTCTTTAACCCTGCATGGACAGTTCTGCAGACATTGTGGTTGGATTTTGTTTAAAATGCTCAACTCTTGAGATGCTTGTTCTTGTATATCTGGTTTCAGGTTGATGTTGGTAAGAGGCCAATCACTGGCATGCGGCTCTACCTAGAGGGTAGAAGAAGCAACCGTTTGGCAATTCATTTGCAGCACCTTTCTTCTCTTCCCAAGATATATCAGCTCGAAGACGATCCAAATAGAAGTATGCGACAAGAGTCTCATTATCGTCGATACTTTGAGAAAGTAAACTGGAAGAACTACTCTCACGTCTGCACAGCACCCGTTGAATCAGAAGATGATCTATCAGTAGTAACAGGTGCGCAGCTCCATGTAGAGAGTCATGGGTTCAAGAATGTGCTGTTCTTGCGCCTTTGTTTCTCAAGAGTTGTGGGAGCGACACTTGTAAAGAATTCTGAATGGGATGAAGCGGTAGGCTTTGCTCCAAAGTCAGGACTCATCTCAACGCTAATAAGCCATCACTTCACTGCAGCTCAGAAACCACCACCACGACCTGCAGATGTGAATATAAACTCGGCTATCTATCCTGGCGGACCACCTGTACCCACTCAAGCACCCAAACTTTTGAAATTTGTGGATACAAGTGAGATGACAAGAGGACCACAAGAATCACCCGGGTATTGGGTTGTATCTGGTGCAAGGTTACTGGTGGAGAAAGGCAAGATCTCATTGAAGGTAAAGTATTCACTGTTGACTGCGATATTGGAAGATGAAGTGATTGAGGAACCCTATGAAAGTTGAGAGAAAATGTGGTTACGAGGATGGCAGAAAATAGGATGGGTGGTTTGTTTGTGTCTGTGTGTGTGTGTACATTCTTCAGCCTTTGTCATTTGTAATGTAACGGTGTGTGGAGCCAAATATGTGATAGGAATGCATGACTTGTACATTTCCTATCTTTGGACCAGAGGTTTTTGTTCGTGTGGAGAAGCCAACTACACACTGCACCTAAATCCAGAAAGCATGGGTTTATATATTCCCCTCTTAAAATCTAATATACACGAGGAGTTTGTGTTCATGGATTTGAATAATTCACAGGTTTTTGGTACATAACAAAAAGACAACAAGAGTTTTGTTACACATTACATGTAATATAGCAATTAGAGGGTACCAAGATCTTTATCGTTTTTCAGAATTTTGTTTTTGTCTACATGAATCGTATTGTGATCTAATGTCTGTTATTACTTATTAGTCGTCCTTAATTCCACACAAATTAAAACCAATATTCTAATCAATGTCACATGGTTGTGTCTGAATTTCCAAATCAATTTTAAATTCCACTAGAGTTTCAAAATGGCAAGTCAAAGTAAAGTTTATACTACTTGGCTACTTGCACGCATAAAACATACGTTTGGAAGTCCTAAGGGAAGCTTAGAATAAGAATGAATCGAAAGAGACCCGCCATCGCGTCTTGACTTTTCTAAACATTGATCACGTCAACAAGTAACAACAACCATTTTCAAAACTTAACCGCACGTTCTAATTTGTATATATTATACCATCATAATCATCTGTATTAAGTCCCCAAAACAGAGAAGAAACGAAACACAGAGAAAAATTAAGACAACTGAAAAAAACATGTCTTCATCATCTTCCCTAACACAGAGAAACCCAATTACTTCGCAGCCAAATGACTCACAAGAGCATTCAGAATCTGTTCCACAGCTAAGGAGACAACGTTCGACATCTCAACGTGCCATGTCACAGACGCTTACTTCAGCTGCAAACTTAGCCAATCTCCTCCCCACCGGAACGCTCTTAGCTTTCACGCTCCTCATACCCGTCTTCACATCAAACGGCTCGTGCGACCACGCCACCCGCGTTTTAACCACGGTGCTCTTGACGCTTCTTGCCATTTCTTGCTTCCTCAGCTCCTTCACGGATAGCGTCAAGGCTGAAGACGGTAACGTGTATTACGGTTTTGCTACTCGTAAGGGCATGTGGGTTTTTGACTACCCTGACCCTAACGGTTTAGGTTTACCTGATCTTAGTAAATACCGTATAAGGATCGTCGACTGGATCCACGCTGTTCTGTCGGTTCTTGTGTTCGGTGCGGTGGCTTTGAGGGACAAGAACGCCGTTAGTTGTTTTTATCCGGCGCCAGAGCAAGAAACCAAGAAGGTTTTGGATATTGTTCCCATGGGTGTTGGCGTTTTATGCGGCTTGTTGTTCTTGGTTTTTCCGGCGAGAAGGCACGGTATCGGATATCCGGTCACCGGAGACGGTGGCCGCCGTTAGATTCTCTATTTATTTTCAGGAAAAATGTAAACAAATGATTCTTTTAATTTTTATTTCACGGTTGACAAATATTCGTTTATGTGATCATTTCGTGTTATGATTTGTCTTTTATGTGTATTCCTTCTTATCTTCTTCGTATTTTGATAATTATTAAAATGTTGAGTGGAAGATTATTTTGTGAATTGTATACGCAAGCAATCTTATAATATGTGCTACTAGCTGCTAGGTCATAAACTTGTCATACACTCCAGAGGAAACGTTTTAGAATTTCAATTATGTTAAGTCACAGTATTGAATAATATAACAAAGATTCAAGAACTATAGTAACTACCGAAATGAGATAATGAAAGAATAAAGAATTGTTGGATCTGCAAATTTTTCCTCAGGTTTCATTCATTCTCAGAGCTTAAAAAACCAAGCCTCTCTATTACAAAGAAACAATAAAATGGCTAGTGGAAATAGGTTTGCCAACTGTGAGCTGAGCTTGTAGTCCAACTAAGTCAATGTAATAAAAATTATGGTCAAGTGTTTGGTCGGGACTGGTACCTGCCATTTTACTCTGACTTTCATCTCTTGCCATGCTTATTCGAGACATACAGCCGTCGTGTCTTCCAAAGTGCAGGTTTATAAACTGCGTTCTCGGCATCCGTTTTACTTGGCATGGCCTTCACTATAAAATCTTCCATATGCAAACTTGTCAACCTTACCTTAACTCATACAAAGTCAATTCAGCTTTCTGTGCGAAAGCAAGAGCAGTTGGATCCGCTATGCAGCTATTCTATTGACAGCGGTTACAATCCAATGCTCTAGCTAATATGCAAGACCCTTCTGGCTTTCACAGCAAAACCTCTGATTTATGTTTACTCCAATTGTCCAACTGAGTCTACAAGAAGCTAATTCAGGCCTTCACACCTGAAAATGTGCTTGGACAGTCAATTCAGCTGTCCTTACTTAACCCAGTCATAGAATCTCATTCACTTCCATTATGAATTCCGGCTATATGACTATCCTGTGTGATCACCGGCTGCTATGTGCATAAATTTCTCCATCTTCACAAGCTTTGATTGCTCTCTTTTTTTGGTTGCTTCTCTCAATTCCATGCACATAGTCTCGTTTCTTTACCTTCCCCGATTTGCTCATAAGATACAAGTACCTAGGTCTCATCCCCATCAATGGATGTCTCTCTATCAAGAAAACTTTGTGGTAAGCTTCCCTTAGGACAACAGTTTGGGTCCGAATCTTGTGCGACATATAAAATATACCCGGGTGGTGCACTAAAGCCTTCTTGAACCGTATCCCGAACCCTAAATACTCACCTAAGCAAAGCACATTGTCTGTCTCAGTCTTCTTCGATACTAAGATGCACAGAAGCTCATGAAGTACTGCGACCGCCCACTTCTCAGCCTGATCACTGCTCGACCCCAAGTGAAAGGCATTTTCATAAGGTGAGATGTAAGGAAGATTTTGCCATTGCTCAACCCATTCTTTCACTCGTTTATCCAACTCGTACCCTTTGGGGAAATTCATCGAATACCTTATAGGCAACCCCTTTTTCACACGAAAACCATCAACGATGGCTTCTCTTCTCTCCATTTCCGACACAGCGAGGCTGCTCCACCGCGAAGAAACCGCCAAAGCAAGCGTCTGTTCACCCGTTAACCGATCTCTGATCTCCGTTACTTCAAAATAATCCGGGTAATCGCCAATCAGCGAAGTAATGTAATCGTGAGGGAGACCCAAATCGAACCTGAAACGATCGACGACATTGAGGGGAAGACTTCCGGCTCCCGTTAGCATTAAGAATTTCGCCAGCCGTTGAACGGTGGCGTTGCGGTGAGGTGGCGAGAGGTGAATCATCTCTTCTTCTTTGTGGAGGGATAGAGCTTGGGGAGTGAGGCGCACGTGGAGAGGGTGAGAAGGAGCAGGCTGAAAAGTGGTGAACAGAGAAGGGTATTTCTGGAGAAACACGGCGGCGGTTATGTGGAGATTGACGAGAGGCTTGAGGAGTGAGAGGGAAGAGAGAGGGAGTGATTTGGACGGAGACGATACGATTCGATCCTTGAGGGAGAGAACTTGCTTGAGGTTTTTCTCTCGTTGAACAACTTCGTCGAGGTAATGATCACAAACCCATTTGACTCTAGCATTGACGAAGGTGCGCCTTTGTTGCAGAGCTCTCCCCAGCTTTGTGGTTGCAGCTGCCATTAGAACAAAAATAAAAGTTTGGCCCTTGAAATGTGAAGCATTGGTCCTGTGTCTGTTGATATTCATTCAGTAACTTTTAGAGATGACTTTAGCAATTAATACTTCAAACAAATTGAAAGTTACAATTTGTAACACATCTTTTGCATAACCGACTGGGAACCAAGGATGTTACTTTCTTAAGTGGACATGAAACGAGGCCTAAAACTTCAAAACTCAAATTATGATTCAAAGAGGTTCTGGAGGATTATCGGAAACACTGCCTCAGTGCCACTATAAGGATAACCGTAGTGAAGTAAAAATTAACTGCAAGTAGAGATTCTTCAAGGTAAGAAAAATATCTAATCGAAAGGACTAAAAGGGGAGTGGAGGAAGAGATAGCTATTCCAATGGCGAGCATGAGATGAGAGAGATGTCCCTATGCCTGAGTCTAGTGACCCCGACTCATCTTAACTTTCGGCATTGACTTTTTCATCTGGCGTGCACGTTCCTTTGCTTCTTTCTTCCTTAGAGCCTCTGCGCTAAGCTTTGCCTCTGCCTCCTCCAATATTTTCTTCTTTTCGGCTTTCTTTCTCAGCAATGCCTCCTGTCTCACATTCTGAAGTTCCTTGTACGCTTCCTGAGCCGCCTTTTGTCTAGCACCATCAGTTTTGTTCTTTGCCTGTATACAGCAAGTAAACTTACTCAACCTGTCACAATTTGTGATAAAATGACAAGTGATTAAAAGTTTGCCCCCTATACCTGTGAGCTGAGCTTGTAGCGTCCAACTAAGTCAATGTAATACGGAATTAGCGCTATCAACCGAACCATATCCTCCATGTTTTTGGCATCAGGCAGCGCAAACTTGAAAAGCAGCATCTTCCTGTGTTTGCCAGGATGTTGGTCCGAAAAATGCATTGAGATAAAATACTTTCCAAGCCTTTCGAAAGACTTGTCACCAAAAACCTGCAGAACCCAGTTGCATCAGTGAAGTCTGATATGTACAACAGATCATTTGAGGAGATAGAAATTCTAAATTTACGACAATGAAACAGTAGGCGTACCGAGCAAGAGCATTTAAATGAATAAACATCAAAGAAAAACGCAGTATCAAATGCTCTTTTGAATGTAAGAGACAGGAGCATCATACACACTAAAAGTAATTCACCCTTATTACATTTCGAAATCAGGTAGCGATCATTCAACCTATCAGTTCCAGCTTGACAGAGAGACAAGCTAACTGGATTCATACCAAAAGCTGGTATGGTTCTTAGAAAACGGAACTGCCCAGCTATAGTTCCCAACTAACTGATCACTGGAGTTCTTACTCTGATCAAGCCCCTCTCTTTCGAGTAATTATAACTCATTTTTCTTAGCCAAGTCACTAAGTGAGGCCAGGGCATCTAGGGGTTGGAGTGAAAACCAGTTAACTCTCTCAAAACTTCCTATGAATTTACCATTAAATGCTTAGGCTTCGGTTCGAGAAGAAAATAAACTAAACTTCTATCATCGCAATCATCACCAAACAACGAGAAAATCAAAAAGATTCAGTATCTGACCTGTTCAAGTACAATATCTGTGAGCATATCCCCAGCTACCTCTTTAGACTCAGAGACCACAGCTAACTCATCCGATACCCACTTTCTTCCTCCGGGAACGGGAACCATGCCCCCGAATCTCTGCAGATCCCTCAGCTCCTTGTGCATCGTTTTGGCCGCCTTCTTCCTGGCCATGGCAAACACAATGTGATCCATAGCTTCATCATTCATATACACCTCGAAACTGATCTCATCTTTACAAGGCACAACCAAGTTGAATAGCCTCGAGATGAGATCGTGTCTGCTCTTAAGCTCCATGGTCGCCAATAGCCCATGGCAATACCTACGCCCACTCGCGTAGAACTTAAACACATTCGTCGCTTCTTTAAGCAACAACGGCGAGTCCTCTCCTTCCCCAACTCCAAGCAAACTGAAGTTTTTCTCAAAAATGGTATCTTTGAGACCAAATTTCGAAGCCCAAGCCAAAGCAAGATTTTCATTCTCACGTTTTCCAGTGAAGTAATTGATCGCGTAACCAATCAAGATAGAGACGCAAATAATCTCCACCGTGTAAGATTGCTTCTTCTTCGAAACGTCAGTATCCGCAGTTTCTGAAGCAGACTCAAGATCTGGGGTCTGTGAATCGGAAGGAGTAGCGTTATCGGAAACAACCGGAGATTCAGTGGATTTCTCCTCCTCAGGCAGTCCCTCGAACTCATCTTCATCCCAGTAATCAAAGGAAATGGACGAAGGCTTCACGGTCTGAGTGGGAGGATCCGATTTAGATACAGGAGCAGAATCAGATTCGGAAGATGGTTCCAGATCCAGAACCGTTGACTCAGACTGAGTCACGAGAGGAGGACGGAGCGAGTGGTGAAGGTCAGTGGAATCTTCCAAGACATCGTCGTCTTCAGCATCGAAACCTTCGAAGTCGGAAGAAGAAGCGTGAACACGAAGATGCAGGCAGAGGAAAGCGATGAGAGCGATGGAGAAGAAAGAAACGAGACGATTCATCGTTGGATCCGTAGAGAAGATGAACTACTCTCTCAGGCTCAGCTCCGAGAAAAAAAAAAGTTAGAAAGAGTTGCGTCGTGGTGCTTCGCCACCAATAGCGTAAATATCAGATCTTTATTTACAGTAAAACCTCTATAAATTAATACTCGATAAATTAATAATCTCTATAAACTAATAAATTTTTCCGATCCTAACTTGGGAACAGTATAATTTTAGACACATTTCGATAAAATAATAAGATAATAAATTTTTTGAAAATCCTTTGTAAATATATGGTCCCATCAATATTATAAATTAATAATTACGTAAATTTTTCAAAATATATGTATATATAGACACATTAGTTTTTGTTAAATTTTATGTCTAATATTTTACTATATGAAATATAGTTAGCATTCTCTTTTAATACATAATAATTAGGGAGATTCTCGTGGATACCATATACCATGATTTTATGTTTTGTGGCCACAAATACCATAGGCCCATTTTCATTAATTCAAATGACTAAAACACCCTCATCTTTCTCCAACCTTTGATGTTGCGATCTGCGTCGTCTCTTTGCTTCACATCACAACAAAAGATCAGATAAAGGGGTTGCCGGATTCTCGTTATCTTGCCGGTATCTTGTCGCCGGTATACCGTTGTTTCACTTCGTGATCTCGCCGTTTCGTTCCGACTCATCACCTTGCTTGGATTCGACTTATTACATGGACGGGCTTCATCTCATCTCGCCTTAGTCACCATCTTCTCAATTCATCCAGAGATCTGATACACCTTGCCTCACTTCATCTAGTGCTGACATAAAATTTAGTCATATTCTAGGGTGCTTTCAATTTCTGGTTTTGAAAGCTTTTCAATTTCTGGTTTTGAAAGCTTTTCAATTTTTGCCTTTCGTCAAAATAAGTGGATCTTTTGCTGTAATTTTGATCAATTGATTGAATTTTTGCAGTGATGGAAGATGGTTTATAATGGATGTATGGAGAATTGGAGTTAGCATCTTATGGTTTAAGTAAGGAATCAATGGTATTTTATCTCTCTGTTGGTTATTCTATCACTCTTGTTCTCGGTCCTATACATGGTGCCATGCAAACTTTGAATTCCATATTTTTGTTTTTAACTTTGATTCATATGGTGCCTAGTAACGATAATATCGATACGTTTGTATATAAGGTTCAGAAAAGAAATTTCTACTATATTGCATTGTCTTGTACTTCGTTGTTGGTGTGTGGAAGAGGATTATTTCTCTATGTATAATGTCATCGAAAAGAAAGAAACTCCCTGAGGCAAGGTGTATTATCTAAAGTACATGTCCAACACTAAGCCAATTAGGTGCAAAATTGAGTAGATGCTTAAGTTTATAACTGAAATTGCAGTAGATTCTTATGTTTTCTACTGAAATTTCAGTAGACTTTTTGTTGTGGTTTTTCTTCTTAATGCATTGATTAGGTCTTCCTAAACTAGTTTACTATAGTGGGTCTTCTTCTCCGTAGAACATGTGATGCTAGTTTTGTTGGATACAATGGGGATGCTAGACTTTGGTTAAATTAATGCTATATTTTCTAAACTAGTTTTGGTCTACTTGACTTGGTCGTTTTATTGTTGCAGGATAAGTTTAGTATAAGTGTCTTTGTGATAAGTCCTAAAACTCGATGTTCTTGAAATTGCTTCACATAAAACCATGTTACTTTTATAGGTTCTAATTAAAATGTTTTGGTTTGAACTCCAGTGAGCCACTTATACCATGTTATCACTCTAATCTCTTGCTGCTTATGTATTGTTTATTGGTTGTTGCTTGTGTATTGATGTGTTTTTGAGTCGTGTTTTTAAATTCAGGAATAATTTTATATTGTAGTCTTTTTCTAATGAAGATGATTGAATGTCCTCTTTGGGCATTCAACATTTCTCCAAGCTACGTGATGTAACTATTGATGACATACAAGATGCAAGTTGGTTTTGGATATCTTTGAGGGTGTGTTAACATAGAAATATGTTTCATTTTATTTATCTGTTGTTTGGAGATTTATTATGCTTGTAAAACCTGTTTAAACTATTTTGGTACTTGTATGATGTTAACAATTATTAAAGTAATTATGAATTATGATTGAGATTGCTACATGTTCTCCTAAATTTCAAGGATTCCTTAAAAATTCAGGAAGGTTTCTGTGTAATATTTAGGAAGGTTTTCGTGAAATTCAGGAAGGCTTCCATGCAATTCATGAAAGATATCTTGAACTTCAGGATGACCTTCATAAAACGTAAAAAAAGATGTAATACACACCCTAACAAGATTTGAAACCTAGATCTTTGGTAATGTAATAGAACTCGTGACCAATAAGTCCAGCTTTTTGTTTGAGGAAACTGTAACAACAAAAATAAAAATAGGCAAAACATGAGACTTAATATTGGTAATAAGTCAGGATGTGTGCACACAAATGAAATTATTACCTCTCAATAATGGAGTGATATGTGATCCATTGATGCAAAATATATAATAAAAAGAATTAAAAAAATATATTTATTTAATTTTCAGGAAGCACATAAATGATGTTTAGGAAGGTCCTTTGAAATCAGGATTACATTCATAAAAAAGTTTAGGAAAGCTTTCATAAACAAATTTTACTTATTTTCATTTTTACAACATGAAATGAGATATTATTTTCTTACAAATATCACACTGCCTCAGCTCCATTTAATTTTCATTACCGCTCATTAAATAGAGAAATTTTTTATACATTAAGGCAAAATATAATTTTTAGGAAGACAAATAGACTTTAAAAATCCAAATTAGAAAGGATTACATAATGTTTAGGAAGACATTCTTAAAATTTAGGAAGACATTCTTAAAATTTAGGAAGATCTCTTGAAATGTTAGGAATGTCTTTCCAAATTTGTTTTAAGCCTAAGTTATACTTGTGGCTATCGAGTATAACCGATCATCTCCATCTTTTTTTGTAACTACTAACAACGTTTACTTGAATTATCTCTTTAGAAAGATACCATCAATCATTTTTCTCATCATTGAATGAAATTCTTAGCTTTTTCCAAGCATTTCTGTTTCCATAAGTTATTGCCTGAAGCCATAAACTGCATCTATATACAAAGGCAAGCCATCTTTGCAATACTCACATGAGGAAGCAACTGTAGTATCTTCAGTTTTGGCTCTGTTGGTAAACATATCAAACATGGTGGAGGTTCCAAGCCAGCTTTATTGCAAAGACTAATCAACAATGGGATAACAATACCATATGTTACCATACTTGAACAACCTTCTTTGTACGATTTCAATACCATAACAAAATGAATAACAAATACAAGCCTACTCCTATTGAGATTCATGTGTTCTTTCCTTCCCACTAGATCCACCTATAAGTTTTTTAGGTACAACATACATGTCAAGCTACTAAATACAAAGCATGGATCATAAAATCTCAGAGTTCAAATAGACTTAAAACAACATTAAAAGTCATAAATTCGCAGGATGAGCTAGAACCTGAAATGCATGTCCAGCGAGAACAAGCTTCCATTATTTTTTCCAAGAAAATATGCTTCTAATGTTTCTTCTGAGTACATTGTCTCCATAACTTCACATAGATACATAAAAAAAAACAATTCATGCATGAATCTGAAACTACATAATTTTAACAGATTGACTTTGGGATTAAACACATGAAACAAAATTAACAAGGTAAAATGCAAGTGCTTATTGCAAACATCACATAAACATAATTCAAGATGAATATGGTTAAGGAGGTAATCTTATATTGAACCAAACAATGTGATTCACCATAATCAATACGAATACATAGACCTTTATGAATCCAATACCCATCGAATCAAGAATAATCGCCTAATTGCTCTTTGATTGAGGAGCTATGGTTTCATAATCTCCCAATTTCACACCCAATGATTTGCCTCACGAGAGTACTATATAACCATGTAAATTTTATTATAATTGAAATCAAACATATTGAATTCAAAAGTAACGATGATGGAGAAAGACGGCACCAGAGCTTGAAGATGTCGGAGACGACGATCCCGGAGACGACGATGTCAGCAATGACGATGCCGGAGATTGACGACGTCGGAGACGATGATACCGGAGACGACGATCTCGGAGACGACAATCTCGGAGACGATGATACCGGAGACGATGATCTCGGAGACGACGATGTCAGCGATGACGATGTCGAAGATTTGTGATATCGAAGGAAGATGATGGTAAGGAATAAATATACGACGTCGTAACTAGGTAGATCCGTCTAATCTCGCCGAAATCGATGTCGGAGAATGACGAAAGAGATGATAGAGTCAATCGATATCACACCAAAATTTCACTTGTTTGTTGTTTTAGCAGAAGGGTATAGTAGTCTTTGTAATCAATAAATTAATGGTATTAATGGAAAATTATGGAGTGTGTGTTATATTAGGAACAAAAATTAGATTTGATGGTATTCTAGGGTATTTCTCTAATAATTATTGTTTTATTTGTAATTGATTATATAAAATACTAATTATCATGATTAAATCTTATTTTTAAATATTGTTTTGAAAATATGTTCCAAATTAGGAATATCTCTCTATAAATTAATAATTATTAATTTATCGATAAATTAATACCTCTATAAATTAATAGATTTTCATAGTCCCAACATTATTAATTTATAGAGGTTTTACTGTATATTTTTATTTTTGTGTTCCAAAAAAACTGAAAAAAATAATTAAGAGAAAAATAAACACAAAATTTATCTAATAAAATTGGGATTATAGCTCAGAAGTAAATTAATCATCGGGTCTAATGAGTACATATCTACCACATTTTGAACTTTAGTGTTGTTGCTTGAGTTTATAGGATCATAACAATTAAAGCTAGCAAATACAGGTGGACGATGTTAAGTAAAATGTCAACTACACTACCAATAGAGAGAAGAAGATTTCAAGAAATGTCAAGTTCCCGAGTGATAGTGATATGTTTCTCTGGTACAACTAGAAAGAAGAGTTCATCCTTCATCTCCTTCTACTTCCCCCTCATGGTGAGATAAATGGGCCGGTGGGCTCTGGCTTTAGAATTGGGGAAAAAGGTGTAAGTTACATCATTGACAATTTTGGGTTTGCAGCTATAGTATGTTGAAACCATGAGGAGTATTAAGTTTCTCTTGATCACCTATATGTACTAAGCTAAAAGGATCAATAAACTCCCACTTTTAGACTGGATCAACCGAACTTGATCAATTTAATCATTAAGCCATAAATATATGAGTTACATACCACAAGTCGATCTAAACTCTAAAGTGCCATGCAAATTCTTTCATCCTCTAAAGAAATGTGCAATGATCTCTTTAAGGTTTTGATTTTGATCGAGTTTGTGTACTTAACTCTTATAAAATCTCGTAAAGTTAAACAAAAAAGAAGAAAAGAGAAACTCAAATTAAAGATTATGATGTTTTTCGTAAATGATCCATAGGAAATTTATTGGTCAAACTCATGTTTCATATTTGATCTCGTATACCGAACCTCCAACATATCATATATAATAATAAGTGTGAAGCTGCATGTTTAATGTGTATATTATAATATCAATTGAAGACAAAAATAATCAAGCAAACGAGAATAACGAGGGAAGAAGAAACATCATACTAGCTTCCGTTCATCTGATCTCAGGCTCGTTGAGGTTTGGTCTTGAATGCTATATATACGCGTATACCTGCAGAGCTCATGTGGATTTAAATCTCAAACCAACCAAACAGATATGGCTTCCCATGACCACACTCTTTGTCTTCTTCTTCCTCTGCTCTTCATTATCTTCATCTCTTCCTCACACGTTTTGCTTGTTTCATCCACACCTTCACACAAACTAGAATCCGTCATCACCATCAGAAAAGTCAACCGCAGAGGACCTTACATCGGCCTCGTGACAGTCTTTGAGACTGAAGAAGATGCTTTTCTCGGCAGTGTCGATTTCAGACCCGACCCTAGTCATCCCTTCTTGGATCTCTCTGGTATCTAATTAAACATCTATACTGAACTTAATTTACCACTTGAATCAATCTTTTGTTTTCCAAGTTGTCCATCTTACGAGTCTTGTAGTTAAATGTAAGCTAGTACTAGTTTCTGATGATGAGTATTGAGTAACATGAATGCAGGAAGACGTTTTCGGATTGGAAAGATTCATGGCAAGAAGGTTGTGTACGTCAGATGTGGCATAGGAATGGTGAGTAACCACAACACATTTAAGTTGACCAAAACAAGATAGGTTACAACTGGTTATTGTATTTCTTACCTAAACAAGTAGTATACAGCATGGATGAGCACATGCCAAATCAAGGTGTGGGGCTGTGGGCGCAGACCAAATCCTGGATCCGAATAAAATATAACATAATGTTAAAATAATCGAAATGATGATATAAATAAAAAATATAACATAATGTTTCATACATACACATCCTTACAAAAATAGCAAATTAGTAGACTCAAAAATGGAGGTGGTAAATGTAATTTTTTTAAAAAAAAATGCAGGTGAACGCAGCAGCAGCAACACAACAGATGTTAGATGTGTTCAACGTGAAAGGGATCGTTCACTTTGGTATTGCAGGAAATATAAACAACTCAATGTCCATTGGAGATGTGAGCATTCCTAAGCAAATCACCAATGCTGGCTTGTGGGATTGGCTGGTAATTTTGTTTTAATTACACAATTTTGATATACTGATATATAATTAGTTGCTTCTAATTCATATTGTCTTATGCTTTTTGAATGATTCTTCACAGAATCCAGACAAAGCAAAGGGAGGTGAGGATGTAGCGTACTTAGATGTTGGGAACTATAATGTTCCACAAGGAGATGGCAAAAATGAGCTAGGGACTATTGGATATAGTTCCGAGGAATTATATTCAGTCAATGGTCCTATCAACTCACCTCAGAAAGTGTTTTGGATAAACACAACTCAAGAGTGGCTTCATCTTGCAGCTGGTCTAGAGGTTTGTTAACAATGATTAATTATATTTTGATTAGATTCGAGCTTTGCAATAGTTCCATTGTTAAAGGGTTGTTCTTCTTATGGTATATGGCTGCAGAAGATTGAGCTATTGCAGTGTGTGAACTCAACTTTGTGTCTTCCAGAGAAACCAAAATTGGTGATTGGATTGAAAGCAGCCACTGCTGACATATTTGTGGATAATGCAGCCTATAGAAATTTCTTATACAATTCTTTTGGGGTTTCTTCCTCAGATATGGAGAGCTCTGCAGTGGCTATGGTAAGAGTGATAATATTATTCATGTTTGAATCATTAATTTCATGACTTAATTTGATCTAAAGTGTTATTTTGTTTTGTTTGTGTTTTGATTTGACCAGACGTGCGTGTCAAATGGGTATCCAATCATTGTGATAAGGGGACTATCAGATTTAGCAGGAGTGGGAGATAACACTGTTAGAAAGTTTGGATCATTGGCTGCCACTAACACTGCCAAAGCTGTTTTAGAGTTCATTAAAAAGCTCCCACCGTACCACAAGACTAATCCCTATGTGTAACCTCTTGTTAATTATGAATGTTTGAAACTGCATTTTTTATTATTAAATAAGCAAAGCAACAAATGTTGCTGTTGATTACATATTGAACTCTAATTTTCAACACAATGTTTCTCAATATTTTTCAACATGACATTGAACTGTATCAGTATTATAGCAACTAGCAAGAAAGCACAAATACATATTGCGCAGCCGTATGTTTACTGAAACGAAAATCACGTGGAAAGAAGAAATTTCTTACAGTAAAGATTCTTACTAATTTACTAGTTTCTGCTTATAGCAGCCTCGTAGAGGTTAGAATTGGTCCACTTGGACACTATATATGAATGATATGCTTACATATGAGCTGTGAGTTTATATCTCAAACCAACCAGTCAGATGGCTTCCCAGGACCACACTCTTTGTCTACTTCCTCTGTTCTTCATCATCATCATCTCTTCCTTCCACGTTTTGCCAGTTTCACCTACACCTTCTAACAAACTAGAATCCGCCATTCCCATCAGAAGACTCAACCGCAGAGGAACTTACATCGGCCTGGTGACAGTCATTGAGACCGAAGAAGATGCTTTTCTCCGCAGTGTCGATTTCAGACCTGACCCTACTCATCCTTTCTTGGATCTCTCTGGTATCTACTGAACTTCATTTACGACTTGAATCAAACTCTTTTCTTTCAATGTTTTCTACCTTAAGAGACTGATCCTTTTTGTTTTGGTTAAATGGACATAAGTTCCTTTGAGATGAAAATGTAAGATAGTGATCATTGTTGTTATGACTACTCTACGTATATGAATGCAGGAAGACGTTTTCGAATAGGGAAGATTCATGAAAAAAAGGTTGTGTATGTCAGATGTGGGAGAGGATTGGTGAGTAACCACAACATCTTGTGACCAAAACAAAATACAACAAGAAAAAGAGTTTGTCTGGTTATTATTTTTATCTAAGAAACTAGTACACACACTAGCGATAAGGACAACATTATCTTGATGCTTGAGTCTTGACCCACATAAAATAGAATAATTCAAATGAGAAGAAAAAACTTATGTCAACATCACAGAATGAATGAAGAAAAAAAAAGTTTTATATGAATGTTTTAGTCCATATTTATTCTTCTGTTACACTCAATAAAAAAAGGAGATATGGTAAATGTTAATAAGAAATTTTGCAGGTGAACGCAGCAGCAGTAACACAACAGATGATAGATGTGTTCAATGTGAAAGGGATCGTTCACTTTGGTATTGCAGGAAATATAAACAACTCAATGTCCATAGGAGATGTGAGCATTCCTAAGCAAATCACCAATGCTGGCTTGTGGGATTGGCTGGTAATTTCTTTTTAAGTGAACTAGTTCGATAATGATATATAATTAGTTGCTTCTTCATATTGTCTGATGATCTCCAGTACGATTAAAAACAGAATCCAGGCAAAACAAAGGGAGGTGCGGATGTAGTGGACTTAGATATGGGGAACTATAATATTCCACAAGGAGATGGTAACAATGAGTTAGGGAGTCTCAGATACGGTAAGGAGCAACTATATTCAGTCACTGGTCACATCAATTCACCTCAGAACGTGTTTTGGATCAATACAACTCAAGAGTGGCTTCATCTTGCAGCTGATCTTGAGGTTTGTTAAGAAGGATCTATACTGATTAGGTAGTAATAAAGAATGGTTCCACTTGTTAACGACAGTTCTTCATATGGTATATGGGTGCAGAAGATGGAGCTGTCGCAGTGTGTGAATGCAAGTTTGTGCCTTCCCCAGAAACCAAAGTTGGTGGTTGGATTAAAAGCAGCCACTGCTGACATATTTGTGGATAATGCAGCCTATAGAAAGTTCTTATACGATACTTTTGGGGTTTCCTCCTCAGATATGGAGAGTTCTGCAGTGGCTATGGTAATTATTCATCTTTGAAACATTTAAGATCACCTTAATTTTGACTATTCAAGTGACATGTTTGTGTTTTGATTTGAGCTAGACGTGCGTATCAAATGGGTATCCAATAATCGTGATAAGGGGATTGTCAGATTTAGCTGGAGTAGGAGGAGACAACACTGTTCATAAGTTTGGATCTTTGGCTGCCACTAACACTGTCAAAGCTGTTTTGGAGTTCATTAAGAAGCTCCCACCGTCCTAAGTGTAACCTATCATGATCATGAATCTACTTCTCTACTTGATAGCAAATGATTTGGATTGTGTTCTCAATTCCATTTTTCACTGATCGTAAAAATGGCACTATACAATGGTATCAGGCAAATGACAACACTTGATCTGATATATCTGTGAATGCAAACATTAGAAAACACCTTACGGAGTTACACGTAGAGCCAAAGTTGTTATAATCAGGGTTTGGCACCTCTCTTTGAATCATCCTCATCATCGTCATCGGAACTCTGATTGTCATCATCGTCAGAAGGAGGTGAAGGATCGAGACGAGCGGCGTCTATAGCCCACTGAATCAGCTTTTCCACTTCAGCATCTTCTCCGATTTCATCACTATCTTCTCCGATTTGATCGTGAAGAAGAACAGGCTTCGAAACAGAGGACGAAGAAGACGCGGAGGGGAGAGAAGTCTTCAGAGCCGCGAATCTGAGCATGATATCTTCCGGCGTTTCTTCAATAACATCTTTTGATTTCGGCGGCGGCGGCGATCTCGGCCGTTGTTTCTGGTGATCGTTCGTCTTCTTCTGAGATTTGAGAGCGAGAAATCTGGAATGGAGATCTGGATCTAAGTAATCGGAAGAAGATCGAGAGGTGTGAGAATCAACGGAGAGCTTGAGTATCATCTCATCTTGAGCAGCTTGAAGCAACTGTTCCACTTCGTCTTCTTCCTTGCCTCTTCTCCTCATCTCCCTCCCTCTCTCTCGAATCTGTTTGACAACAATATTGATAAAGAAAATCAATTTTAAAAACCGGATTTGACTTATGATTGTAGAAGTTCTACACTAGTTCTAGACTATAAAACCCGGTTTAGTACTGGTTCGACTTTAATTGGACCGACGCCTAACTAGCCGACGAATGATGTCGTTTCTCACACGGGTGGTAGATTCCAAATTCCCGTGAAATAAGAATAATCTTGACCGTCCGGTGTAAACACTGATTGTTTCCAGGCCGTTGATTTATGACCAAAATTTGCCAACCAATCAGGTTGGCCCAATCTAGCGACCTTGTTTTGGTATTCACATGTGCGATAAAAAATTAAAAAAGATGATGAAAAAAAGGAGAAAAAGTGATATATAAATGTGAACAACGATGGTTCCTAGAAGAAGGAAGATATTTGGTATTTGCATTGCAACAGAGAGCTTGAAGGGGGAAGACAAAACAACAATAACAAAACTGTGTGAATTGTGTAAGAAAGGGAAAAAGAAAATGGGAAGCGAAGGAGGAGGAGCGATTGTGAGGAAACCAAGGTTTTTGTGTCTCCATGGATTCCGTACGAGCGGAGAGATAATGAAGATACAGCTTCACAAATGGCCTAAATCTGTAATCGACCGGCTAGATCTCGTGTTCCTCGACGCGCCTTTTCCTTGTCAAGGCAAATCTGATGTCGAAGGCATCTTCGATCCTCCTTATTACGAGTGGTTTCAGTTCAACAAGGTCTTTTTTTTGTTTTCTCCCCTCTTTTCTTATATGTCTCCAACTCTCGATTCGTGTGTTTTATATTTACGTTGGGAAACTTTAAAATTCAGGAATTCACAGAGTATACCAACTTCGAGAAATGTTTGGAGTATCTTGAGGATCGTATGATCAAGCTTGGTCCCTTTGATGGTCTCATTGGGTTTTCTCAGGTAATCTACATTTGGAGATTGCATCAACAGAGTCTGAGTTTTGCACTCTCTTTGAAATTCCAAATTTGACTTTTTGTTCTATCTCTCTATGTACAAATTATTGCAGGGGGCAATTTTGTCTGGGGGCTTACCAGGACTGCAAGCTAAGGTACGTGTCTATTTTACAAACACAAACATCACAATTATATTAACAAAGGCTTTTTCTGAATATTGTTTTTGCAAAAAAAAAAATTTGCAGGGAATTGCACTACAGAAAGTGCCAAAGATTAAGTATATCATAATCATTGGAGGAGCTATGTTCAAATCCACGAAGCTGATAGAGAATGCGTATTCGTCTTCCTTGGACACTCTCTCCCTCCACTTTCTAGGTAATATAATATTTGATGATCTATGATATCTCAACTCCAGTTTGCCAAGTTCTCCAACAAGGCTCATTTCATTGATGATGCTCGAATCTGGTTGCAGGAGAGACGGATTTCTTGAAACCTTACGGAACCGAGCTGATTGAATTCTTTAAGAGTCCGGTTGTCGTTCATCACCCCAAAGGCCATACCGTCCCGAGGCTTGATGAGAAAAGCTTGGAGAAAGTTACGGGTTTCATTGAGACATTAGAGCATCTGGTGATGGAGGAAGAGAAGAAGAATGATGAAGAAAACAATAGTAAGCAAAAATAGATAAGCTTAAGATGTTATGTATAACGAATAAATTCTTTGGAAAGTATTCCTAAAGTGGCTGTAAATAAGCCTGGCAATGTTTGTGAAAAACACCAATATTACCACACAAACAAAATAATACACGATTGATTCTTTCATAACCTTTTCTCCCTTTGCGGCTACACAACCAAATCAAATGGCAAAACAATCATACAGTGTATCTGAAGCACTTACAATTACGAACACTTTCTCTTCTGCTTGCTCGCTTTCTCCAAGCATTGGCCTCATTTGCACTCAAGTTTTTTTTCATAATATTGTTACAAACTTTGGAGCATCCTTCCTTGGGCCATCAAGGGACCGGTACAAGTACATTGTCTCAACATAATCCACAATGACAGTGTCGTCGTAATCATCATCTGACCCAAACACCTCCACCACTACATTAGGCAGAGCATGAGCAACATCCCTGCAGCATCCCCGAGATAAGGCACATGACGACAACCAAACAAACCTCATATTGCAATACCGATGCATACCAGAGCGCAATCCAGCATCCCCGAAGGGACTGTCCCTGATTTCAAGCTTTTGTAGTTTAGGACAACCCTCAAGAACATATCTCAGAGCCTTGTCACTGTTCCCAGCAAAAGCTACAGATAGCGTACGAATCAGCTTCCCATATTCTCCAATATAGCTAAAAGCTTCATCTGTTAGTAACCCAGATACTGCAAGTCTGGTTAGCTTCTTGCAGTTTTTAACAATGGCACCAAATCCGTCGTCCATTGGCTTTCCTGTCACATGGTCAGGCCTATGGCGACCCATTATGCAAAGCCTAAACACGGTAAGCTGGGGACAGTTCTCAGACATGGCTGTTACAGCTCCATTAGTCATCCGCTGGCAAAAGTACAGGATGGACTCTAGTTTTCTACAGCCCTCTGAAATTGCTTGGAGGCCTACTCCCGAGATAGGACCTTCGCTGTCTTCACGAGGATCGAAAGGGAAAACCCGAAGCTCACGAAGCTCCTTGCATGTTGCTGCCACTGCCTGTAATCCTTCATCGCATATGGAGTCAAGAGCCTGCGTTATAAAAGTTTCAAGATATACATGTAACTCAAGTTCCTCCATAGACAACATATCAAACTAAATTAGAAAATATGTTAGAAACCCATACAGTAATGATCAAGAAAGATACACATACCCAGAAGACTCGGATATTGTGACAGTTGCGTATGATGGGCTTGAGCATGTCAGGAGAAATGTTAGCATAACTGAAGTTAAGAGAAGTGAGATTGGCACAAACTGGAGAGATAGCTGGGAGATACTCGGGGGTCAATTCCCTGAATCCTGAGAGACAAGATATGGATTTACAAGCACGAAAAGCAGCTGCATAATCCGGTTCTTGTGCACCCTGAGGCACATTGTCTGGACTGAATGAGCCCGTCCCAAGACTGGTTAACTGCGGTGCTCGAACCATTAGTCGATGCAGCTCTTCAAGGGAAACAAACCTGTTCGTTCTAAGTTTCTTCAAGAACGGTGACCTAACCACAAGCCCCTCCAATGCCTTGAAATTGATAGGGGATTCTACACAGTCAAAAGATAAAGACTCCAGATGCGTTTCACCCGCAGGAAAACAAGAAATCCAATCCACCTCGTCATCGGTGACTTCTGACTCCAACAGATCAAGGACCCTAAGCTGTCTGAAACAAATTCCCACTTGATGAGTTTGATGAAAGACCTTTTTAACTTTTCTAAAAAGCTTGAAAATGATATGGATCCCTCAAGCATTTCAAAAAGACTCTCAGTAAATGAAAGAGAGGAGATCTACAAATTACCTGCATTTGTTAGCAACAACAGCTATACCACTAGTCCCAAAACCTTCACAGCAGACCAAAGTAAGATCCTTGAACCCAGGAAACGAGTCAGCGAGAAGAGCTAAATCATCATCCGTAACAAGCATGCGCTTCAAATGGACCTTCTCGAGCCAAGGGTAAGCCTTGGCAGTCGCAACAACCCAAGGAGCAAACTGAGCTCCCCAATTAGGAGGCATGAGATTAAAATCAGCAAACCTAGGTTTCCCTTTGAGCACTAAAGACCTAACACGCTTGAACCGGTGAGTAAGGCGAGCAGGAGAGAGCGAGTAGCAGTTACCGATAAAAACCTCGAATCGGGTCTGAGACTCGACTCGCCACCACGATTTGCAGACCAATGACACAGCGTTGCGATCGCATCTGGAAGTGAGGAACTGAAGCACGTTCTCAAGAACGTTCTCGAGGACATGGTCCGGACAGGGCGGCTCGAAAGATTTGAAATTGCGGGACTTGTTAGCCAATGCAGCAGCGGGAGGTGGTTCAGAAGCAGCGGCGGAGCGTGGATCCAACTTGAGATATCTCTTAACATCCTCTGACATTTTCGCTGAGCTATCTTCTTCTGTCATACAAGTAATATAAAATGAACACAAACAAGGGAGATTCTCCAAAGACTCTTACTTGATCTCTCCAAAATGATCTATCACCTTCTGTGCTATCTCTCTCTCTCTCTCTCAGATACAACAAAGTCCGATTCAGATGAAGAAAGAGATATGTAGGTAAAAAAAAAGAAGCTTTGGTCTATCGAGTTTTGGACTCTCTCTCTCTCTCCCCACTTCAGCTCCATTATTTGGGAGACTATTTCCCCATTCTTTTCTTTTTTAAAAAAATATATAGTTTTTTTTTTGTAGCTTTTTCGTTTTGTGTTTGTTTTGTATTGTAGCTCTAGCTCTGTTGATGAATGAAAAAGAGAAAAAGAGAGAAGTAAAAGAATGATCAAGTTTTTGACAAAAGAGGCAATAAACATCATTTTCTATCCTTTTAAAGATTCGTCCTTTGCATTTTTTTATAAGCTGTGTGACAGGTGACATGTAGAGAGATTAACTTGGTAATCATGTAAACTTGTATCTGAACAAATATTTAAAAGGTTTCTTAAAATGAATAATAATCTACAAATCACTTTTATCCCTTTTTTCTTAGTTATCATTGTTACAATTCAATCAGCTTTTTTACACATAAAATTCACAGGACAAATATTTGAAAATTGTGGCAAAATGTTCATTCCTATAATGCTCATCTAATAGTGAATCAGGCAGGAGGGTAAAAGAAAAATCATCCGCTAAAGACTTGCATTGGTTGATCTAAAGCAGTCTGATTTGGCCAGAAGATTAGATATAGAAAGAAAGAAGGCCAACTCAAAATATGTAAACGGAAATAAGCTTGGGCTTTCTATTAGGGCCTTGTACATCTCATAATATGGACATTGGATAACAACAAGAAGCAAAAGAACCATTGATTCAAAGGTGATGTTTACTCTGCGTCTCTGCCCATTAGCTTTGTTAATCTACATTTTAATGGGGTTGATTTGAAGATACATGCATGTTTATCTATTCAGCTAATCCCTTTCAAATATGCTTTCTAAAACTTCCAGAAGACAACTGTTAGGAAAGTACTAATAAGATCCTTTTCAACTATGCTTGTTAACTTTATGAAAAGGCAATTATTAGATTTAGAATGTTGGATAGGTTTCAAAAGAGAATTTAATGAAAAAAACCCTCAACATTGGCTGGATCCATTTTTAAACCCTCAACTATTTTTTTAGTAAATAAAACCCTAAACTAAAAAACATTAACAAATTTAACCCTCCGTCTATAAAAGCATACATTTATATCGTTACAATTTGGTATACTCTAGCAGAATAGTAAAACGAAAACCACTAGGCATATTTTTAAACATATTACAATCACAACACAATTTTCGATTATAGTATTCTGCAATTCCTGATGGAAAATATAAAATTTTCTCATATTTTATGCAAAATGCTTATTCTGAAACATATTTACAACAACAAACAAAAAAATTTGACTTACCACAATAATTTACAAAATTCAAACCAGATGAAATAGACATATGTTCCATCAATACCTCACTCCATAATGGAGACTCGATGAGTTAATGTCATCCATCATTAAATTTAATTATGCGTCTCACCCTCGATTAACTCTGTGTCAATCGCCTATTAAACCTACTTTAGTTTCTTTTTCACTAACCGTTCAACATTTGGAATTTTGAGGTTTTAGGATTTCACGATTTGAGAGTTTTTTTGGTGATCTATTATTCGACGTGTGAACGTTTATGGAAAACGAAGGTTCTTCAGAGAAGGTTTGTTGTTAATTTTTGTATTTAAAAACTAATGCTTAGTTTTTTTTTGTTTCAGTTAAACAAACGTTGATTGCGTAGAAGAGATTATTACGTGTGTTTAGGTTTTTTATAGGTGAAGGATTAAATTTGTTAATGTTTTTAGTTCAGGGTTTTATTTACCTAAAAAATAGTTGAGGGTTTAAAAATTGATCACACCAATGTTGAGGGGTTTTTTCATTAAATTCCCGAAAAATAAGCTTTAGCTGAAGAAAATATTCAAATTCAATCTTATTATAGAACGGGTCACCCGTATCAACAATGTTTAATTCCTAGTCTTGCTAACATAATAACTACAAATCGGTCGGTCTCTGTAGATAGACAGGTCACAGACTCACAGGTAGGTGTAGAAGTCGTATATGTGTGAAAATTATGGTATAAATATGTTGACCTTTACAATACAACAAAGAATGACGTGTAAACCCAAAATATTAGAATGTGGCAAGTAGTCGCCGAACACGTCTCTCTTCCTCGTCAAAAGTCTCTTTTTCTGACTGACTACTCCTTAACCCTAAACCCATGTTACTTGTTATTAGTTGTTATTACTCTTAATTGTTTGGCTTTAGACCCTTTAATTCTCCATTTGTTGTAATTAAGATAATTGATACACGTATCTCTTTCCCAAATTTGAGACATTCCTTAATTAATTAATCTCCTTCTCTACTCTGTATATTTGTCGTTGTAAATTTAATTTCAAAAAAAAAAAAAAAAAAAAAAGAGAATCATCAACTCCGTACTTTTTTTTCTTTTTTTTTCTTTTTTTTCTTTTTTTTCTTTTTGTGCCTTTCCTCTTTTCTCTCTCTGTCTCCTGTATCTTGTTCTCTAGTAGAGAGACTTTGAAATGCAGTGAAATTGAAATTAAGCAGAAATGGTGGTAAGGAAGGTTGGCAAGTATGAATTAGGTAGAACTATTGGCGAAGGCACCTTCGCTAAAGTCAAGTTCGCTCAGAATACGGAGACCGGTGAGAGCGTCGCTATGAAAATTGTGGATCGTAGTACCATCCTCAAGCGCAAGATGGTTGATCAGGTTCTCCTTCTCTTCTCTTCTTACTACTTCTTTCTCTCTTCGATTTGATTGTGTTATTCAGTTGTTTTAACAAAGGCCGTTGTGTTTATTATGAGCAGATTAAGAGAGAGATCTCAATAATGAAGCTTGTTCGTCATCCTTGTGTTGTTCGTCTTTATGAGGCAAGTGAATGTTTTGCTTCTTCGTCTCTGCTCTTTTTTTTTTTTTTTTTTTTTTTTTACTGAAAGGTTGTTGCTTTCATGATGGGTATTTGATCTTTGCTCCTTTTTTTTAGGTTCTGGCGAGCCGAACAAAGATTTATATCATCCTGGAGTACATTACTGGTGGTGAACTGTTTGATAAAATTGTGAGTTAAGCTCAACTCAAGACTCAAGTACCTTGTCGTGATGATTTTTGTTTTTTCTGTGTTTTGTACTCTGTAAGCCATTATATCTGATTCACCTGTTTCATTGCTACAGGTTCGTAGTGGGCGTCTTGGTGAATCAGAAGCTAGGAAATACTTTCACCAGCTTATTGATGGAGTTGATTACTGCCACAGTAAAGGTGTCTACCATAGAGATCTAAAGGTGATTTCTTGCTGACTATCAACACCTTTCCATTGCTTGTTTGTTGATCTGATGATTGTCTTGTGTCAATTGCAGCCGGAAAATCTTCTGCTGGATTCTCAAGGAAACCTGAAGATATCTGATTTTGGCCTCAGTGCATTGCCAGAACAAGTAATGGGGGCTCTCAGTTTCATCTTTCTTTCAAATCTCGATAAATTAGTTTGTTATTGCATCATTATCAATTAAATTATCTTACTTTGATCTGAAGGGAGTGACCATCCTAAAGACAACATGTGGAACTCCCAATTACGTTGCTCCTGAGGTAATACATATATCACAATGGTTTGACATAGGATGTATATTTTTTTTTTTATTGTAGCTTATGTGTTCTTGTTCGTTTTTGGTTTAGGTTCTTAGTCACAAGGGTTACAATGGTGCCGTGGCAGATGTATGGTCCTGTGGGATTATCCTTTATGTTCTTATGGCAGGATATCTTCCATTTGATGAACTTGATCTGCCAACTTTATATAGTAAGGCATGAGCTCTTCTGTTGTTGCTTCAGGATTCTTGTTATTTCGTTTTTTGTAAAGCTTCATGTTTCTGCCAAGTTTAACTATCCCAATGAAGTATTAAGATTGAACAAGGAATACCTAGAGAACCTGTAATAAAAATGGTTATGGCTTAGTTAATTTCACTGTAGTCAATAGTCTCTTTTTTGTAAATCTAAAGTGTTATGTGACTATTAGCTTGTATGGCATCTACGTACTCTATTTCTGATATGGTTTCCTTTCCAACATTTTTTCAGATTGACAAAGCTGAGTTTGCTTGTCCCTCATATTTTGCTTTGGGGGCAAAGTCCTTGATTAATAGAATCTTGGATCCAAATCCTGAAACTGTAAGTTTTGAGTTTTCCTTGCGGAAATATTTGCTTAAATCTTAATTCTGTCTGCTGTATTTGAGAGATGTGTCTCATGTTGAAAGTGCAGCAGTTTGAATGTACAGATACAGTATGTAGATTACGTTATAGTATATGACCTGACGCTGTTGAATCATATCATTATGTTCAACGCTCAAATAGACCCTAAAAGTATATACCTATTCTTCCATAACTTTCCTGGATCATTTGGAAGGTCTATACAACATGGATAAGATGTTAATTGAATGCATTACATGACATAGTTGTGGGTGAAGTTGTCCACAGATACTCTTTTCATCTCAAGTTGCAAATTCTGACAAGTGTAGCCTTGCTCATTTTTTTCTGGCAGCGAATTACAATTGCAGAAATCAGGAAAGATGACTGGTTTCTAAAGGATTACACTCCTGTACAACTTATCGATTACGAACATGTAAACCTGGATGATGTATATGCTGCTTTTGATGATCCGGAGGTAGGATTCAGTTGGCACAGTTCTTTGTCCCCTGTTTGTTTGTTATTGAGTATTGTGTATAAAGCATGTGTTTCAAGAGTCACTTGTTGTTCTAATTTTAATGAGATTATTCTTCTGCCTGCACTCAGAATGATGTAATATTTATATGTTCTATGTAACATTATACGTTGCAGGAACAAATATATGCACAGGATGGAACAGGGGACACTGGTCCACTGACTCTAAATGCGTTTGACCTAATTGTTCTATCTCAGGGCCTGAACCTCGCAACTCTTTTTGACCGTGGAAAGGTACAGTGCTGGGCATGACCGGCTGTGTGCATTCCTCTTCCTTATTCAGTTGTTTTTTTTTCTCATTTCTCTATGTTATATATTTAGTTCGTTAATTTGTTAAGTGTATCACAGGACTCTATGAAGCATCAGACAAGGTTCATCTCACACAAGCCAGCAAACGTGGTTCTTTCAAGCATGGAAGTTGTGTCACAGTCCATGGGCTTTAAGACACACATTCGTAATTACAAGGTAAGAAACTAGAGTAAGAGTTGCTTTGGCAAGGCATTCTCATCGGTTGATGAAATTGCTTCATTGTTTTTGGTGATGTGTAGCTTAATATGTCTTGAGAGTTTCATCTAAACCTGTATTTGGGCTCCAATTTCAACTTTCAGATGAGAGTAGAAGGATTATCTGCAAATAAGACGTCCCACTTCTCAGTTATTCTAGAAGTAAATTCTCTTACATCTCTTAATAACCAATCTGTCTTTTTATTGTGGTCTCTCTTATCTCTCAACCTCTCATAAAATAATTTTCAAATGTGAAGGTCTTCAAAGTTGCACCATCAATTCTCATGGTGGACATTCAAAACGCAGCAGGAGACACAGAAGAATACCTAAAGGTTAGTTTCAGAAGAAGACCTTAACGTTATAAGTTTCACCATAAGGTTTTTGTGACTCAATTCTCAGAATAGTAAAACCAGTTAATGTCTTTTGCAGTTCTACAAGACTTTTTGTAGTAAGCTTGATGACATCATTTGGAAGCCGCCAGATGCATCTGTGAGAAATCGAGTCACCAAGGCCAAGAGTAAAAGACGTTGAATCCATGTGAGTTATTCAAGCAGAGCTTCCACAGAACACAGTTCGAAACAACAATATATAACTCTCTGTATATCATTGTTTCTTAACTGATGTACTCGAATGAATTTGTACAAGCTTGTTGATTTGTGTTTAATTATTGAATATAGAGGATTGTAGTAAACTTATACGATACCAAAGAGACTCAAGTTTCTCCTGATTTCTGTAATCCTCTCAACGGTTTCTTCTTCTTTTTTGTGTCATCTGTAAGAGAGAGGATATATGTGTAATTATGTGTTCCCTAATCCCTCATGTATCTCACTATATATATTGTACTCTTGTGTATGTAATACATTAAGCATTCTATCATATATGGTATCAAAGCCCTTCGATACCTAAAACAAACCTAAATTTTTTTTTTTTCTGTGGCCGCCTCCCTCACTTCGTCTTCTCCATCTCTTCTTTCTGCTCTACTCCTCTGATCATGTCGACCACAGATTCTCCAACTACAGGTGAGACCATCGTCGTCACCTCCACTCCCAACTTGATGCACATCAACATGTCAAACGTGACTAAACTCACCACGACAAATTTTCTTATGTGGAGTCGCCAAGTCCACGCACTTCTCTCCGGCTATGCTCTTGCCGGATATGTGGACAGGTCTCTGGAGGTTCCGCCTCCAACATCCACAACCAATGGCGTTGTCACAGTCAACAACGACCATCTCCTCTGGCAGCGCCAAGACAAGCTGATCTACAGTGCTCTCCTCGGTGCGATCTCGGTCTCGGTTCAGCCTCTTTTGTCCAAGGCCAACACGGCACGTGAGATTTGGGATACCTTGTCTACTACGTATGCGAATCCCAGCCACGGTCATGTGCAACAACTTCGGCAACAATTGAAGTATTGGACTAAGGGAACCAAGTCCATTGCAGAGTACTTCCAGGGTCTAACTACCCGCTTTGATCAACTCGCTCATCTGGGAAAACCAGTTGAACACGAGGCGCAGATTGAGTTTCTTCTTGAAGGTCTCTCTGACGATTACAAGACTGTCGTTGATCAGATTGAAGGTCGTGATTCCACCCCAACGCTGCTCGAAGTTCATGAGAAGCTCCTTAACTTTGAGAACAAGCTCGCTGCCAAAGCTGCGGTGACAACTCAGGGTCCTGCGTCTGCAAATGTGGCCACCTACCGTGGTAACAACAACAACAACAACGCCAACACCAATAGCAATCGCAACAATGGGAGAAACAATTCCCGTAATAACAACAACAACAACTCCAATGGGTGGAATCAGCCCCACAACACACGCTCACAATACACTCCTCGTCCGTATCAAGGGAAGTGTCAACTGTGTGGTGTGCATGGCCACAGTGCGCGTCGCTGCTCTCAACTCCAACTTGCTGGCTCTTCCTACGGCTCCAACCAGTCCAATGTTTCGTCCTTTGCACCGTGGCAGCCGAGAGCTCAATTTGCTGCTAGTACTCCTTACAATCCGGGGAACTGGCTCATGGATACTGGAGCCACTCACCACCTTACCTCAGACCTAAACAATCTTGCGCTTCACCAACCATATCATGGTGGTGAAGAAGTGATGATAGCTGATGGTTCCGGGATGCCGATATCCCACACGGGTTCTGCCTTGCTCCCTACACCTACTCGTACTCTTGCTTTACATAATGTTTTATGTGTTCCTGAGGTTAAGAAGAATCTGATCTCAGTTTATCGCATGTGTAATTCTAATGGAGTGTCGGTGGAATTCTTTCCTGCTCATTTTCAGGTGAAGGATCTCAGCTCGGGGGCGCGGTTAACCCAAGGCAAGACAAAGAATGAGCAGTACGAGTGGCCGGTTGCAACTCCCACACCCATCTCCATGTTTGCGACACCCTCCTCCAAAACGGATATTGTTTCATGGCATTCGCGACTTGGCCATCCGTCTCTCCCCATTTTAAAAACACTTATCCACAAATTTTCTTTACCCGTTTCCTCTTCTTCTAATAACCAGTTACATTGTTCTGGTTGTTTACTTAATAAGAGTCACAAACTCCCATTTTATTCAAATACAATTTCTTCTCAACACCCTCTTGAGTATCTTTATACGGATGTGTGGATGTCACCGTTTGTGTCTATTGACAACTTCAAATACTACCTCGTCATAGTTGATCACTACACCCGGTATACGTGGCTTTACCCGCTCAAGCAAAAGTCTCATGTACGTGATACATTCATCGCATTCAAAGCTTTAGTTGAGAATAAGTTTCAGAGGAAGATAGGTACTTTGTACTCGGATAATGGGGGAGAGTTTATTGCGCTGCGGTCCTTCCTTACGACACACGGGATCACCCATCTCACTACACCGCCTCATACACCCGAACACAATGGTGTTTCGGAACGCAAACATAGGCACATTGTGGAGACGGGCCTGACTCTAATGACGACCGCGTCTATGCCCAAAAGCTATTGGAGTTATGCCTTCACTACTGCCGTTTACCTTATCAACCGGATGATCACACCGGTGTTGGGCGGTGTCTCCCCATATGCGAAGCTGTTCGGTCAATCACCCAATTATCAAAAACTTCGGGTTTTTGGTTGTCAATGCTTCCCATGGCTGCGGCCGTACACGGCGAACAAGCTTGAGACTCGATCCACGGCGTGTGTCTTCATTGGCTACTCTCTCACTCAGAGCGCGTATCTCTGCCTCAATGCTGCGACAGGTCGCATATACACTTCGCGTCATGTCCGTTTTGTGGAGACGGTGTTTCCTTTCGGGTTGCAACAAGCTCCGGTGTTGTCCTCACCCGTGTCTGCCTCCACACCGGATACTCCGACGGTTCGTGTTCCGATTACTCCACTGCCACTCGTCACTACTTAGTCGCCTCCGCCGTCGTCTCCCAGCTCGGATTCTCACCGTCCGTCATCACCAGCTCCAACCACCTCGACAGACTCTCCTCGTCGTCTCCCTGCAACGTCTTCGTCGCACACAAACCAACCCTCTCCTGGACTGGACCATAACACTCTTTGTGGCCCATTACCACCGCTACCCCAAACAGGCCCAACAAGCCAACCTCAAAGCCCAACACCTTCCAGCCCTTTTGATTCTTCTTCTTCCTCGTCTCTCTCACCGTCCACTACCACAACGCCCTCATCACCACCAAACATACCTACACCACCACCACGGTCACCTACACCACCTCCGTTACCCAATCCAGAAAACCCACCTCAACCACTAAAGCGACATCCTATGCAAACTCGTGCTAAAAACAATATCACCAAGCCGAACACCAAACTCTCTCTCGTCGCCTCTGTTCCAAAGCTCACCCCAAAAATACCCAAAACAGTTACGGAGGCGTTGCAGGATCCCAATTGGCGACAGGCCATGTGTGATGAGATCAATGCGCAAACACGGAATGGCACCTATGGTCTTGTTCCTCCTCAACCGCATCAAAATGTCATTGGGTGTAAGTGGATATTTACACTAAAGTATCTACCTAATGGTGACCTAGACAGGTACAAGGCGAGACTTGTGGCCAAAGGATTCAATCAACAATATGGCCATGACTTCACAGAAACATACAGCCCTGTGATCAAGTCTACGACCGTTCGGTCTGTTCTCCATGTAGCCGTGAGCAAAGGTTGGCGTCTCCGTCAGATCGATGTTAATAATGCATTCTTGCAGGGTACTCTCACGGATGAAGTATATGTTGCCCAGCCCCCGGGATTTGTTGATAAGGATCGCCCTCACTACGTGTGTCGTCTCCGGAAAGCTCTTTATGGGCTCAAGCAAGCTCCGCGTGCTTGGTACCAAGAATTACGAACTTATCTTCTTCACTTGGGCTTCCTCAACTCAGTTGCAGATGCGTCTCTGTTCATTCAGAAACGTGGACGGGACATCATCTACGTTCTCGTCTACGTAGATGATATGCTCATCACGGGTAACAATGATGCGCTTATCTCCTTGTTTATAACTCATCTTGCATCTCGGTTTTCTCTCAAAGATTTAGGCGAGATGAGCTACTTCTTGGGCATTGAGGCTAAAAGGACGCCGCTGGGACTTCACTTGATGCAACGCCGTTACATTCTTGATTTGCTGGAAAAGACCAACATGCTTAATGCTAAACCAGTCTCCACACCGATGCAACCAACTCCACTCTCTCTCACTTCGGGCTCTCCCCATGACAATCCAAGTGAATATCGAGCGGTTCTCGGCAGCCTCCAGTATCTTGCTTTCACACGACCAGACATTGCATTTGCGGTTAATAGACTCTCCCAATTCATGCACCGTCCCACGGACCTCCATTGGCAAGCAGCCAAGCGTGTACTTCGTTACTTGGCAGGCACGTCAACTCATGGTATTTTTCTCAACGCTAACACTCCTCTAAGTCTTCATGCCTACTCCGATGCTGACTGGTCTCGCAATTTAGACAACTGCATCTCTACGAATGCCTATCTTGTTTATCTTGGTGGTAACTTGATTTCATGGTCATCCAAAAAGCAGTCCGGTGTGGCTCGCTCATCAACCGAGGCTGAATATCGCGCTGTTGCAAATGCGGCTGCCGAATTGGAATGGGTCAAAACACTCCTCACTGAGCTCGGTGTTTCTGTCTCTCAACCTCCAGTCATTTATTGTGATAATGTGGGAGCTACATATCTCTCGGCTAACCCGGTTTTTCACTCGCGCATGAAGCACATAGCGATCGACTTTCATTTTGTCCGTCAATATGTTCAAGCTGGTGCCCTTCGAGTCTCTCATGTCTCAACTCATGACCAGCTCGCCGATGGATTGACAAAGCCGCTACCTCGACCACAATTTCTGAATATTTTGTCCAAGATTGGTGTTGCTCAAGCACCTCCATCTTGAGGGGGCGTGTAAGAGAGAGGATATATGTGTAATTATGTGTTCCCTAATCCCTCATGTATCTCACTATATATATTGTACTCTTGTGTATGTAATACATTAAGCATTCTATCATATATCATCAACATGCATATTCTTGTTTTTCAATTCGGATATTGACACAACGACCACTCTTAATACAAATTCGTAAGCTAAGATGCCATGATCACTAATATACCGCAAATTATGCAAACATAATTCATCTAAGGCTGGTACGTCAACGCCATGCACCATTCCATTTGTATCTCATAACTGTAAACTGTAACTCACAATTCAAACACAAGTTTTTGGTGTTATTTGCTTGCTAAGTGTAATTAATATGCTAACCACCTTGGTAAAATGATCACAGTAAGACGAGAGATGAACATAGATTATTAAGATTACGACGATTGATAACAACTGACTATTCAAGTGGTTGTGAATGCTTTGTTCTTAGTCTGTACATAGTGGTTCAGTATTTGACTAAAGGCACCAATATTTGATATAGGCTTTAATACAAATATTCGTCCACCAAGATTTAGAACCAAAAGTGTGATATTGGAGTTTGACATTTATTATTCCTTAATGTGTGACTAATTAAAATATTAGTATAATATTATGTATTATTCACTTAGGCTTGAATAATATGATTCGTCAACCCTAGCTAGATATAGAATTATAAAATGATACGTTAAGTTTGACATTATTGTTATTCCTCTATTTTTCTGGTAAAGTTTGATTATTCCTTATTGTGAAAACAACAATAGTGTACTACGTTCAACAACTTTATTTAGCATAATGTATTTGACACTCGAATCTAATCTTCCATTATATAACTCTTGCCGAGTCTTCCAGGTGTTCATCAGATGCGAACCAAAACATATTGTAATAAAATCAGCAATCCGAACTATTTATTATTATTATTTTGATTGGAGAATTAGGAATCCAATTGATCTTAGCTCTAATGTTTTCAGATTTGTATGTATTGAAATGTATAAGATCACTCATGATGAGATAATGAACTTAGAACGTAATTAACTCAGAATCATCCAAATTTATCTTTGTTCAACAATGTGTCCATGCATATATAAAAAAAAAACAATCTGCAATGCATTAAAAATTCAGAGTAAATCTCATTTAACGTACGGAACTAGCTATATATTAGATTAATGTTGTTAAATTAGGGTTTGTTATGGGCTTCCAATGAGTGGATTGGCCCTAACCCTTTATATATTACTTAAGTCCCCTCCACATCTTCCGATGTGGGATCTTTTCTCCACACGTCCCCTCAAGATAATGGCTCTTTTATCCATTAATCTCGACAGAATCCATCACGCCCTCTCGAGATAATGCTCTTCTACCTATCTCGATGGAATTGGGCCTTTTTTTGGGCCATCAATTAATGGGGTGATCGGGCCTCTATCCGAGCCGGATTAATTAATGGGTCAGCGTGTGTTCGGGCTCTGATACCATGTTAAATTAGGGTTTGTTATGGGGTTCCAACTCAAAACCAATTGGCATTATATATTACTTAAGTTCCCTCACATCTTTCGATGTGGGATCTTTTCTCCACAAATGTGCAGTAAAATAACATATAATATAGTCTTGTCATTAGATAATTCACAAATTGGTATAGTTTTACGAAGTTATTATATCTGTTCATGTTCGTATATACAATTTATATAAAGTCATGTTCATGTACGTAGTCGTTATAAACTAATATAACCAATTAACCATCATCATCGTGATCACCATCCACGCCATCGTTGTCATCAATTTTCTTATAATATTATAACACAGCTTTGAACCTACTACATACAGTGGTCGTGGCTCTTCCGGCTTCACAAATCTAATGTTGTTTATGTCAAAAAGACGAGTACTACTAGTTGGTCCATAACACCATAAACATATAACCAAGTAGCTGCAACTTGGTACTTCATGCTTACTATTATATATACACTCCTATATATATATATATATATATATATGTGATTTATACAGTAATTTCCCGAAGCAATTCATTCAATCCAGTAACAATTTGACTTTTTTTTTTGTTTTTTTTTCCATTACTTAAACTATTGCAAGTTACAACACATCTTTCTATGATTCTGTTCTTTTAACTAAAGTTTCCATATTGCTTTTGAAAACTTTTAACAATACAGTATTAATTAAAGAAATTATTTAACAATACATAATATATTCCATCAACTTAGTTTCTTTACATATTGTTATGGCAAGATGCATATTTGGTGGTCTCGTGGAGCCAAAAATGAATTTGGCTCAAACGAAGCATATGCAAAATGAAACAAATCTGTATAGCCGACCTCATATTCATTTTTATTTGGGATGAAATTCTTACTTAAACGACATTGGTGGCTCGGTATGCACATCGACAGTTTTCATCCATATAATGAGCTAGCCAATCAAAAGTTTCTCATGAATTTACAAAACGAACACATGCACACTTTTATATAAATGCAGGTCGTTAAATTACATGCATCGCAAAAACATTTCTAACGATGTCTATAAAAGTAGGAAAGTTGGATTATTCGCGTTACTGAATTGAGTTTTCAAATCCACGTTAGTTTATAAAGTTACAAATCATCGAATCGAATCATCTCTCACCATATAGGCTTTGTTTTGAACTAGATCAAATTTCTCCATATCTTTGAACTAATTACTAGACTAATATTTTATTAATAGTTCCTTTTAAAAAACTTAGGGTTCGGCTAAACGAGAGATATAAAAATTGATCGGTGTAATTTGTTTTCTAGAAGCTCTTAAAGGTTTAATAGACATTATTATCGAGAACCAGATGTGATCTACGAGCAAATCTATGTACACTATGATCCGTGGTCCATACCATCGTATATATTGATCAAAGAAGTAAGTAACCAGCGAAAATCTGATGGCCAATATGAATTAGTAACAAAAAAAAAAAGAAATGAATTGTACGCATAATATTAAAAACGAGAGGAGACCTGACTGACAGATCCGGAAAGAGCTAGAAAAGAAACGTGACAAATTTTGTATTCATTCAAGGAGACAACTAATCAAAGCTTTAAAGTACTCTGTATGGTCAAGTTGGAGCTGGACATGTGTCGTCTGCTTTTTCTTCTTGCTTCTCGACACTTCTTCTAACTATTTTTTCTTTTCTTTAGGTTCACATTAAAAAAAGAATTCTCTCACACTGCTCTTCTGATGGCTTCTTCGCCTCTCCGTTCAGCTTGGCCGACATACCCTATAATTAAGTCACCACCCCCTTTTCTATTTCTTCTTTGATCTTCTATAGTGGATTTCTTCGATAAAGCATAACTTTTTTCTTTCTCTTTTGTATAAATGGTAGTACTGTAATTAAGTACTCTTTTCAAGTTGTTAATACTTAATAGATACAATGATCAAAAGGACCATTTTTACCATATATTTCTTTTATTGTTTGTTTTAAACTACTTTTCATTGTAAAGTATACCTACATGTACGTAACATATATAAACAATGAATAACAGTAAATATATGTATATATATTTTGATGATTTCAACTTCTGCATGAAAATGTAGTTTCGGATGTTGGATGTTTGTTAAAAAAATGAGTTTTGATGATATCTCTCTTGAGATGATGGCTCTTCTGGCCATAGATTTCGGTATGTTCGGGCATGAATCGGTGGATCAACTATGGGCCAGACCGATTGTGGATTGGATTGAGTATGTGCGGATCGGATTCTGATACCATATTAGATTGTGGGATTCCAACTTAAAACTAATTAACAATGAATAGAGAGGCTCATATATCTTATATACTAGTCAGGATCCTACCCAACTTCCAATGTGGGATATTGTATCCCTAATAATCCATGTAAACATTTAGATCGTTTTTTTTACTTAAAACTTAGGTAAAAAAAAGGGTAGATGTCAAATCAATGAAAAAAAAAAAACAAAGACATTGATCATGGTTTGATTAGTTCCCATAGCTAGCTAGTTAAAATAGGGAAACAACATGCATGATGTGATATTTTTGATTTAGAGAGCAATAAAACTAAATCTATATATATTTTGGTACACTTTTTTCTTTATCAATCAAAAGTATTTAAATACAAATCAAAGAAACACATGGATGGAAACTATCACACTAGAGGCCGCTAACGTCATATACGTAATTGGTCTTCTCTTCTCTTAAGACAGAACTAGAAACAGTAACTAATACATGTATGAAATTCATACCGTCGGTAAATCTTCTAAGGAAGCTGTGACCAGTTTAAAATTATTTTCCCCTCATGCAGCTTCGAGTTCCTGAATACAATATATGAGAGCCGGGCGTAGTAGCCACACACACACACTGACCAAGTGTACGACGAAGCCTAGAGCCGACGCAACGGAAGCGTCATGGACGATATAGAAGTAGTACATAAATATATACTTAATAGTAATAGAGAAAGACGCACGAGCCGCTTCAGTTGCGGCTTTATGCGAGACCTACATGTCGGCCTCAATTAAAAATTGAAATCTTCTCTTCTCTCTCTCTCTCTCTCTGATTAACGCACTAATCAATATAATTAAGATATAAAAATCTGTGGCATTACTTATATAAAACCCTCCCTCTCGTCTCCTCACCTTAATCATCATCATCATCAGGACAGTGAGAGTGCTCGCTCTCTCTTCCCCTCTTTTAGCTCTCTCTCTATTTCCTCTCTCTTGCCCTAGCTTCTTCATCTACCCCCTCAATTATTCAGCTACTATATAACTCATCGTCTTCACCTCTCACACGAAACGCCCTTTTGTGTTGATTTTTCTGCCGGTGAGATCTCGTCACGCGAGAATCGCCTTTTTTTCTTAAAAGTTGTCAAATGTTCTTCATAGCGTCGATTACATCTCTGATTTAGTGTATCTCAACTTTGCGATTTGATTTTACAGATATTACATTTGGAATCATTTTTTGAAATTCCTTGAAATTCTCAAATAGAGTTTTTATGCAGTGATAGATCAGCTGCATGAGAGCTTTTTTTTAGATTTATAGCATCTCTGAGTTGCAGATCCAATTTTACTGTTCTGGACTTCTGGTAATCATCATCATTTTGGATAATTATGTATCTAAACTTTGGTTTGCATGTGCAGATTAATATGCCTATGGGTCGTGTTAGAGAGCATGCCTATGGGTCGGTGTTAGAGAGCTTTCTCAATCAATCTTGAGTACTGGATCTGTCTCCTCTTGTTTCCAGGTTTGGATTCTCATCTTCACTTTCTTTTTTATTATTATTAGATGTATTTGCTAGTTTACAAATTTCGTACATTTGAGATCATGTCTCAGTGTTTTTTTCTTCTTTTTCCGGAAGTTCAAAAACACATAATAATGTGTATATATATATGTATATCTTATGATCCTTGTCATTCTAATGGGATTGCTATTGTCATTTTGTTGATTGTTACTTAGTCTATTTGTATTCCTCTTACTTAAGAACAGCTTAAATGCTTATGGAGCATAAAATAAAAGACTCTTTACCTATCTGTTAAACCAACTAAATGAAGTCTTTACCCGAAATTATCTGAATCATACAAAACGTCTTTTGTTCTTATTCCTTTTGGATTTAACATAGCTTATAATTAAGTTGGAACACTTACTATCTATTTGCAAGCTTTTGAGAATTGAGACTTGATCTTTGAGTTTCATGTCATCATTTTTTTTATCTTGTCTTTACTCAAACAATACCTTTCAAACACATATATGATAAAATTATAGGCTAAATCAACCCCATGAAGCTTATGAATGAGAGTTGAAAACCACCTTTGGAAGTAACACAGCCTCTTTTAGAGAGCAATATAGAATAGTCTTCATCTGTGTTCACAGCCTCTTTTAGAGAGCAATATAGAATAGTCTTCATCTGTGTTCACAGTCTCTCTAGATGTACAATAATGCAATGCTGCTTATTTGAGAAAGCAAATGCCTTGTATAGAAACTCCAACACATCAAAAAATGTTGGATGCTTTTTCGCACAATGTTTCGAACAAGAGAAAGTTGAGAAAATTAAGTATTTCATTGATTGGATATGAGCAAGTCATATTTTTCTTAGATCATGACAATCAAATAGGCTACTTGCGCGAACTTGCAATGCTGCAGGTTTATATCTACATAAGTATATGCTGTTCTTGGTCATAATATTAATTTGAATTTGCCCTTGTTGATGCAGTTGCAAACTGTTACAAATAATCGGGATGCTGGGGCTGATGTGGTTGATTAAACTGAAGACTGGCAGGTTTGCTCGAGTTATCTCTCGTCTCTAGACCATTTGTGAGAAGGGATCTTTTATTTGCACCAATACCTCACCAGTCTCTAAATCTGCAAATAAGTATTATGCTCACTTAAGGAAAATACCTTGTCAATATATCTCACCCTCTTTTAAAACTAATCTTAGAATTCAGATGCCTTTGGATCCTAAAATACATTGTTGTGCATATATGTAATCTACTGGCGCAGCAGGGTAAGTTTCTTGTGTACCTCTAGAAATTCTCTTACTGCTTAGGATTCCCGAGCTACCAAAACTTTCTTAAGGTCTACTCTGTAGGTCACAACTATTATTGCCGCACTCACCTTATTGTTAAGATGGTTATTTCTTCCAATCAATATCTGATCCTTCGGAAGTTAGGTTTAAAAATAAGTAGATAATGTGCATTAGTGACTTTTCCTGATGCTGCACTCATAATTGTTTTGTTTGTGTTCCAACTCAATTCAAGATGATTCTCGAAATCATATAAATTCATTAACACCATGAACATGATAGCTAAGAATTTGTATGTCTTACAACTAGTAGACACCCTAATTATAAACATAGGGACTGGTGAGGGGTTTGGTTATGTTCCCTTCTCATCGATGGTCTAGATGTGCGAGGTGACTCTCATGGAGGTAAAGAAAAATGGTGAATTTGTGAAGCTCCCATCATGATGATAATTCCTAAAAAGGTTAGATTTCAGATTTTGAAATTGTTGTATTGCATGATTTCCAGATCAATAATGGATTTACTAATACACCACAGGTGATGGTTCCAAGTTATAGTTGTGTAATCCTTTTTTCTTTTTGTTGGGATTTAAGTATATCATCCCACTTTTCAAACTAATGAAAATGATGGATGCAGTAGTGAAATTGTTGCAAGGTGAATATCTTTGTTGCCTTTTCAAGAACCAACGAAGACAGAAACAAGTTGTAAAAGAATGCAAGTGTGAATACGGATGAAGGAGGAAAGTGGAGGGAAGGTGTGTTACCTTTGACTTGTTGTCACTGATTATCTCACACTCATCCAATTCATGCTGCAAGAGGAAACAACTAAAGGAATGAGTGACGTAACACCAAGCATCAGGAGTTTGCTTGTAGATTTGATAATACATTCCATTACTAACGTAATCTTTGTCATATTAGGTAGACTCTTGACTACAAATGAAGACTATGTAACTTAGCTAATGTATATCATTAACTTTTTAAAGTGTTTTCATGAATAACGTTAATACATGGAGTCAAACAAATGTGATGGTGTTTAGCGTGAATATATATAATATCACTTCTAAGTTCTAATACAGTGCGACTATGGTTTCCAACAATATTTAACATAAAAATCATCATATCGATCACATGATGACATAAACACAAATTTTAAAATATTGTTTTCATCTTTTATGTGTATGTGATATGTGGGTTTGAATGAATCTGGAGGTGATATGACTATGTTAAATTCTTTGTTACTTTTCAATAAAACGTTTAACACATGTAACATCTTGCGTGAGAATCCACCAACCATGGGAATGGAATAGATATGTTGGATATACAGTACTTCTTACCCAAAAAGTAAAATAAAAAGAAGCTCAAAGCTTAAAGATACCACTTGTCTAATCTTGAAGAAGAATCAAAACATTTTTACAAGTTGAAGATGAATCACACTTGTCCACAGATTGTTTATCTACAAAACCTAGCTTCAACCTCATATCTCTGAAAAACACCTAAGAGAGCAAGAGATCGAGAGAAACTTATGTCGAACCAAGATTCTGTTCAGTTGGATGTCCAAGAAAACCATGTAATATAATCTCTGTCCCTTATACACAGATTCTTCTATTAAAGTTTGTCCATATGTACATATATATATATTGAATATTGCAAATGCAGGTGGTGATTGGAAATGGTATAGTTGAAGTGACTATATCAAAACCAGATGGTTTTGTCACTGGAGTCTCTTACCAAGGCGTCGACAATCTACTAGAAATTCGAAACGAAGATTACAATCGAGGGTACGTAAAACTGAATGTTTGTTAGCATATAAGTCATATACACACAAGGACCAGCGTATTATTTATACAACTTATTACAACATATTACCAAGCTCAGGTATTGGGACCTTGTTTGGAGCGAAGAAGGAGCACCTGGAACCACAGGGAAATCTGAACGGTAAGCAGTATGAGTCGATCTATCGAGCACATGACAAAAACAAACAAGTCTTTATATAATAATTATAACTTTGGCTTGAGGCAGGATCAAAGGCACAAGTTTTGAAGTAGTAGTGGAAAATGAGGAACTGGTGGAGATTTCCTTCTCAAGGAAATGGGATTCTTCTCTCAAAGACAGTATTGCTCCCATTAATGTCGACAAGAGGTTATCTCAGTTTAATATACAACATGCATATATGTATATGTGTGAGAGTGACAGAGAGATTGACTTAGATACTGTATCATCAGGTTTATAATGCGTAAAAATGTAACTGGATTCTACTCATATGCAATATTTGAGCATCTAGCGGAATGGCCGGCTTTTAACTTGCCTCAGACAAGGATTGTCTACAAGCTTCGTAAAGACAAGTAACTAATGTCTAAATCAATCTTTCCCTTTAAACTTATAGTAGTATCTATACTTATGTGGAAACTTTGACTGCAGGTTTCAATATATGGCGATTGCTGATAACAGGCAGAGGAAAATGCCACTCCCAGAAGATAGGTTGGGTAAAAGAGGAAGACCCTTGGCTTTTCCTGAAGCTGTTCTTCTTGTTCATCCTGTTGAAGAAGAGTTTAAAGGAGAGGTTGATGACAAGTACCAGTATTCATGCGAAAACAAAGATCTGAAAGTGCATGGATGGATCTCACATAACCTGAAATTGGGTTGCTGGCAAATCATTCCTAGTAATGAGTTCAGATCAGGTGGCTTGTCCAAACAGAACCTTACCTCCCATGTTGGTCCCATCAGTCTCGCTGTATGTGTTTTTTTCTTTCTTCCTTCTGAAAACATCATCGAAAGTATATGTTGTTGTGTTCTTGCTTAGCCTTTTGTAACACAATGACAACGTAAACACAGATGTTTTTGAGTGCTCACTATGCGGGTGAGGACATGGTGATGAAGGTGAAAGCAGGGGAGTCATGGAAGAAAGTGTTTGGTCCTGTTTTTACTTACCTTAATTGTTTGCCTGACAAAACCTCTGATCCTCTTTCTCTATGGGAAGACGCGAAAAACCAGGTTTTATCCATTAACCAACATTCTAAGTTGTGCATATTAAAAACTTATCTAACGTTGTAGGAAGTGGTGTGTAATTAGATGTTAACTGAAGTTCAAAGCTGGCCTTACGATTTCCCGGCTTCAGAAGACTTTGCAGTGTCCGATAAGCGCGGTTGCATTAGTGGTAGATTACTAGTATACGACAAGTAAGCCTCCCATTCCACATCATTTACTCTGCTTTTCTTCATTTCATTATCATTAACTCACTTCTTCTTTCTTATGGTTTTTAAAAATCGTGCAGATACCTTAGTGATGAACTTTTACCGGCAAATGGTGCTTTTGTAGGTTTGGCTCCACCAGGAGAGGTTGGATCCTGGCAGTTAGAATCTAAGGTGAGCCTGCAAATAATATTCTTGGACCATACACTAATATCCACTAAGCAATGCATGAACTCATGATTGCATCAACTTTACTTATATATAGGGATATCAATTCTGGACAGAAGCAGATGTAGATGGTTATTTCACGATAAATAATGTCCGAGAAGGCGAATATAATCTCAATGCTTACGTGACAGGATGTATTGGAGATTATCAATACGAACAGTCAATTAACATTACTGCAGGTTCATTTTTCTTAACCTTACATTGTAATCAAGATTATATATTACTTTGTGTCAAGAAGTACATGTATATTTAGCATTAGCCACACTCTGTACCCAAAAACCAGGCTGCAGCATTGACGTTGGCAATATCGTTTATGAACCGCCTCGGGATGGGCCAACAGTGTGGGAAATAGGGGTACCTGACCGATCTGCAGCTGAGTTCTTTGTTCCAGACCCAAATCCCAAATACATCAACAAACTATATATTGGTCATCCTGATAGGTAATCCATGCTTCAAATATATATATAACAACATTGGTGGCTTGAATCGTTATTAAACATTAAGGCTGCAGCGATTGTTGAAGTTGAGACCTAATAAGTATGGCTATACTTCACAGGTTTAGGCAATACGGGCTATGGGAAAGATACACAGAACTATATCCTAAGGAAGATTTGGTGTTCACCATTGGCGTCAGTGACTACAAAAAAGATTGGTTCTTTGCACATGTTACCAGGTAACATTTATTAAAACCTATTTCAAATATTCTAAGAAGAGTGGAACAAAGAAGCCTCACACATGTATTATAGGAAACTTGAAGATGACACATATCAAAAAACGACATGGCAAATCAAATTTAAGCTAGAGAAGGTACAGAACAACAACAGCACATACAAGATCCGGATCGCGTTAGCAACAGCAAATGTAGCAGAGTTACAGGTGAGGGTGAATGAGGAATTCAGTGATAAGAGTACTCCGATGTTCACAACGGGTGTTATCGGACACGACAACGCCATTGCAAGACATGGGATACGTGGAATCTATAGGCTTTATAACGTGGATGTACCAAGTGAGAAGCTTATCGAAGGAGACAACACTTTGTTCTTAACTCAAGCCATGACTACCGGTAGTGGAGCCTTCACTGGTCTCAATGGTCTCATGTACGACTATATCCGCCTTGAAGCACCTCCATTAGATTCAAACTCTCACCTATAATTTGTTGGTTTAAGACAGTATTATTAAATACGTACGCCCTTGTCTTATGGGTTTACTATTACTAAACTCCATTACTAATAAAAAAAGTATTATTAAATGGGCTTTTGTGTTGGGCCTTACTTTTAATCTCAGATTTGACTTTACAAGAAATCACAAGGGTAAATTCGTAAGTTTACAACCCCGATCTATCGCTGCCTATATATACAGTTGCCTGCAAAATCTAGGGTATAAAAGCCCCTAATTTTTTCTCCGCCCAAGAGTCAAATTCTTCGAAATCGACCAACGGAAGCTCCTGCGTTCACCGTCAATCTCTCTTCTACCGTCGCCGGAGATCGGTAAACCGGCTCATTACCTCTTCTTCGTCTCCTATTGAGGTCTTAGATCCATCTAGCACATTTTTTTGGATGTCGGAACTTTCAGATTCTGGATTTGTTATTAGTTGCCAATTTGATTCGAAATTTGTTGCTCAAATTTGAATCGGCAGATCGTTGGGAAGTAGAAAATGGCGACGTTTGAGCTGTACAGGAGATCTACGATCGGGATGTGCCTGACGGAGACTTTAGACGAGATGGTTCAGAGCGGTACGCTGAGCCCTGAGCTAGCAATCCAAGTCCTTGTTCAATTTGACAAGGTTTCCATTAACTTTATTTGACTGATCTTGTCGTCTTGATTCGTTTCTGTTGGCTCCTTTTTGATATCTGTATCCTTGTAGTCTATGACTGAAGCTCTGGAGAGCCAAGTGAAGACCAAGGTGTCTATCAAGGTGGTTTTCAAATCTGTTGCTCTTTTAATTCTTTTTGTGAAATTGTGAAAATAGTCAACATAATTGGGTAGAAGAAAATAACCTGTTTCTCTTCGTGAATTGGCTAGAAGACGCTTAATACTTCTAATTTATCTTGCTCTAATTCTGTCGTTTTTAGAGTTTCTTTGGAGTTATATGGTTGATATTGTCGAAGCTGGGCCTCAAATAATTTCTTAAGAGTTATAAAGTTCAACTTGAAATTAAGCTGTATAATTTATTGGCCTGATAATAAGGTGCTTGCATTTGTTAGCTCAGGTAATACTAACACTGTCATGAATTCATTCAAGTTTATCGTTTCATTGGATGTCATATATGAATCATAGGGTGAAGCTTCCCATATATTAAAGTTTTTCTTAAAGTTAAAAACTTAAAAGCTAAACTTTAGATTAAGTTGTATGGATTCAGTTATCTGGCGTATAAGTAGGAGCTCACATAGAGATATACTAGCATTTTCATGAATACTCTCAAGTATAGAGTTTCTTTGGGTGTGATAAATTAATGATGACCCTCAAATGATTACTTTGAGTTTAATAATTGATCTTGAGATTAAGCTGTATGAGTTAAATTAGCCGGCTCATAATTAGGAGCTTACTGTCTACCAACAAACATCTGTTCTTGAAAATAGCTCTGTATCATGCTATTCTTTGTCGTTTCAGTTGTCATAATGTGTTCTTCTGGAAGTTGGCTGATAAATTGTTTTTGGTGTTTTTGCTAATCTGGACAGTCTTATGTACATGTGTGGTTACTGTTTCTGATAATTAACATTAAATATCTTCAGACATACTAATCCGCTGCTATTAGTTTTGCAAGTTGAACACTATTTTCATAGCCAAATAACAAACACTGTTTACAGCACACTGAAAAACAAATGTGGTGCAAAACCAAGAATTGAACTTATTGTTTGTTGGAAGTCACTTTTTCTCATCTCTGAATATTCTGAAGAGAACTTTGGCAGATGAAACAATCAGTTAATCTCTTTTTCTTATTTATTATTTCTTTTACAGGGGCACCTGCACACTTACAGGTTTTGTGACAACGTCTGGACCTTCATATTACAGGACGCAATGTTCAAGAGTGAAGATCGTCAAGAGAATGTGAGCCGGGTGAAGATAGTGGCATGTGATTCTAAGCTGCTCACACAGTGAGAGCTAAGTTCTCAGCTGGGAATATGCTTTCCTTTGTACTAGATTTTGCGTTTTTCACTTTGTAAACTCAGCACATGCTATATGTTGAGCTCCATCTGCAGCCATCAATTTAGCCTATATGTAAATTCTCGGCCCGATGACATGGGACATTTTCTGTTGCTATGAGAAAGTTATTGAGATCCTTTGTTTATGTTATTTCTGACTTCCGAATCACATACTGAGTTACTGATGTATAGTGGCTTTGGACAAAACTTTGTCTAAGTGGAACTTATTGGTGTCAAAGCCATTGGTGGTTACTCTTAAGACTCTTCTTTTTCTTGGCTCTTCACTCTCTGTCTTTCTTTAATTTGGGCAAGAGGGTGAGAGGTATTATTATTTGTATGTCTTGTCTTTTTCTCCTTTTACAGTTGTCTTTCTTCATCAAAGCAGAAGAGAATATGATTCCTGTAAGTCTCTTTCAGTGATAGTTCCTTTTATGATTCTGGAACTTTGAAGTATAGCGGTTAATGTCCCCTTTTTTTCTCCCCTGTTTCAAAGCCACACGGCACTTTTGGCACCTTTATGTGGTCGTGTGAGAGCCAAGTGAATAGAATCCCTATGTTTATAATGGAACTCGGTTTTTCTTTTCTCAAGTTCTTTCTTCTGCTAAGACCTGTGTAATTGATACTGTTTACAAAAATATATTTTGATGCAGGAGACTAGTTGTGTATTTCCTGAAGCTAGAGTAGATTTTGTTACATTTAACGCATAAAAACAGCTCAACTTCGTGAAGAGAGCCAAAGGTGAAAGTAAAAGGTAAGCATAAGGAAACAAACTGGTTGGATAATTAGTTATTGCTTTTTGATGTGTTATGCATAAGAAAAAAGAAGGCATGTCAATATCCAATAGGAATGCTTTATAAATAGTGTTGTTGTTACTCTCATGTTTTTTCAAGATGACAGTATTGAACAGTTGTTCTTCTACTGGAAATTCAGTTTTTCATTGTTTAAAACTATCAGAGATCATTCATAAGTCTGGTTGAGGCTCACTTGTGACCTCTTTTTATGAATAGCTGTCATGGCAACCACTAAAGTCCAAGAATTCCAGCTAATAGAAGGGACGCAGCTTCAGGTCTGTTCTTTCTTCTGTCCTACTGGAATTTACAATTTCAGATTTTGGACTTACTTCCTATCAATTTAGATCACTGTCACTGGTTTACCGAATGGGAGCAGTGTAAGAGCTGAGTTTCATCTTAAGAACTGTACTCGCACATGGATTCTTCATTGGGGTTGTATTTACCAAGGAAATAAGTGAGTGAAGAATGATCTTTAAGATAGAATCTATACTTTAAATATCTGTATGTTTTGACTTATGTTATCTACAGCAACTGGTATGTCCCATCTGAGCATTCCTCAAAGCAAGGTGCATTGCAGACTCCCTTTGTGAAGGTTTGCATAACCCTTACATTTCTTGTTTATCTACAAGGTTTTGCCAGAAGTCAGTTTTTTTCAGCAAAGTGTTTCTTCTCAACTGCAGAGTGGGAATGATTATGTAGTGATCCTTGAGTTACGGGATCCAAGGGTACATGCGATTGAATTTGTTTTGAAAGATGGTAGCCATAACAGATGGTGCGTAATTCGTTATTTTCTACAATTGAGTCATACTTGTGGCTAGAGAAGGATGAATGGATGAAGTTCACGTCTCCACTTTGATGCCTAATGGAAATTTCAGGTTGAAACAACATAATGGAAACTTCCGGGTTGAGATTCCCTGGAATGATCTGCATCCTCAGCATCGGATACCAAAGAATCTGATAGAAAGAAGAGCTCATAAGATATGGGACCGGAAGGGCCGTCCCCAAAGCTCTGCACGTGAACAACAGGTAAAATTGGTCCATGTAGTAGACAGCTGATCCTTTTTTAGCTAGCACATCGTAGTTTTCTTTGCGGTGTAGCTCATGCTCTAGATTACTCATCTCTGTGTTTATGAGTTATAAAGGCGGTGCTGTTCCTCGTTTCTTTCATGTATTTCATTTCAGATAGACTATGACAATGCAATAAGAGAGCTCCAATCTGAGCTCGCTAGAGGAATATCTTTAGACGACCTGCACGCTAACTCTACAGTACCAGTGGAGAAAGAAGTAAACAGTGAGCCACATCAAACAATGAACCAATTATATCACCGGAAGCATGATGTTCAGAAATGGTTACAGAAATATGCTGAACCAATCAACATAAATGGAAGTGTGCATAGTTCAGTCCTGGCAGAACTCTCCAAGAGATCTATCGGCGAAGAAAATGTAGTGTCACAGAAAATTTTTCATGTCAGAAACTACGAGATCATGGTTTGTTAGTTCATACACACATTTTCATTATTGGTAGTTAGAAAACTTCTAGATAATTTATGATTTATGTAATTGTGTTTATTAGGTCCTCCAGAGAGATGTTAAGGGGGATTGTCGCTTATGGATTGCCACAAACATGGCTGGTCCAACAGTTCTCCATTGGGGAGTCGCCAAGTTTTCTGCAGGAGAGTGGTTGGTAAGATGTTCTTGCTTCTGTAGATATTCCTTATCACAAACTTCTCGATAAGAGTCTGATTTTTATAACTCAAAATAGATTCCACCACCTGATGTATTACCTGAGAAATCAAAACTTGTTCATGGAGCATGTCAAACACATTTTACAGATATGTCGAGCAGAGAATACTCTTATCAGGTAAAACATGCAGTTAATATTTCTTTACTGTGATTACCGTCTTTTGTTTTAAGGTACATCTATTATAAATTGTATCTACTAATGCTTCTCGTCTTTTGCGCATTGGAAAAGTTTATTGATATAAACTTAAAGCGAGGCGGTTTTGTTGGTATTCAATTTGTGATATGGTCTGGAGGCTACTGGGTAAACAATAATGGAGCCAACTTCGTTGTAAACCTGAAATCTGTAGCCAGTACCAGGGGTAAGGTGAGTTAAAGGCATCGGACCATCTGTGGAATGATAATGTTGGAATGCTCTTATCACTTTTACAACATGTTTATTCTTCTCAGCCTAACGTGGATGGAAAGTATATTCTCAAATGGTTGCTTGATGAGATATCTGAACGAGAGAAAGAGGCTGAGAGATCATTGATGCACAGGTAAGTCAAAGTATCTAGAAGGCCAAGTGAATGAAT